GTGCTTAGGAGAGTTCCCACTGCAAGGTAGTACTTCTACAAGAAATGGGATGGAAGGGTAGGATGTCCAGAGGTCTGGAGGACAGGAGGACAGGAGGACAGGATGTCCAGAGGTATGGAGGACAGGATGTCTGAGGGTTAGGAGGACAGGACATCTGAAGGACAGGACACCCAGAGGTGCACAGGACAGGATGTCCAGAGGTCCAGAAGGAATAGGGGCTACATTGGATGATGTCCAATGTAGAAGCAAACAGAAGTAGACTACCCTAAGGTAGAGTTGGAGGGACAGGAAGTGGACCTAAGTCCAGAAAGAGGGTAAGTGCCGGAAAGGCAAGACTCCATTCTAGGGAAGCAATCCCTAGACTTGGGACAGAGACATAGGGGACAAATCCAAAGGTCTGGAATTCCGGCCTAGGGAATCCTTCCCTAGGCCTTATGGAAAAGGACAAGACTCAGATGGACTGAAGTCCAGAAGATAATTGGGCAGATCTAAGGTGATATTCAGACTAAGGAAACTACAGGAGTATCTACAGGGGTTATATACTGGAGAGTATCTGAGGGGATCAGTAAGCAACAGAGTAAGGCTATGTACGAGCATGTGGAAACACATTAGTAAGATGGAACATAACTAAATGAACTCAGAGATGAAGACTCATACAAGGATCAGTCAGCAAGATGGAAACAGAGACAACCGAGAACTGGAAAGGTGGAGATGCCTAAATGGGGATAGGCGCAGGATCTCAGATAGAGGGTGGGAATGGTCTGGAGATAGTACAGTTAATATCAGGAGGTCCGGAGATCTGGGGATCCAGAAGGCAGGGCGGAAACAGGACTGAGATATGTGAGGTGATGGATGTAGTCCAGAATCTGAGAGGAGGTAAAGTCCAGATGTCTTGCTGGACGGAATGTGCATAGGGTGGACAGGATAGGGGATCCAGGAATGAGTCAGATATGGGGTCTGGAAATAGGTCCAGAAACCATGGGAATATGATGGGATCTATATCTGGCATATGGGATATGACAGCATCCCTCAGCATAGTGCATGCTTTTTTTTGAGCCATAGTCAGTAGCATTTTGGCAATCACACTCAATCACCATTGCATTTGTCATTCTCACATCCATCAGTATCAGTCATCATCTTCCCCTAGTCCCCATCACATTCCTAGCCCTTTGCACACTTTTGCCTATTAGCATGTGACTTTCCCATGCTTCACACATCCTACCACTCTCTGCGCATGCCTTTGCCTCCACGCGCATGACTTTCCCACACTTCGCGCGACCTGTGGATGTGTTGCACTCGCTTCCCCTGGGGTCAAACACACTTGCCTTTGTGAAGTATAGCAGCCATAGACAGAGCTGCGATGACCACACATATACTCTGACTTGGCATCCCTTGTAGTGCCATAGTTTAGTAGTTGATTCCTTCAGCAACACAAGATGAGAGTACTTTTGCCATGGTGTCTAGAAGTGTTATGGGGCGGTAAGCTTTGGGGAGGCTGTAGTCAGGGTGTCCGGGTTTTCATAATACTATAGTCGAGGACTTCTTCCATTCTTCAGGGTAAATACCTAGCATGAATGTAGCTTGGAATATCAGGCCCATGAAGGGGATGAGGATATCAGTGCATTTCATGAAAACGCAATTACACACTCCATTAGGTCCTGGTGCTTTGAAGGGAGAAAGTTTTGCTATAGCTCTGTAGATCTGTGCATCAGTGATGTTCTCAAATGAGCAAATGGGGGGTGGATAGTTCACATTTGGGTCAACATAGTTGTTCTCTGGCTGTTGTTGGAAAAACATGCTGTAAAGAAGTTCACTCTTGTGTGCATTGTCTTGCATTGTGTTCTTGGGGTCGGAGGCATTTGCTTCTGAATCTTGTAGTGTTGTGATTTGTGTCATATGCCATTCTGGACTCTCAACTCTAAATCCGCTTCTCCGGATATCCAGATCCGAGATCTGGATCTCAAATGATCTGATCTATCTTTATCTTCCTTCTGGAATCCAAACCCTATATCAGTGCCCAACCCCATTTAGACTTCCCCTGTCTCCAGACTCCGGCTAACTATGTTTCCCCTCTGATTATTGATCTGTTACATACATTTCATTTCCAGTGTTCAGTATTTGTGATCCATCCTACTTACTAATAGACTTTGCATATGCTTCGTACATAGCCTTTATGTTTGCTGATTGATTCCTATATGATACCTACAGTATATAAACCTCCTGTAACTCTCAGAAATACTCCAGTTCTGTTAAGAACCATGTTGCTCAAGGGGGAGAGAGACTGACTCAGAGGGGCTTGGCCTCAGCTTGTACACTGTGCCCCTTACCCGAGTATGGGCCCTTCATTTCATATGAGGTCTGATGATGGTCTGACAAAGTCCAGAGGACTTCCAGAGGAGCACAGGAAACGTCCAGAGGAGCGTGGGAGAGTTCTGGAGGAATGCAGGAAGTGCTCAGGAGAGTTTCCACTGCAAGGTAATGCTTCTACAGGAAACAGGATGGAAGGATAGGAGGTCCGGAGGACAGGAGGACAGGAGGACAGGAGGACAGGAGGACAGGAGGGCAGGATGACAGAGGACAGAAGGACAGGAGGACAGGAGGGCAGGATGATGGAGGACAGGATGTCCAGAGGTGCAAAGGACAGAAGGACAGGATGCCCGGAGGTACGAAGGACAGGATGTCTGAAGGACAGGAGGATAGGATGTCTGAGGGTTAGGAGGACGGAACATCCAAAGGTACAGAGGGTGGAATGTCCAAAGGTACAGAGGGTGGAACATCCAAAGGACAGGATGCCCAGAGGTACAAGGGACAGGAGGTCCAGAGGTCTGGAAGGAATAGGGGCTACATTGGACGATGTCCAATGCAGAGGCAAACAGAGGTAGACTACCCTAAGGTAGAGTTGGAGGGACAGGAAGTGGACCTAAGTCCAGAAAGAGGGTAGGTGCTGGAAAGGCAAGACTCTAGCCTAGGGAAGCAATCCCTAGACTTGGGACAGAGACATAGGGGACAAATCCAAAGGTCCAGAATTCTGGCCTAGGGAATCCATCCCTAGGCCTTATGGAAAAGGACAAACTCAGATGGACTGAAGTCTGGAAGAAGATTGGGCAAGTAGAACAGGATCTAAGATGATATTCAGACTAAGGACTCTACTGTAGTTGTACAGGGGTTATATACTAGAGGCTATCCAAGAGGATCAGTAAGCAGAGGAGTAAGGTTATGTATGAGCATGCAGAAACACATTGGTAAGTAAGATGGAACATAAGTAAATGAACTTAGAGATGAAACTAGTACAAGGATCAATCAGCAAGACAGAAACAGAGATAACTGAGAACCGGAAAGGTGGAGATGCCTAAATGGGGATAGGCGCAGGATCTTGGACGGAGGGTGGGAATAGGTCCGGAGATCTGGGGATCTGGAAGGCAGGGCAGAAACAGGACTGAGATATGTGAGGTGGTGGATGTAGTCTGGAATCCAAGAGGTAAAGTCCGGATGTCTTGCTGGATGGAATGTGCATAGGGTGGACAGGATAGGGGATCCAGGAATGAATCAGATATGGGGTCCGGAAATAGGTCCGGAAACTGTGGGAATATGATGGGATCTATATCTGGCATACAGGATATGACAAGTTTGAATATCATCTTAGTTCCTGCTCATTCCTGTGTCCTCTGGACTTGAGATAAGTCTCTTGTCATATTCCAAGTCTTAGGATTGCACCCTAGACTACATTTCCGACTCTACCTAAAGGTAGTCCATCCTCTGTTAGTTTCTAGTCCAGACTTTGTCTGGATTAGTCTTATCCACTTGCCCAGGTAACATCCGGACATCCGTTGTCCACCCTAGTCAAATCCCGGAAACTCCAGATGACTGTTCTAGCCCCCAGAAATTAAGGGCACATACTCAGGAAAGGGGCACAGTGTATGAGCTGAGGCCAAGCCCTTGTGATCCGACCCCCTTGAGCACACAACCTTAACATTTGAGTGTGAAACTGGTCATCAGGGCAGCTTGAAGTGTAGTGATGGAAATCCCATGTACCTGCAAGTGTCAGCATCTCAAGCCATTCTTCCCAGTGGTCCTTCTTTGTGTTCTTGATATGTTCCAAGAGTTTGTTTCTCACTATTCTGAGTTCTTCATGTATCGGGTCGTTGTGGTGTGAAAGTTTTTGTCTTGCTTTGTGTCCAAGTTTCTTGATGTGCTTTTGTTCCGTGTTGAGGTCCTTCGTCCACCATCTCTTCATGTAGGGTGATTGCTTGGCTATCAGGACTTCCTCCTTTGCGGTTTCGGCAATTGTGTTGATGAGTCAGGTGTAGGCTTCTTCGAATTGAGCTTGGGTTGTGATTTCTTGAGGCTGCAGGTTGGGTTTGAGTTTGATTGTTAGTTTTTCACAAAACTTCTTCCAATTGGTTTCATGGTAGTTGAATTTCAGGATGGGGACTGTGCATTCAGGGCTTAGATCTAGGGTGCTGATGATGGGGAAATGGTCAGTGATAAAGGGTGTAGTTGGTATTTGACAGAGCATTGGGTGAACATATCTATAATTTCTGTGGAGCAGAATACATTATCTGGCCTTGTGTGGTTTTTGGTGTTGGATGCTTCAAGGGTGGCTATGGATGGTGGGAGTGCTTGTACAAGGTTATATGCAGCTAAAAGTTCTATTAGTATGTCTGCTGCATTTAGGTTCGCAGCAGTGAAAAGGTGGCTGTTTAATGTCATTTCCCACATAGGATGATGATGGTTGAAGTCTCCTAGCCAAATTATGTTAGTAGGTGGTTCTGACACAGCCTGTTAGGGCTTCTGTTTGTTCTTTTTTGGTTTTTGGTTGTCATGTGATGTTCCAGGAAACATATGGTGTGATTGTGGTTGCAAGGATTATAGATGTTATATACACATACATTACTGAAGTTTCCAGTTAATTCTATTGCGGTTACATTCAGCGAGTCTAGTGGGATTATATGCCAGTTATTTTTCGATAATTTCTTGTTGATGAGAAGGATGGATTGTGTTCATTCAGTGCTGTTGTGGTGTCTTGTTGGGTAGATAATGTCCCAGTGTCTTTGTAGATTGGAGGCATTGGTGAGGTTGACTGGATTGAGGTAGGGTTCTTGGATGCATGCTAGGTCATAGGTGTCTGGGTTGAGGTTTGATAGCATATGTTCCCAGGCATTTACTGACTTGTGGAGGTTTTGCTGCCATATTCTAAAATGAGGCTTTGGGGGGTCATCATCATTGTTCATTGGGTGCTAGGAGGGAAGGAGAGTCTGTCAGAGTATAGGGAAGCAGCAGGATCTGGGGCAACAGCATTTAGTCAGGCTTGAGGTTGTGGGTCTGGTTGCCAGGGTGGGTGAGTCCAGGCTTCTGGGAGTCTTGATTGTGTGTTGATTGGGATTTGGTTGGGGTTTTCATGGCTTTTCTGTTGTCAGCTTACTTTGGGTTGTCTTTTGGGGTTCTTCCATCCTTGAGGGGCATTATTGTGTCATTGTTTGATGGGGGCTTGGGGCTGGTTCCATTGGCCTTGGTTCTGGTCATTGTTCTGCCATGGTTCATTCTGTCCAGGATGGGTGTCCCATGTTAGTGGATTGTTGGTGGGGAAGTAGATGTAGTGGGCATCTTCTTGTTGGCCTTGGTTCACTTCCCACTTTCTGATAAAGGTGGGGCAGTCTCTGCTCCAGGCTGCATGGTTGTTGGTTTGACAGTTGATACAGAAGAATAGTTCAGGGTTGTTGACTCTGCAGGTCCTGCACATGTCCAGTTCTTGAGGGCAGTCTGCTGCCATGTGGTTGCCTCTGATTGCATGGCATTTCAGGCAGCAAGTGGGTTCCTGGATTAGCTTACGTCCGAATACTTTTCTACCTTCTATTGTTAAGCTGAATCTGATGGCTTGGTTTGCAGCAGTTTTGGTCTTGAATGTGAATATGGTGTGGGCTGTGCATTGTCCTGGGTTTCTTTGAGCTATGGGCTTGATGTATCTGGCTTTAGTAATTTTGTTCAGTTTAAAACCTGCCTTTACTTCTATTTCTGCAACACAGACTGGGGAATTTGGGTCAAATGCAACTGGGATGTTTCTGAGTAGGGTCTGGTATGTTCAGTCCTTGATAATGAGGTTGTGTCTGAAGTGTGTGAGGAATCTGCTGTGATTTGCAGGTTCATTGATCCAGGTTGCTGATTGGTGGGAGTCAACTTCATATAAGATACCACCATGTTGGAGTCTGTGTGCTGATAGGAATGTCATTCCTTTGGGGAGGGTTTTGCCATCCTTCTTGAGGAGTTCTAGAGCTAGCATGGCTTTCATGACTGGTTGGAGTTCTGTGAGGTCCTTTAGGGTGCTTGTCTCATTCATGGTGCATTTGTCAATCAGTATTTGCCTTGTTTGGGCTTCGCTACATGCGAGAATCTTTGTTAGTGGGGCAGGGATGCCTGTTCTGATGGTGTTTGCATAGTTTAAAGGTCCTTCAGACCTGATCTCCATTGCTTTGGCTGTGTCTCCCTGTTCCCTCATTGCTCAGATGGTGTCTTCCACCACCTTGCCTATGTGCTTGGAGGAGTTGTGCAATTGAGAGTGTACCTCGACAACTGCACAGTCTAATTTCTGTTTGTGCTGGGTGAGGTATTCACCCAGTTCTTCTACTCATGCTTCTAATAGTTCAATTGGGTTTTCTAGTGCAGCTGTTAATTTGTGTGCAAGGGTTGAAACTTGTTCTATCTGGTTGACATCATCTATTATGATGGTGAAGGCTCTGAGAATGTCAGTGTGTGTCACTCCAAGGTTAGCAGTAATTGTGAATTCAAAAAGGCAGTCTGCCAGTACTTTGAGAGTGATACCTGTGGATGGGATAGTTAGTCCATGGGTGGCTAGAAGTCACGATGCCAATTCCAGGTTTTTTACATCTGTGCAGATTCCTGTTCCTATTATATGATCTGACTTGTGCTTGCTGAAAGCAAGTAGGGGTTTATCTGCAGTGGTCTTCCTTCCAAGTCTGGTAGAAAGCACCATTGTTGGGGTAACACTACTTGGCTCATTGGGAGCTTTTAATGGGGGCATAGTGCATTGGGGAAAACCTCCTTCACAAAATCAAGGTAATTTCAGAAATTTTTTGAGAATCCCTTGTAATTTCAGTGAAATTGAGTGCAACCAGATTTCTCAAGCTCAGTCACAGTTACTTTGAATTTCTTTGAATTTCTTTGAATTTTTAGTCATTATTCCTCAAATACCATCAAATTATCTTGAATTCAGTTGAAGTTGATATACATGAACATTGATTAAATCATAATTAAATGAAACATCACCATCAAAAGACATGAAAAGAAATGAAAAGATCAGCAAACTCAAACTAAGCATGGGTATCAGTATGTACAAATGATGCATCAGATGCAGAGAAGTGACTGACTCAGTACCATATTTATAGCTTGATTTATTCTTCAACCATTGCGTCGAGATCAAGGTAGTTGCAAGTGCTTGATGAGCCGGTGGACACCAAGTTCTCGATTGCACTGATGTTGAGTTAGTCCAAGTGCCTAACAATGAAAAATAGCGCAAGCAAGACACACCTGACTGCCTTGTAAAGTTGTCCCATCAGTGCATGGTACTTCTTTCTACTACCATCAAAGATGCATGTGAGAGTCGCTTGGTGAGCCTTGTAAACACCAATGTGGGAGGAGGCATTGAATGATTTGACTTGTGCACTTGAAGGTGGGTTGCTGCTACTCCAATCCTTCAATATCGCATAAATCTGTAGAGAATATTATGTAGTCAGTATACAGAGTTTGAAACAGTATCATGGCTGGTGCCTACCATAGTTGTAATCAAACACACCATAGCCACAGGTAGCTCAGGCTCATCATTTTGATCTAAGACAGAAATGAAATCATCATGGCACTGAGCGCCAAATGAGTTCTTGCCATCAAAGAATGACAATCAGATGGCATCAATGGTAGCCTCATCACAAAATGGTTGGTCCCCAAGGACCTTACCCTGGGTAGTAGATGAGAATCAGACAAATGAAGAGAGAGATAACAAAATACTAAACAGACCTTGGCATTGGTTGGAAAAATATACTTGTGACTCTTAAGAAGGTCTTCTACTTTGTCAGCGCAACCTTTCTTGAGTCCAAAATGTGATACAACAATTTGATGTACAAGCTTCTTGAGATTGGTGCAGAAGGAGCTCATCCATCCCTCTGGCTTGTAAGCATATTAGTTTCATCCAAATAACCATGCAAAAAGTGTACATACAATTCCAGCAAGAGCCGGTGCATAATCAAAGTTGTGCTTCATCCTCTTTGCTATCGCATATTCCTTGTGCTTCCCGGCAGCGGTATGGACTGCTTCCAGGGACATCTTTTACTTCTCAGTGATATTGGGGAATGCATTGTTGAAGAAAGAGGCTTTCTTGAGTTCAAACATGCCGGTCTTCAACACATTCTGTATCTGGGTGTTTTGAGACTTGAGGTTGATAGTGCCATCTGCTGAGTAGACTAGATCTGTGAATATGGGCCATGTAAAGGAATAATCAGACTCTTTATCATCCAACTTGGAAGCTGACTCATGAGTAACATCTGCTGGCGGTGCCTCAGTTTTCAGCTCCACAAATTTAGGTCTCTACAAAGTGTGATGTGAGACAAAATGATGGGCGTGTGTAGTAGAACACATCACCTTGAGTTCTTGTCATTCTTCTAGCTTGCTCCTTTTCTTCTTGTCTTTCTTCTTGTCCAGCTGGTGTTTGGTGACTGTTGATAAAGCCTCATGGTAATAAGGTTTGGAATGACCACGACCATCAGAGGCTTTGTCAGCAAACTGCATCTCTGAGTCCAAGTCAGCAACATCAACCTGAGGAACACTGGCAGTAGTGCCAGAGGCCATTGACAACCATTCAGATACATTGCTGCTGGTTTGCGAATGCATTCTGGCAGCTCTAGCTGTGCAAGGAGGCACAAAATGGGGAATCTTTGTCAAAAGGTCAATTTCATTTTCTCACTGTTCTCAATGGCCCATGACTGAACCTCTTTAAGGAGTTCCTCCTGGGAGAGTGACTCAAAATCATCATCTTCAGGAACCTCCATATCATTGTCTGATTTTTCAGAAGCATGGTCACTGTCTCCGTATTCACTGATGGTGTCATTATCTTCAATTGACACCATGGCTGACTTCAACTTGCAGGAATTTGAAGAGCATGCTGATTTCTCACAACCTTGACTTTCAGCATGGCTGATCTCTTCATGTGCTCCTTGACCATGGTCCGCTGTTGAGTATCTCAGGGCTTGACATCTGTCTCAAGTAGCAGTCTGTAACTAACCATTGTTGCGATCTAGCTTTCCTGCAGGTGTCTTCCATGCTAACTTGGCTGCAGATACTGATTGCAGTCCAGTTATTGTGGGTGCGCACTTATGACTGTTGGCCATTGTCTCATTCCAAACTGAAATCAGGTATGTTAGTAACTGGTTTCTAACTGTACAAGTGCTGACCTTTCTGCTCTAAGGCCTTTATCTTTGATGACTGTGGCAACAGTTCTTGATGATTGTGAGTCCCTCACAATTTTCTTTTATGTACTACTTACTATCTGTATCGCTTTTTTTCACTGGCAGATTCTTGACTCACCTTGGCCTTTGTTTTGCTGTTCCGCTTGTGGGCAGCTATCTCTGATGGCATTAAAGACACTCTGGGAGGCATACTGACAAGGGGGCAACTATTTGCCTCAACTCAAGTTGGGAGGGAGGAAAGACTGAAAAAACTAGAAGGTTCATGGTCCACTGTTTTTTTGAAGTTTGTAAGTTTGTTTGTTGCTGTACGTCAATTTTTGTAACTAAACTTTTTTTGACTTGGATCTTGACCAACAGGGTGCGCCTGGTATTACTTCATCCAGGGTATTGCTTTCACTCTTGCATTTTGTAAGGGCGTGTATTACTTTTGCTCTTGCATTTTGTGAGGGTGTGTCTGGGGGGGTATTACTTTTGCTCTTGCATTTTGTGTACGTCAATTTTTGCAACTAAACCTTTTCTGACTTGGACCTTGACCAACAGGGCGCGCTGTTAAGGTCGTACTCAAGGGATAACTGGATCCGAAGGGCTTCGACCTCAGCTCATGTGCTGTGCCCCTTACCTGAGTATTGCCCCTTATTTCAGGAAGGCAAGACTAACGCATCCAGAAGGTCGGATGAGTATTGTAGCGGATCTGGATGACTTCTGGATGCGGGATAGGTATCATAGGGCTAATCCGGACAAGTCCAGACTAGAAACTAACAGTAATAGACTGTCAGAGACAGAGGTGGATACAGATAGACTATAGGAATCAATCCTAAGTCTCGGAGGGTGACAAGAGTAGAGATACTCAAGTCCAGAGGACGGGAATGAGTAGAACTAAGATGATATTTGAACTGAGGTACTACAGAGAGTTGCAGGAGGTTATATACTATAGGTATCTAATGGAATGATCAATCAGCAGAGTCCGAGGCTATGTACAAAGCATATGGATGGTCTATTGGTAAGTAGAAATGGATCACAAATAATGAAATGGAGATGAAGCATAGGTAACAGATCAGGGAGCAGGACTGATATACAGATAACCAAAATACTGGAGTTAGGGGGTTACCGAAAGGAGATGAGTGCTGGTTGTGGATTCAGATGAGTTGTGGACCAGACCGGATGAGTGGACAGATTGGATGACAAGATGTTGGAGGGAGATAAGATGTGGATAGGATTGGAGATAAGATGTGGATCTGAGATGAGATAAGGGTCGGATCTGAGATCCAGATATGCAGATATGACACATGCCTGGTATTACTTTGTCCAGGGTATTACTTTCGCTCTTGCATTTTGTGAGGGCATGTATTACTTTCACTCTTGCATTTTGTGAGGGTGTGTATTACTTTCACTCTTGCATTTTGTGAGGGCATGTCTGGGGGGGTATTACTTTCACTCTTGCATTTTGTGTATGTCAATTTTTGCAACTAAACCTTTTCTGACTTGGATCTACCAACAGCACATGCATGCTGTTTGGATACCTTTGTCTCTTTATCTACCACCTGTTTCTCTACTGTCAGAATGAACACTTGCCCAGGTTGTGCTAAAACCTTCAAGCATACTGGATATGCTCATCACCTAGCCCAGACCATAAATCCATCATGCGCTGCTCAATTACAACTTTCTGGTCTTTTTCCAGAGTTGGAGGATGGAGATTCTGACAGTCTTGATGGTGGAGATGACATTTTTGATTCTCATCATCTAACAGAATTTACAGGAGACTACTTTGGCTACTACAACAAACAAGATCTGGAATGGCCAGATGATAGCTGTGACGAGGCCCCCTTGGAATCTGATGGAGAGGAAGAAGATTATGATGCAGTGCTTGAGCATGGGTGGGAACGCCCTGCTGATCCTTCACAGCAGGATATTGATAGTGGAGATGATTTTGAAAACTTGGACAACTCAGATGCATCATCACAACCACACCCAGCCAAATGACAAGAAGTGGAGGTGCCCCTTGGTCACCAGCCCATTGTTGAGAAATTTCCATGGCACCATGCAGGTGCTCCAGCACACCACTCCCACACCACAGCTTTCAAGTCTTATAAGAATATACTGCAAAGTGCAGAAAACATTTGGGCCCCCTTCACATCACGCATAGATTATGAGGTTGCAAAGTGGGCTAAACTTCACAGTCCTGGCTCAACTGCTTTTTCAGAGCTGCTCACAATCAACAGTGTGAGCTTTCTCAATTGGGTCATGGCAGGCCAACATTTACAATGACATTTATATAGCTTCATGATGCCTGGGGTCTTTCATACCAGAACACCCATGAACTCAATCAAATCATTGACCAACAGTTACCATGCAGACAACTGCATTTCAAACATGAAGAAATCATTGTTGCAGATGAGGCATTTGATGTTTACTCATGCAATGTCATGGAGTGTGTCAAAGCTCTTTATTCAGATCCCGAATTCTCACAACATCTCAACTATGCTCCTGAATGCCATTATGCTGACACTGACAAGACTATCTGAATGTATCATGATATTCATACAGGCAAGTGGTGGTGGTCCACCCAGGCAAGTTGTCTGACAATCTGTTCAAGTCATATTGAACTTATTGCAACCTCATTTAGAAAGAACTCGAAACCAAGAAACCTGGAGCAACAGTCATACCCATCATCCTTTTGTCTGACAAGATGCAGGTCACCATGTTTAGAAACAAATCCACCTATCCTGTCTACATGACAATAGGCAATATTCCGAAGGAGATCTGTCGAAAGCCATCTCAATGAGCATGGATCCTGCTTGCCTATCTACCAACCTTGAAACTCAATCATATCACAAACAAGGCTGCTAGGCGTCGAATGGCAACTAATTTGTTTCATGCTTGTTTGTGTCACATTCTGGAGCCTCTGAAAGTCCCTGGCAAGGACAGTGTTATGAACTAGGATGGTTGTAATAACAGCAGCTTGATAAGAACAACGGCTGATATCACAATCAAGACCTTGCAAATGCAAGGGTTGTAAGACAAGGCAAAGAGAGTGTCTTTGACTTGAATATCAGTTCAGACGACTTAGGATTGGAGGTCCTAAGCGAAAGATGTTCCAGGTAAAACCTAGTAAGATTAAAGTGAAGTAACTAAAGCATACAGGAGGACTATTTATAGTGGGCTACTGTGCTTTAGGGCAAGTGTGAGAACGAAGTGAGTCAGAGATAAGAAACGCGTAAGCAATAGCAGAAATAAGTCATCTAGCAACGGCAACTGCGGTTGTGATGTAATACAGCATATGAGTCAGAGATAAGTCTAGCGGTGGCATCATGCAGCTCGTGACATAATACACAGTAGGATGAAGAAAATGAATAGGGGCATACATGACTGTAACAGATGGTGTTGCTATGGCCAGTGGGGATGGTATTGTGCGTCAAGGGCATCTGATTGTTGCTTGTTATTCCACAGATTACCCTGAACAGCTGTTGACTACTGGGATAAAGTCAGGAGAGTGCCCGAAGTGTGATGTCCCACACAAGGAGTTGGGAAGTTGTTAAGAACCATGCTCAAAGGAGAGAGAGACTGACTCAGAGGGGCTTGGCCTCAGCTCATACACTGTGCCCCTTACCCAAGTATGTGCCCTTCATTTCAGAGGGAGTCCGATGATGGTCCAACGAAGTCCAGAGGAGTGTGGGAGAGTTCCCACTGCAAGGTAATACTTCTACAGGAAAACAGGATGGAAGGATAGGAGGTCCAGAGGACAGGAGGACAGGATGTCTGGAGGTACAGAGGACAGGACATGGAGGTATGGAGGGCAGAACATCCAAAGGACAGGATGCCTGGAGGTATGAGGGACAGGACATCCGGAGGTACAGAAGACAGGAGGTCCGGAGGTCTGGAAGGAATAGGGGCTACATTGGATGATGTCCAATGTAGAAGCAAACAGAGGTAGACTACCCTAAGGTAGAGTTGGAGGGACAGGAAGTGGACCTAAGTCCAGAAAGAGGGTAAGTGCCGGAAAGGCAAGACTCCATTCTAGGGAAGCAATCCCTAGACTTGGGACAGAGACATAGGGACAAATCTGAAGGTCTGGAATTCTGGCCTAGGGAATCCATCTCTAGGCCTTATGGAAAAGGACAAACTCAGATGGACTGAAGTCTGGAAGAAGATTGGGCAAGTAGAACAGGATCTAAGATGATATTCAGACTAAGGACTCTACTGTAGTTGTACAGGGGTTATATACTAGAGGCTATCCAAGAGGATCAGTAAGCAAAGGAGTAAGGCTATGTATGAGCATGCAGAAACGCATTGGTAAGTAAGACGGAACATAAGTAAATGAACTTGGAGATGAAACTAGTACAAGGATCAATCAGCAAGACAGAAACAGAGATAACTGAGAACCAGAAAGGGGGAGATGCCTAAATGGGGATAGGCGCAGGATCTCAGACAGAGGGTGGGAATAGGTCTGGAGATAGTACAGTTAATATCCGGAGGTCCAGAGATCTGGGGATCTGGAAGGCAGGGTGGAAACAGGACTGAGATATGTGAGGTGGTGGATGTAGTCTGGAATCCGAGAGGAGGTAAAGTCCAGATGTCTTGCTGGACGGAATGTGCATAGGGTGGACAGGATAGGGGATCCAGGAATGAATCAGATATGGGGTCCGGAAATAGGTCCAGAAACCATGGGAATATGATGGGATCTATATCTGGCATACGGGATATGACAGAAGTCCAGATTTTCCTGTAAACCTGCGAGACCTCAATGCAATTCTCACCACATTGTCACTCATTGACGAGGATTATGACCTGTGGAGACAAGCGTGACAGGAGTGTGGCATTAAGCCTGTCTTCAAACTGTCCTGGCTGGATCTCCCACACACCAACATATTCCAATCCATCATGCCAGATGTGTTGCATCAGCTCTACCAGGGTATCATAAAGCACCTCATCAAGTGGATCAAGGAGGCATGTAGTGAACCTGAGATTGATGCTCATTGTCATAGGCTTCCCCCAAACCACAATATCCGCTTGTTTCTGAAAGGAATCAGTAACCTCTCACATGTTAGTGGAATGGAGCATAACCAAATCTGTCACTTCCTGCTCAGTATTGTCACTGGCATACAGCTGCCTGGAAATCTCAATAATGCTTGCCTTACTCATGCCATTCATGCTATCCTTGATTTCCTTTACCTCACACAATACCCTTCTCACACAGATCAAACTCTAGTACTGCTCGACGATGCCTTGACACACTTTCATGATAACAAGGATATCTTCCTTGATCTTGGGATCCGATCAAATTTCAACCTCCCAAAGCTTCACTCCTTCTGTCACTATGTACATATGATCAAAATGTATGGCACAACTGACAACTACAACACCAAGTACACCGAACATTTACACATTGACCTCATGAAGGATGCTTACAGGGCTACCAACTGTAAAGACAAGTATAGTCAAATGACACTCTGGCTCAAAAGATGTGAGAAGATGTTGTGGCATGATAACTTTGTTCAATGGCGTCTTGTTGGTGATCTTGCCTTGCAAGAAAGGTCACAACCAGACATGGATTATCATTGGGCAATCAAGATGACAAAACACCCAACCATCAAATGTGTTCCATTGGATCGCATTGTGCAAGACTATGGCACCACTTTTTTCACAGCAGCATTGGCTTGTTACATGGTTGGCAGAAATCAATCTGGTTTATCTGCAGCACAACTGGAACAAGAGGCTGCTCATATCATTCTTCCCTTCGATACTGTGGCTACATTCCACAGGATCAAATTTCATGCAATTGATGCTTGCAGGTTCTGGAACTCAAGTGTAACTGTAGATTCTGTGCATTCTCAACCATCACAGAAGGACAAGAGAGGGCACACAATCCCCACACACTTTGATACTGTTTTGGTCAATGAAGGGGATGGTGGGATAATGGGTGTGGATGGTGCATTTGCATTTGTGTGAACATGGCTGTTGATCTGACTTGATTCCTCCAAAAGGATACTGTGTTGCACAAGTTTGTGTCATCTTCACGCTGACAAGTCAAGCTACAAAAGTGTTATTCCCCGCTGGACCTGTAAAACCACCCACCCACCTTGCTTATGTGGAATGGTTCACACCTTTCCAGCAACCTGAATCACACCATGGGCTGTATAAAATTAGCCATTTGATGTGTCATGGAGAGCATCTCGCAAGCATTATTGATGTATCAGACATCCGCAGGAGTGTTCATCTTTTTCCAAATTTTGGTGCAATAGTACCTTGTGAATGGACAAGCAGTACTGTTCTGGAGCTCTGTTCCAGCTTCTTTGTAAACTCATTCAGTGACCAACATGCTTATTTAACTATTGTCTGAGGAGTATAACGAAATTTGTTGAAATACTTTTGAAATACATGTAGTTTAGTGAATTCCCTGAAATTCTCTCTTTTTTGAGGCAATTTTGACAAGTTTTGTAAAGAGGTTTTCCCTGATGTGATCTTTTTCACGGTTAAGAGTTCTCGGAGTGCTAGTTCAATGATATCTGATTGACAGGTAGAGGCCTGTTTAGGCGTCAGTGACGCTTCAGAACGCTGTTGAGCATTGTGTTGAAAATAGTTTTCCGGGGTCCTAGTCGGGGTGCCACTTGGTACTAAGCCAAGGAGCGATCAGGCAACATAAATAGGCCACTTCCTGGCAACAACGATAACGTCTGTTCGTAGGCTATCCTAGATGCCTAGTAGGCTTGTCTTAACATGTACATTGTCATATTCGGAACGGCCCTCTCAGATCTGGCTCTGGGCAACTAGGGACAACCCTGGACCCCCTAGATTTCTCTGTTTGGCACATATCTGACATTCATCTGGATATCCACTCATGCATGCAACACATCAGGATGTAGTACCATGCATGGTCAGTACCACATCCCAATGTGTTGCATTCTACATTGGCCCGCACGGCCTAACATCAGTAGTCGTATCATGCTCCGCGGACCGTCGAATGGGGGACTTATGCGACATCAAACAGTATTTTCCCAATACATCCAACGTCGTTCAATTTCGCACTCCGAGATCTTCTGCATTTTTGCTTGGTCTTCCTCAAAAATGATAAAGGACTTACGAGACGTCTGAAAAGTTCTTCAGCTGTCGGACCATTGCTAGATACATTGGCTAGGCGGTGCTTACTTTCCTTGCTGAGCAAGATATCGTCTCTGCTGAAGCTTGCTCGGACGGAAGAAGAAGAATCTCAGAGCCCGCATCTGTTCGCATCGAACAACGGTGTTTGAAAGATTGAAAAAAAAAAAACAATGTGATCGTTCTGACAAAGACTTGTGCATGCGTGAACTCGAAGGCGGTCACGATTCACGAATGATAGAGCGAGAGCAACTAGCTTCTTGGCTAGTAAGTACGGCATCAGTCACGGTGGTCAGCAAGTCACTCAACTTGAAGTTTTGCCAGTGGCTCTCGATAATCACGATGTCATCATGATGGTACTACAGCAATCAGTACAGGAGAGTCGATATTATCATCAGGTTGATCCAAGACTTGGAATTGTCCAAGAACAAGTTGAAGCCGCGGGGTCAAGCTACCTCGAGTGCATGAATCCCAACCTGGCTTACAAGATCTTGGAGCGATACAAGCGCCTTCCTAATGCTCATGGTCAGCCCAGACCTCAGGCCTTAGGTTTCAGGCAATGAAAGACCTATCACAGAATGGGAACCTGCAGTCGCTAACACCGCCGTGTACGACTCGCAAGCGGCAGTGCTCCAGGACCAAGTCATCATCTTCATTGCGAGCCATTGCTCATGCAACCTCGTCAAATATTGTCTTGATGTCAGGGAACCCCGCTAAGCCGCTGCTTCTCAGAGATTTCGAAATGCTCAAGAATGACTTTGTGAAGGTGACACAAAACGCTGATTATGCGGGCACAGATAATGATGAATTTACAAACACTGCGCAGGGTGTGAGACCGAGGTGACATCGTCAGCGCAACAATAAATGTGTAGTGATGACCATGCCCTTCGCCCCGATTTCTCTCCATGGAGGTAAACTTTTTTATGAGCCGTTTGGAGTAAACCCAGTTGGAGAGTACCTACTACAAGACTGTAGGGCCCTGCCAAGAGGACCAGCGCGGGAAAAATGCCGCACTTGATTCCGTCCTTTAAATTAAATCATTCATGTGAAATATGGATAGATGGGCCCATTAGGTAGGTGGATCAAGGTGGCATTAGGAGAGACAATCACGCAGGCGTTCAAACATTCACACAGAGTGCACAAGCTCCACAGCACGCTCACAGACCATATCGATCCCCCACCGCTCGCCCGAACCATGTTTCAAGTCCAGAATGCCACCCACCTCATCGCATGCCCGCAGCACTGTATCAATATCCTCCTTTGTGTGCGACGCGCTAGGGCAGAACCGCGCACGGGCCGTCTCAAACGGAGTGGCGGGGTACGTTACGACAACGACAACGATTGGTATGGGGCGCGCACGCATCATACGCACGAACACGGGCAATTTTCCAGGGTTGAAGATGAGCAGGGGAACAATCGGACTGAATGAATGTCCATAGATGATGAAACCGAGTTTCTTGAGGCCCGCGTGCAGATAACGGGAGTTGAAGGCAAGACGGCGAATACGCATGCAAGCTTCAGATCCGTCTGCAAGAGCCGGAGGAAGGTTCATCCACATCGGCAGGCCGCTTACAGGTACCATACCTAAAAGCTCTTTTGCATTGTCTCTCGGCATGACGATCGAGCCCACAGGGTTGAGGGAAAGCTTGGAATTGGTTGGTTGTGGTGCAAAAGCAACACCCATGATACTGGCCATCGAGGCAATAATCTGGGCGAGCACGGGGGGTGAAATCGCTTCTGCATATGGGCCGGAGTGACCGCGCAATCGGAGACAATCAATAAGGGTTTTCTGCCCTGCGATGTATCCACCAGCAGCACCAAAGGACTTGGTGAAAGTGCCCATTAAGACATCAATCGAACTAGGAGGGATGTCGAAGTAGTCCGTTACACCTCGTCCATGAGGACCAAGCGCACCGATCGAGTGCGCCTCGTCGATGTAAAGGTAGAACTTATACAGAAGATTAAACATCGTGACAAATCACTGTTATTGCAAGACGGACCTTATAGATCTGTTTTAGCTCGACAATCTTAGGCAGGTTCACGACCGTGCCTTCCATGGAGTACAAACCCTCGACGATGACCAAGACCTTCTTCCACGCACGATGCGTCTTGGGCTGACCCTGACTTATTACCTCACGCAGCAGGGACTCAAGGCTTGACATATCATTGTGCTTGAATACCCGGACGTGTGCACCACTCTGTCGTGCACCGATGCGAATACTAGCGTGGTTCAGCTCGTCTGAGATGATCAAGGACCCTTTTCCCACCAGTGCAGGGATGAAAGTGGAGTTGGTGGCGAATCCCATAGAGCTGATCAACGCATCTTCCATGCCGACAAAACGCGCAACAAGGGCTTCAGCAGATGCATGGAGCTCGGAGCTCCCACTCTCTAGACGTGTGCCACAGGTGGAGACGCCACATCGGCGTATGCTTTCCTTGACTGCATTTGAACAGCCGCCACGGCTCTGGGAGAAGCCAAGGTAGTTATACGATGAGATGTTCAGCGCACGCGTCTTGCCACCAGTAAAGATCTGAGTGTAGTTATTATCTGTGGAGTGGCGGTCGAGGATAACAATAGTGCGGCCAGGAACACCCGTAACAGGCTGGCACAGGCAGTCAGTCATACGACCCCTGAGCCGCCGAGTGTAGAACGAATCAAAATTTGTGTTCAGCGGCGCGTAACCCTGCACATGGAACAAAATCTGATGAACAAGTTCAAGGAGGACAAAATATGGCACATACATTCTGGGGCATAAGGTGGGCGAAATAAGACTTCGCAAACCGCTTTCCAAAGAAGTCGCGCATATGACCTAACAAGTGAAGAATGAAAAAGCTTATGTGTGTGGCAAGGAAAATATAGTATGGGGGCTCCTCGATAGCTTGCTCCTCGAAAGGCTTCGTGTAGTCATGCTTAGAGACGCAACGATATGCCTCATTCGTACAGTGACCAAACTCTGTGTGAGCGGTAGTGAAGACCTGCTCGGAGGTAGGCGGTGTAAGGGGGTATACAAGGAAGTTGTTTTCATCGTCCTCGCTGAGGGCGTTGTCCTCGGAGGAAGCTGTGATGGAAGGCGAGGGGGAAAGTGCAGGGGTTGATGCTACAGAGGAGTTATCGTGACTGCGTGCACGAGTGTCTGCTTGTTGAACAGCAGAAAGATACGGCTCTGCCGTCGGCATTGATAACAACTGGCTGGGTAATTTTTTCTCCTCGAAGATGGATAGAGATGGTGATGACGGATTCAGCGCGATGAAAGACGGCATATTCTTGTCCTGTCGAACAAATAAACCGCCGTTCAAGGACGATGAAGGAACAGGGGCAACAGTAAAGTTACAAGATCGAACCTATATCACGAGAAACTCTCGCCGGCAATCACAATTCGATTCCTAGATGTCCTGGCTGGTTTACCATAACAACCTCCTGTAAGTATGGGTTAGAACAACTTGATCACACTACGAATTTGTTTCCAACGACGGATTGACCGAGTGATTGGTGACGTGGAGCACGACACATTAACAGAGTCTCGGGGGGCAAATTTTTCTCCTGCCGACAAGAATGTAACTCTATTATGGAAAAGACAGTGTCGTCAGTGTGGATGAAGGTACATACATTGATACCCACGCGATATACTAATTGTTGATTATCTGAGAATTAGGGTCAAGCAGCCCCAAGCGGTCATCCGTAGCCATACAGACATAGAAGACACTCGTTCTTCATGAATCATCATTGGTACTGAATGTCAATTGCTCGTTTATCTCACGTATCTGTGCGTGATTCGCGAGACTCCAAATAGTATTGTTAGCGGCTAGTGCTGTATCTGTGCCAGTGGAAACGGTGGTAATTGAAAGTCTAAGGCCATTTGGGAGAAGTAAAGTCATTTGGCGGAAGTATAGTTGATCATACTGATGCATCACGAAGTCCCGGGGGTCATCGCTGCTGCTTAGCATGCCACACAAGCCGGCGCATCTGATGGGCTGCGTTTCTAACATGATGCTATCATTCTATCATGCCACATACCCGGACTGATTGCTGCTCCTTGCCAACGCTGCTTCAAGTGTAAGGGGGCAGACTGATCGAAGGAGCGCGGACCGAGCAAAATATGATGACGGCAGGTATTAGGCTAAGTATATGTGGGACCTGGGTTCAAGTTGTAGCACGTGACGACTTGACGAATATCCCGAGTCTCCCGGAGTCCCTGGTCGTGAGCCTAGTATGCTGAATCGTTATCATGTCAGGCCTCGATGTCCTGTATGTTCGTAGGCAGCAAATTCGCCCTCTTATCTTTCCGATTGGCACCATGTGGGCGGTAAGATAATACCATTGTTCTCCTTGCCAGCGAATCGGACTAGATGAATGCAAAGTCATACTGTGACGGTAAGTCCACTGTACATGCAGATTCAGTAACCATGCATTAGCATGTACTGTTCAGTCGGGTGAGTATTATACTACTACCTCTTGACTACGATGTCTTTCGAGTCACGATCCCGTCAATGCCATTTCATATTTACTATCTCTCTCAATGAGTTCGGTACTTGAGACGATTGGCCTTTAGGTAGAATAGGCACATCATATTTTAGCCTGGCTAACAATCCGGCAGCAATCAATATTCGGCAAATGGTTCCCCTCCTGAGAAGGTACCGGTTATGTAGTTGCTATTCGCCTCAACTTTCTACAACTTTGAACGATGCTTAGTTATCCATCCGTCACCTCTTCATGCACTCGAATCCTGCGCTCAACCCTCAAGACATCCCACAAGTCCTTCTCCACCTCACAGCCCATACTAAGCACCGCCAGCTCAACCAATCCCAACTTCGTAAAGATAGTCGAAGTCGGGCCTCGCGACGGTCTCCAGAATGAACCAAAGCCAATTCCACCTCCCATCAAAGCAGAACTCATCAATAAACTCGCTATCGCAGGGATGCGCAACATCGAAGCCGGCAGCTTCGTGAGCCCAAAATGGGTGCCTCAGGCACGTCTCTACCAGTACTCCAACACTCGTACTGATATGCAGACGTGGCACGCAGATGGCAGGCACGGCAGAGGTCTTATCTCTCATAGACAGTTTCCCGAAAACCGGTTACTCGGTGCTCGTTCCAAATCAGAAGGGGTTGGACGACCTACTAGACATACTCTCCTCTAGCACTTCTCCAAACTCACACGCAAAGCCCCCACCTCCAGTCACCGAAATCGCAATCTTCACATCTGCGACAGATGTGTTCTCTCTCGCAAATACCAACGTCTCTGTTTCAGGTTCTCTCGAACGTCTTGCGCCAGTTGCGCGCAGAGCTCTTGATGCTGGGTTGAAGGTGCGAGGGTATGTTTCAGTAGTCGTCACATGTCCCTTTTCTGGACGCGTGGATCCGAGGCGGGTTAGGGATGTTTCGAAGGAGCTCGTACAGATGGGATGCTACGAGGTGAGCTTGGGAGATACGACAGGCGCAGGGACGCCCGCTAGCATCCGTGGGATGCTTGAGGAAGTTGCGAAAGAAATAGATGTAGGGATCCTTGCTGGACATGTAAGATTCACTCGCTTGTATCTTATCTTATGGTTGATTCAATATTCTTTTGGACTGTGTAGTTCCACGATACGAATGGTACAGCGACTGCCAATATTATGACTGCTCTTGACTTCGGGTTGCGAACATTCGATGCGTCCGTTGGTGGCCTTGGAGGGTGCCCGTATAGTCCTGGTGCCACGGGTAATGTTGCAACGGAAGATGTCGTCTATGCTCTCACTGGAGATAGGTTATTCGGCAATATTGGTGAACCATACGGTGAAGCATCCCTCTATGCATGTTTCTCCTTGTGTGAGCTGATCACATGATATATTGTAGGTAATGGGGAGCCTGCCAAGACGGTGCAAAGTCGATGGGACGTAGGTCCCGTTGACCTAGTTCGACTCGCAGAAATCGGGGAGTGGGTTTCTAGGGCTCTCGGGCGAGAGACTACGAGTCGTGCTGGTAAAGCCCTATTGGCGAGACGGAAGAGAGAAGAGGAACGCAAACGAAAGGAAGGAGCAAAGTTGTGACATCGGGACGCTTCCGAGTCCCCCCTCACGAGGTAAGCTGATGTCTGCTCGACTCAGACGTGAATTTATCTTGCTCGAAGACCACAATCGTCCTGCATACTTTTTATCGCTGTAACAATCCATGTATCGCTCTCCTCTATGACATTATCTGCTTTGAATCAAATAAATACTCAGGGTATCACGACTCGTAATTAGATGTCCTGTCCTGAGGTGAGGTCCAATTTCATCAGCGTCCATGTGCGTTCGCTCCGTGCGCGGGTAATCCATACTCTCACTCAGGTTTTGAGCTAAACTCCTTTCCAGCTTCTACATCTTCCAGCGCAACTCGGTCGTACTTGGAATTTTGCTGAGATTCGACGTGTTTCACCCACGTGTAGTAAACGGACCCTAGAAGGATAATTGCAATAGAGGAGGCACGGCCACTGTAGACAGAAAATGTGAATCACAAGAATTTTGCCAACAAAAAAAATAGGATGCAGCCCGCAACAGGCGGAAGCAAGAGACAGTCACATGGCACGATACAGACAGAAAACACGCACCCCGAGATGATGTCTCCAAATAACCACATCCCCAATATAGACGCTGCTACGCCTCTTACTGCGGAGGACACCATGTGTGTGATGGGCGAAGTGACCTTGATAGACAAAAGACTAGCAAGGCTCATCATGAAGCCAAGCGCACCCTAAAGATGCATCAGTCATCAATAGCGTAAATCACCAAAGCTGGTGTGAAGACCCACCGTGATAAAGGACCCCCAAACGAATGTCTGCAACTCACTCAACTCTCCTTCCTTAGGGACAACCCCTACTCCGAAAAACAAATCCTGAATCGCTGGGACCTCGCCAGCAAATACGATGATGGGGATCATCACAACCGCGCTGAACAAATTTGTATACCATGACAGGTTCATAGCGCTACCCTTGACTACATCCAGACTCTTTTTGATGACCACGCTATGCACTGCCGTGATTGCGGAACTTGCGACACCAAAGCCAATACCAGCGAGAACCATGGGGACAGAATCGAGAAAGATACCAACAAAGAAACCGAGGGTAACGATAGAACAGCTAAAGAGAATGCGGAGGGACGGACGCGCAGAGAGGAAGAAGTAGGAGGTAAGGACTGTGAAGGGGAGGACGAGGCCGCGTGCGACTTGATAGACAGATGCGTCGACATACTTGAGGGTATAATTACTGAAACTGAATGAACCAATGTCAAAACCTGGTGTTGTTGATTCATGGGAGAGTCATACCTCAATCCCACGACATTCAACCCAATGTTTGGGGCGAGTTGGATCAGAAGTTGGGTGTCCACATACAAAGGCAGAACTAAGAGGCGGGTTGAATGTGCGGCAATGAAAAGAATGACAGCAATGACAAGCTGGGAAAAGAGGAAGAAGAGCGGGGCATCAGTCGTTTTGAGAACCCATTTATTCCTATGTTTCAAGACGGATGAGTGAGCTTGGTATATTGGAACAGAGGGATAAAATTACGCCATGACCATCTGCATGCAAAGGAATTAATGAACAGGAGGGTAGTAAGTAAGAGACGGACGTACACATAGTGCTGCTACAAGGTAGAAGAGCACTGTACCAGTCTGCAGTTAGAGTCTCTGGTCACTGAAGAGTGATGAAATTTTTGATAATTGGGACGTACGACGAGAAGTCTGCTGTTCTGCGACTGTGAACGAGCATCATGCTTGTGGGACATCGTGACAATCGAAGCGTTTGAGAGGATTATAACACTTGTTTGTACTGTGAATATGTGTTGTGGTAGCCTAGAATCTTAAGTATGAAGAGTTATATCATGAACTGAAGTGAAGAAGAGTGTCGTGAGTAGGAAAATTCATGTAGTACGGAGTTGGAGCGGGAACAATCAACGGCGTGGCAGCACAGCGTGGCAATGCTAGCACTGAACTCCCGGGTGCATTTGCTGGTCTTGGAATTAGTCTTGGCCAGATGCATGACACTGGTCGCTCCCTCTTGAATTCCTGCAATATGGGTTGCCTCGCAACTATGTCTTCTCTACCCTACCATACAACACATACATATAGACTCGGCAATATTGCGACCATCTGGGCAATACCTTTCATACAACGCCGCTACCACCGCTGCTTCCAACCCTTGAGCATCCAGAATCTTACGAGAGCCCTGGGCACAGGCCGCCGTCGGCCTGTTGATTTATTCAACAGGTCAGCGATCCCGGCGGCACACAACATCCACGACCGCTCCTCTCTGCGTCCATCAACCATGCTCGATGTCGTGACCAACTTCCTGCTTCCATCTTCACCAGCTCCAGCAGCTTACTCATATCGAACGGCAGCGACGTATCTGCCTGGATGGCACCCACCACATATGATCTGTTCAAGCTTCAATTCAGCATCGAACACAACGTAATAGTGATATTACATACATCACTGTACTCTCTTTCAGAGGCTCCACTCGCCTACCTGTCTTCAGTATGTCGCACATCTTGTCAAGGGGCGTATTCCGGTGGTGCCATAGGTTGTAAGCCCGCATATATTGTGGGCCAGGGGGCGCTGGTGCTAATGACGGAATATTCGGCGAATTGGATTCCGGCAGCGTAGGTGATGCTATTACCTTGGCACTACCTGCCCTTAGGCTGGGTGGATCGACTGAGTTGGTGTACTTGGATCGGGTCAAGTTCTTTGTTGCCAGCTTTGGCCAAGTCCAAGAGCTTCAGGTGTACCATTAGTGCTGCATGCGCATCATTCGCCGCATCTTGATAGATGTCAATAGTCGAAGTTTTCCTGCATCACGTTGGGGAGCTCACAATGCACCATCTTATCATTCAGATCTGCCTCCCAATTACTGGTGCGCTCTTTGCTCTTCGCTAAATTGCACTCGAGGTACATAGCAGTCATCTTGGCGAGGCTGACTACTCGTCGCTTGTATATGCTAGAGAAAGTATCGTCTGCGACATGCGCAAGTGCACCAAGCTCGACGAGTCCTCGGGTTGTGATTCCAAAGTCACGAAACAATTTCTCGCCATCATCTACCAGTTTGCGTCAGGTGAATCACAACTCATACCTCCAAGCTACGCACTGTAGATGTTCGCCCCTGTCTTTACGATACTTGGCGACTCAATCACCTCCTTGCGGGCTGTTAATGGGACAGCATCAATGAACTGATTGGGCTTACCAAGACCCTTTCTGGAAACCCTGCCGCATAGCCAAGTATTCAGGCGGTAGCAGACCATAACTGAGGGACAACCCACGTTTCATTTGGCTTACCTGGATTAGCAAGATAGTTGATTTGTCGCACAGTTGCACTAGTGCTGTTCGTCGTTCCTGCGCACCAGAATTCCATAGTACACGCCACTCGAGGTCAAATCCAAGGGGACTATAATAGCAGGCATGATCATAGTCGAATACTTCTGTGCTGCTTTTGCGATAACAGTTACAGGTGAACATACCTTTCAAGTGTCTGAACCAATTTGTTTGCCTCATCCTCGCAGCGTATGTAGACAACAGCGGGCGAGGGAGTGTAGTAATCCACGTAGGAGTAGTTAGGCAAGTTAGGCATTGAGGAGGTTGCTTCGGCAACGGACTTCCCCGACATTGTAACTCGACTACCTTTTCCTTTGTGAGATTCGGGTATTCTCCCTCCGGGGCCTGAGCTTCGGGCCACTGCCATACTGGTGAAATTCTCGCTGTTAGATACTTTTGCTTTGTCAATGTCGCCACCCATTTTCTTCGGAGCAATTCTCCGTCTAACTCTAGTAAGGATCTACATCGGTTATATGATCGGCCATGAGAAACTGACCTTGATATTCCAGTCTCCATAGTGTTTGTGTGATTCAGGGATCTCTTCAGTACTTTATCGGGTTGCAGCGCAACGCATTCTGTACTTCTTAGGTTCTCGTCGAGATTTGCCACCTGGTTATTCGATTTGGACAGTGCAGAAGTAAGGGCGACTTTACGTCTGGACTGCTCCAAAAAGAATGGGTGGATTCTATGTATCGAAATGTTGAGTTCGAGTCATAGAACAGGCTATAAGACGCGTACGGCTTGGGTTGCTTCTCACTTAAGTTCTTTGTACCCTTCAGGCTGTTCTGTGCGAACAAGTTACCCTCGAATATCTCGATTGAGCTGTCAGAATCCACTGTGTCGTGAAGGTGGCCCAACGCTTTCCGTGGCCGTGAAGTGTGTTCGGAATCACGGACCTCTTGGTTGGCAGGTTTCCGAGTGGGTGATTGGAAGATACCTTGACGAGAGACTACCCTTGTATTAGAAAAGACGCAGTTTTTTGTCGCCATTCCGGCAAGTAGCAGCTATCGCAACTGGGGTGCAAACGCTCTGAGCTGCCAAGTTGAAGTAAGTTGAATTTCAATAAGACGCGTCTCGCGCCTTGTCACGTGATGACATACATCCTCCTTCTTCGGTATAATCTAAGTTTATAAGCACAGTTTGTGATTTAGCTATATGCAGGTGAGTCAACGTTGATAACGCTGTGATAACGTTTAAGTCCCCTCAAATCAGCAGGACAATTGGCGGTGCAGAAGTTGAAATTTGCGATTTGTCTGCAGGTATCACATGACATACCTGGCATGAAGCTCCACATATAATTTATGTAAAACCCTTCAATCACGGATGACCCTGAGGGTTACGTTTTTGACTTAAATTCTTCGCTTTTCCCTCTTATCTTTGGTCTCATTTTCAACGAGCACCTATCGGAAGATCAGTCAAGTTCATTCGAATAGGTGAATGTTTAGTGCAGTAGAATGTCAGACAACACTTACCTTCAATCTAGCAGCTCTTTCTGTTTGACTCAGAGTTGCGTATACTAGCAACAACCACTGAGTCGAAGTAATGGCACACTTATCTGGGACACCATCGTCCCTTCCCCAAGACTATGCCATTCTATCTCGTTTTTCTGCTCCCCTTTCAGGAGAAACGCAGGAAGAGCTTGAAGCCTCTCCTGCCAAGTTGAACGATCAGGAAGAATACAGGTGAAGAGGATGCCTTGCTTGCATCACGGAAGCAAGTGAGGCGCACCAGCTTTCCTTCATCGTATATCCTTCCACCGCAACCTTCCATGACTATCATTCCTACAGCACCGGGTGTACTTCAGCCGACTGAGAACACACCCCTCCTAGCCCCATTGATGCCACGCATCCGAGAGAACGTGGACTTTCCTTGTGATGGACGTGAACCTAGCACCGTTCAAATGTACTGGGAAGAACTATGTATCTTGCTGAAGTACACCTTGCCTGTTTTTGGGTGAGTTCATGTATCAAGTTTACTGTCAGTTGAACCAAACCCTTCTGTTAGCACCCATGTCCTTGAGCACAGCATGATAATGTCGTCCTGTGGTCTCCATAGGCCACATCTCAACCGTCGCTCTTGCTGCCGCAACTATTGGGTTCATGACTGCTAACGTCACTGGTCTGAGCATCATTCATGGTCTCGTTTCAACCTTAGACACAATGCTTCCTGGGGCTTGGACTTCTGATCAACCACACCTTGTTGGACTATGGACGCAGCGCATGAGTATGTTTGTTTGCTTGCTTGTTCGATGCTCGCTCGCTGCTTACCATTTGTTACTCAAAGCTATTGTCGTGGCTGTTGCACTCATAGTAAGTTGTCAAATCCCGTCGAACGTGTTTTTTTATTGAATCATTGCGTTATTAGCCCATGTTTGCTATTTGGTGCAATGCAGAACCTATCTTGCTTTTACTGAGGCAAGAGCCGGAAGTTGCGCGGCTCGCTGGTATCTACTTGAAATGGGCCTCGTTAGGTCTGCCGGCCTATGCATTCAATTGTATTTCCCGGTGAGCTTGGCTTTCTTAACTTATAAATCATTGTCCTAATTGGCATCGTCAGCCGATATTTCCAGTCTCAAGGTGTGTGAATCTGTTCTGACCTGTGATTTGACGCTCACCATCAATACCCGTCAAGGTCTCTTCAATGCGCCGACTCGTATCATCGTGGCAGTAGCACCTATCAACGTGCTTTTGAATTATCTGCTGGGTGTGTTTTGACGCTCGGATTTGACCATCTCACCCACTTATGCGTTCACCGTAGTATGGGGTCCAGAACCAATCAGGTTGGGTTTCATCGGCGCCCCAATAGCGACATCGGTTTCCTACAATCTTGTGTCAATAACCTCTGTCATCTATGGCGTTTTCTTTGTTGAGAGAACCGCCTGGCATCCGCTGTCAAGGCGATCCTTCACCTCGCTAGGTCTTCTTGTCCAGCTTGGGTTAGGCGGCGTTGGTGAGTAGCTGAGACAATATCGCACGCTACCAAGTTCATCCGAGACTACTTATCTTCAATATAGGTCAGGTTGCTTCAGAGTGGTGGTCGTGGGAACTAATCGGGCGTGCGTATATTTCCCTGCTGTCCGTTGTTTAGAGGAAACACTGAATTTCGATTCACAGTTGCTGCTAGCCTGTAAGTGTTACATTCTAGTATCATTGAATTAAACTGATGTTCCGTATATAGCCTTGGGCCTACAGCGTTGGCAACCCAATCAGTCCTTTTGTCGACTTGTTCGTCCACATTTCAAGCCCCATTTTCTCTGGGTATTGCGACCTCCGTCCGGTTCGTTCCTGTTCTGCGCGGGTGGCATATCAAGTCTAACTGAAACCACAGTATCGGTAATCTTCTCGGGGAAAGGAATGCAAGGCGTGCTGAAGTTTCTGCAATTGTAGCAATTCTGCTCTCCGCTGTAATAGCAGCATTTTTTAGGTTTGTTCTGCCTCACTTGTGTTTGACGCTGTTTTTTGAGATGCTGGCTAGTGCCGTTTTATTGACTTTCCGCAAGTCGTGGGGTTATTTATTCAACAACGATATTGGTATGTCCGATTACCACATAGCAAAGTTACCCCCTCACGCATGGCTCACATTGACACAGAGGTCGTGACACTTGTGGCATCTATCCTGCCAATATTGGCGTTGTTCCAAGTACCCGACTTTGCGTGCGCTATCACATCCGGAATATTGAGAGCTAGAGGCAAACAGGTACGCGCTCTACCATACTCCGGCCGTCATCTGACTGACCGGTCCTTATCAGTTCACTGGAGCTCTACTCAATATCAGGTAAATCGTGTCAAATCCACTCATTCGGTTCGATGTCTACTTACATGTTCTTCAGCGCATACTATGTCATTGGGATTCCCTTTGGGTTGTGGCTCACCTTCAAGCAAGACATGCGACTCGTAGGGCTTTGGTGTGGTCTCACCGCTGCCCTGCTTTACGCGTCAACCCTTGGCATTTGGCTCTGCCTCAGAACGAATTGGAAGAGGGAGGTGGAGAAGGTAGCTGAACGCCTTGCTGTAGACAAGAAGTACCGTGATGGACATGCGGACTCTGAACATCTGACGCAATGATTGGCGAGCTAGTTGATGGTGTACATTGGCTGGAAGCGTGGCGTAGTGCGGCTTGGTTTGGTTTATTCACGTCTTTAACGACCTCATGAAACTTACTTGAACTAAATCCCTTGTGGGAAATTCATTATCAGACTGTGCGCTTTCAAGTGTGAACACATGGCTTCTCACCACCCTTGGTGCATCGATGCCCGACTTCCTGAGACTGCTTCTTTCGAAGCCTTGTCAGAATGTCAACTTGGGTGTTGAGCGGTTCGGTGGAGGCATATCCCTTTTTTCTGGGGCCCGAGTCGGGCTGGGCAGTGGCCTGACGTTTTGATCAACGGGGCAACGCCACTCATACACTTTCTCATGGATGTCAATCAAATGGAATTAGGTATCTCGAGGAAGCAGATTCAAAACGAAACTCAGCGTTGACTAAGGGTCGATAGCGGAATTCAGTGTGCCAGACCTACCCCATGTCTCATTAGGTTTAGTTTTATCGAACGATGCACGCTCAAAATTCTAACATAGGACAATTCCCGCAGACTTGCTATATGTCCTTGACCATTGCATGCACCTTCCGCAACTAACTCTGATTCCCTGATGGTTCCTGCCTCGCAGCTCCTGCCTCCAAGATTCGCCTGCACTCTGCATTCTCACCGCTCTCGTACGCGTGTTCTTTACACTAGCCGAAGCTGGCGGCTGCTATCTTGCAATGCTACGTTTCCGCTCTCCTTCTAGTGTAAGATTCTGCTTTCTCACCAGTGTCATACGCGTGTTCTTTATAGCGGAAGCTGGCGGCTGCCGTCTTGCGATGCTACATTTCTGCTCTCCTTCGATCATCGTAAAATCCCATCACCGATTGCTTCTCAACCCTGTTTACGGATGGCGGTAAGAATACGGCTCGAGGTCCTTCGGCCGTCACAGATTTATCTTATTACTCGATCAGGATAATCTGTAACATTGTCTTCGTCTTCCCGATCAAAAACTATCGCACGATGAGCGATGAGATATATATATAAAAGTATAACGGTCAGTATCTAATCCTATCCTTAGTATTATAATCCGTTTAGTGGCGTTCACAGCAGAGAACTGCAATTACTGAAACATTCCCACCGATGGGAGGTGCATCGCGTTAAACATGACATTGGAAGGATTGAATAGATGCTACGACTCAAGGCGGGTCTTGAAGAGCTTCAAAATATTGTTCCAATAGCCTTACCACTACATACATAGGACAAATCAAAACCTCTGCGAAGCACCCACAATATCGTCCCCCGCCGGGCCTGGCTTGGTGCGGGAATAGCCGCTAGTCTTCTGATCGGCCTCAGGAAACTGGAAACCGCTCACCGCAAGAACGGTACTCAATCGGGATGATCCTGAGAGGGCTATTCAGGGATGTTTGCGTCCTCACGGTGCGGGCTGAGTCTCTATTTGATTTCTCCGTTCGTTCGTGTTCCTAAATCTATGAATGCATTGAACGTCCGGTCCGGAGGGATCATATGAGAGAGCGACTTTAAGACTTGGTGACCTTTTAGAAATCACTTCATCGAGAATCGACTTTTAAAATGCATAGGGAGGAAAATATCATCACATTGTAGTTGGAAATAATACTGCAGCCTGTCCCATCTAGGTTGTTGGATAGTACCTATCGTGTCTAAATGTGTCTATGTACCTGTATGTACCACCATGAAATCCCAATAGATACAGTATCTATGATCGTACAAGCCTATTGATTATACTTAGTTTGGTACATGCGAGGAGAGATTGCTTTCGATACAGTGTCTGCCAAGAGTCTATAACAGGAAAGAGACGAAACCATCAAAGCTTTGAAATGGTGGGTTGCATTTTGTTAAGGTATGCTGAGGCAACTACGCTGCCTGTTTTCTTGTTAATGACCTGGATAAATTGATTAATCAATCGTCAATCAATTGATCAAGAAAACAAACCTCGCATCGAGCGCTCATGATTCGGCTACCCATAGCGACTGAAGTGCTGGTGATACGCAAACACGATCCACTAGTGATAAGAGTGAGTGAGTAGCAATAGGAATTGGCCATACTAACGTACGCTGGTGCAGGGGAGTGGAACATAATGTTCATCGCCTGAGTGACTCCCACTCCATTAATGTTTTGTATGAGTCCCAGAGCAACCAACGGAGTGCTGCAGCAGCTATAGTAGTCTATCAGAACATCCCGAAGAGCATCAGACTACATCATACTGACTTGTCAATCAGAAACGCCACACAACCTCCATGGAGCATTCCCGCGCCATTCAACATGCCTAAGCAACTTGTGAGTACTCCCTGACCGTGCCTCGTACACGCTGACATACTTTTTGAAACAAGAACTTCTGCAACGGTCGTTGCCTCCATGCGACCTTGTTTTTCGTAGCTTTCATGGGCGCTGATGTCAATGAACTTCACTGCCTTGGCAACGGAATGACCAAAACAGTGTTCGTCACCGGCCCCGTACGCCATGAATGTATTGAGGATAAGTTGCTTGACGTAGGAAGATACATTGCCCTGTATCTGGGATGCATCCCCACCGTTGGCCAAGCTCTTGGGGTCTACCCATGCCTTGCGCGGTGGTGTGTAGGAGGAGGATGTGCCGCTGTAGATGATGTTCTCGGAAGAGGATGAAGAAGAGGAAGGAGTATATGACTCATAAGCAGGAGAGGCGGAGCTGGCATAAACGGGAGATGACCTAGTAGAAGGCATGATTCAACTTGACAGAGGCTCGGTAAGTTGGCATACCTCAAACGAGGACCCGATATTTATCGAATGTCTTGACCCACATCAAGACTTTCGCTCGGCTATATTTAAATTAGTATTGCTGGCGTAATGAGAAGCCTGGCGTGTTTTGAGCAAACTTCTTGATGCGGCTTTGAACTGGTTGTCAGTCTCCCGATACCAGGTTGAGTGACACGCTAAGTCTGGAAGATCTCGTGATCCACGTGAGTCTTAATTGGAGTGAAACCAGGGATGCAACGAGTTCCCTGTGAATCCGACAGTCAGGCCATGGGTCGAGCTATTGGCGAAATTATATTATGTACGTCACGTACTGATGGTCAGGGTACACCCAGATTCCATTGATGGGCCAACTTTATCTTTACAGAGAACACAACATTCAAATTTCAGCAGAGCCAACCCAAACAGTGATCTGATTATCATTGGGGCCATGAGAAATGTGAGCCTACAATTTGCAAGATACCGTCACGAGAATTTTGAAATAGCTATGTGCTCAGTCTTCGTTGCGCAAGAGCTTCCTAATTCTGGGGGATCCACCCAACGAATTCCCAAGTTGAAGATGGCCACGTTGAGGCGACGAGCGCTGTGAGACCGGCGGAACTGAGTTAGAAAGAAAGAACGTGTGAATCACCTGGTTGACTCCTGGACATTTTTTTCCGACAAATTCACCAAGGCTGTCCCCAAGATCCGCGTGGACCATCGATAGATGTAGATCAACTACCAGTTTTTAGGGAGTCAAGGCACTAAACGGGCGGAACAAGGCTTCAGGTTCAATACATGACGATCGAAGGCGGTTATCTGATTCTCAATCACACACTGACCCTAGCATCTTCTGTCGAGGGAACCCGGTGTCTTACGGTCAGTCATGAATCCTCACGTCAACGTCTCCTCAAGTTAATGCTTCACAACTTCTTTTCATCAACGGAATCGCAACAGGGGTACTATCTCCGAGTCTTCCTGTCTTCGGTCGCCACTGGCCTGCAAACGCATTGTATCAGAAGGAAATGGTGTCCTTCGACATGGTTACTGCATTACACGATTGCAATTTCAGCACAAAGTGGTTGGCTACCTGCAATGTAAAGTACAGACTGAACAGTGTCAACGATTGAGTACCAGGGCATAGCGGAAGCGAGGTTAGTGCCAAAACGTAAGGCAGATAACTGGTAGATAGTGAACCCGTGATATGACACGATAAGCTATGCATAAAAAAACAGCTCCTTTTCAAACTCCAAGCTTTAGGTTTAATATTCAGATTGCAGGCAAATTTGGTTGTTCTGAAGGAGATCCCCATGTTCTCCAAGCAGACTGGTCGTGCGCATCTTAACTTTGTTAGGAATATGATAAATAACCTACTTCACTACAATTGCTAGCGCTAAATATTGATTGTCATTGAAGGTGGAATTTCCTGTTGAGGTTTAACTGCAGCTGTTTTCGGTCACCAGCCTTCAAGAAGTAGTTGAATGCTCGAAGAGGCTGTTTGAAACGCGGATATGGGTCATGGGTACTGCTTACATATGTGAAGGTACACGTGTTAAGGCGTCGGGGACGAGGTTCATCTTCAAAGTGGTGGTTGGCCTAGGAAAGCTGCCACGCACAATATGGGTTATTCTTCGAATTCGCATATTGTCCTCACCACAGCTCTCACGATTGAACAGTCTTGCCAGTATGATCAGAAAAGCTTAGTTACAGTCAAACGCGAAATGTCATTAATTCCATCTCACAGGGTCGGAGATGAGCTTAGATGTACGAAGGGGAACAGAGGGGAACAGATGAAAATAGACTGACCGTGATGGATGTCCAGAGGCGTCCCCGAACCCCTCGGCGACCGACCACGGAGAACTGCGACAGGGGAATTCAGAATAAGGGTCCGGTTTCGCTTGCTTATGCGAGGGGAGGAAGCATGGCAGAGTAACCTGGAGTAACTGACGAATGATTGACGCTGTTCGCGCATTTTTTTTGCCGAAAGTGACTGACTGATTGAAGACAAACAAAGTACAATGCTGTGGATACCGAGACGTGCAGCCCGCATATCGCAACGTCAGCATCGGTTTTCAAGGGGAAAAAAAGGGTGGCATACCTCATAAACAGGGGCGGATGGAAGCTCGCGGGGACCCACAGCAATTACATAGCAAGACAAGAGAGGTTCTGTAAGACTCGTCGTCTTTCTGATTCGGATACGAAGACGATGCGCTAGGACCGCCTCATGCGAAGATGTCAAAGGCGGTGAACCGGTAGAGCGCAGGAGTTTTCAGGGATTTGAAGGGCCTGCATGCCGCTGCCTGCCTAGATAAATTTAGGGTGTTTCAAGTGGTTGGTTGGTTAAGGCTAAGTAGTTCCCTCTAGGGCCTACTGATAGGTACTAATATGTGGGCAGACCTGTTAGGGCAACCATTATTTCTGGCATTTTCAATGCTAAGGGAGTTGGCTAACAAATTAGGCAAAAATTGAATGTGACGCGCGTCGTGTCCTCCAAGTACGCGTCCTTAAGCCTCATTCGAACCACCACAAGTACAACATGGAAACGTCGTTTGCGTTAACTGGCAAGGGCTACGTGATCGTAGCTGCTGACACTACTGCCGCCCGATCCATTGTCAAGATGCAGATTGACCAAGACAAAATCAAGGAGCTCAGTCCTCATCTTCTCATGGCGTACTCGGGTGAACCAGGTCAGCACAAACCTGGCATGACCATTTCATTATTTCTGACAATACGCACTTGAAATAGGTGACACTGTCCAGTTCGCTGAATACGTCGAGCGCAACATTCGTCTGTACCAAATCCGTAATCTGTATCCTCTTCGCCCAGCCGCGGCCGCGTCCTGGATCCGCCGTTCAATAGCGGAATCTCTGAGATCACGAAACGCGTATTCAGTCAACTTGTTGCTGGGCGGATATGACACGTCCTCGCACACACCGAACTTGTATTGGATTGATTACATGGGGACAGTAGTGGAAGTGCCATTTGCTGCGCATGGATATGGTAGTTACTTCGCTCTGAGTTTGCTTGACCGGTACGTTGTTGCTCCTTACTGTGATTCTCTATCTCGGTCTACCAGTTCCTTCTCTCTTGCTACTTAGTGTAATGGTGCGCTGACCACTCTTACATAGTTACCATGATCCAGAAGCATCCCTGGAAGAGGGTCTTGCCACCCTGAAACGTTGCATCAACGAGGTGTCGAAGCGTCTGGTGGTTAATCCAGGCAAATACAAGGTCAAAGTAGTTGACAAAGACGGTATTCGAGAAGTCGAGATATAATGTTCTCCCTGGCAATGTGTACTGCAATGTACTATCGCCGTCTCCTTCTGTCTGCGTGTATTTCTATTTCTACCTCTACATCGGTGCGCTCAAACCAGAAAGATACTACCTTCCACCCGATCCCCTCCAATGATGCGCTCCGTCTTCTTCTCGCATGTAAGTAGCTTCCGAATGCGTAAAAGTACACATCCGTACTGTACCTCATCTTGAGGAAGCATAATGATTTGGGCTGCCTTCTCGATATCCGACCTTCGAATTCTGGAGCCCCAGATACTCTCACAGTAGGTATCCACTAGTCTCACCCTCTCCAGGCTCGGCATTCTATTGATACAGAAAATTGCTGCAACAGACCCTGCACTCAGGAATGTCGCCTGACCCACATAGAGAGTGCGAAGACCGGGAATCTCTGGGAGTAATGGCACCGAATTGTCCGGGTCAACGGAGAAGGTGATGTTGGTGACCGTGATATCTTGAATGTTTGACCAGGTGCCAAATATTCTACATAGGCGGCTTGCTACAGGCGCGACAATCTTGAATTTTCCCGTTAGACTTCACCCAAGATTTTTGAAATGCACGCACTGCAGTGGAGAAGTGGTGATCTGGATCGGGTCCGGTCCACCGAAATACTCGGGGACTATAAAGTACAATTTTTTTTGATCAGGGCGATGCTCCTCTGGGAAGACATCCATTATTATCTACTCACTTGGCAACAGACAGTGCCTCCTCGAACACATGGTGGCTGGTATCCCGCGCGTATGAATGGAGTCTCAGGCAAAGAGCCTCCAATAGGATCTGCTTCTGCCCCAGCCCCAGTTTCTCAGTACGATCGCGACACCTGCACAACGCTTCGCGAAGATGCTGCCAGACATCTGATCTCGCAAACTTGCCTGTCAAGTCGACTGTCACTGAGCGCAGCACCACCCCCGCATTATCGCCTGTCTGTGCAAAAAGCCTTAGCTGCTCTGAAGAGCGAAAGCACAAGTTCCTATAAAGCCATTCCACGCCGGCGCTGCGGAACTGATGGTTAACGCACAGGATGTTGCTTGGGATGGATCCACTGGCGAGTGTGTATGCGATTATGAGGAGTAAGATCTCAGGCGGCAGATCGCCTAGGGTCACATGCATTGGGACTTTCAGAGGGCACGTTCAGGGTGAATGAAACGAATGAACGGCCGGTAGACGAGCGCCGGGCGTGAGCCTATCGGCAACCGGATATCGGTGGGAGTTGTTAGTCACTGAGAACGGCTCTCTGAATTCGATTTGGAGCCTTTGAAAAGGCAAAACCTTACGCGACTCGCAGTAGGCAAACTAGGTAGAATTGTTTATTCCGAGAATAATGAGCAGCTTAAACTTATGACCGCACGTCCTTGTCCGAAGCTTCTATTCCATAAACGTACCCATCAGTTGTACCTGCGTGCCCAGTGCGCCAGATTTGGTAATCTGATAATAAATACGACGATGCCATTCTCTTAGTGTATTCAGCTTGAGAACACAAAACATGCCGAACTGTGAAATCAATCGCTATCTACCTCGACCTACAAATCACAGAATCAGTCGAGTTAAGTCTGAAAAATACTGCAATGTGACTTACCACATTGGCCATTTTGCCCTTTGCCCGTGCTGCCGCGGTCCGTGTAGAGGACCGCCCTGACGGCGCGAAACTCAATGTGCCCTGTCCTGACGACGATGCCTTCCCTTGCGTCGTCGTCGTCTTCTTCGCAGGAGCTTTCTTTGCGGGTTGACTGGGGTCAAGGTAGGTTTTAGTGATGAGGACTCAGAACATGACCGGAACCAACCTCAATACCGCGGCACGATTTGTCCTCTTGGTAACTTTCGGTGGTGCTTCATCTTCCTCATCGTCATTTTCGTCTAATTCTGTGACTTCCTCAGATTCACTCTGCGTTAACTCTAGTCAGCACTTCGTGTACCATATCATAGTTCGTAAACTCACAGCAACAGCCTTTTTCCCCCTCCCCTTCTTTGCTGGTGCAGCCTTTTTCGCGGGTGCAGCTTTCTTTTTTTCGGAGGGGGCACGGGTTCGTCAAAATCTGATCCGTCCTCTTCCCCGATATCGACGTCCATGAGCATTGAGTCGGCGTCGGAGTCCGCTGCGGAAGCTTTTTCTTTGCCCTAAAGCGTGGTATGAGGTGCGGTTTCACGGGGTCAACTTCGAACCCACCTTTCCCTTGCCTGTCTTCCCCATCTTTGCTTTTTCTAGGTACTCCTGGTTGTGCTGCTCCTTCAGTTTGACAAGCTACATAAAACAACTTGGATTCAGCAAATAGTTAAAAAGGAAGCTTAGACACGTACAACGTCATCTAGCTCCTCTTCATCTACTTCCCCATTCTCCTGTACGCCTTTCATGAGCGCGCGCAGGGCGCTTGAGACGTGTCTACATGAGCCCATAATATTAGCACAGTGAATCGAAGTAGGACAGAGTGATGACATCAGAACAGCATGCGCGGCATGATCAGGCCTCGAAGAAAAACATCCTGAAAACACAAAATAACACTCACGTCTGTATAGCCCACCCGTCATCCTTTTCTACAAACATCCTAATCGCCTCGTTCATCCCTGCCTCACCGAGGACCTGCAGCTCCTGCGCCGCTAAATACTCCTGTACCAATGTTTGCACGCGAACTTTCGCTAGTTTTTCGCTCGTCGTAAGGTCTGGATCGTCGATGGACAGTTCGGGCTGGTCCACAGAGGTCGCGGTACGGGAGGCTGATGAGCGAGCTTTGGATCGGTGGAAAGAGAGCACGTCGCGTGGGTTTGCAATCCGTCCAGTAAATTCTTGGCCGAATCGGATGGGATTGGACATTGCGGGAACATTAGTGGTGTCGACCTATCAATGGTGAGTATCGATATGGGTGCGGCCTGCCTATTCTGTATCGCAGTATGTAGAGGGATAGATCAACGGACCTTGAGTCTTACAAGCGGCAGCATACGTGGGAGCTCCACTTCGCCTTCTTCCACCGCGTGCGCATTGCGCTCGTCCCATAACTGGTTCGCTTGGTCAATGAGAGCGTTTACCTGGGTCATGCAGTGAGTCCGCAACCTACACACCAGGCCTGAGTGAGAACGAAAAGGGACCCACCCTTGCTCTCAAAAACTTCCCCACAGCAATTTGGTCGCTCACATCGAATCCCTCCTCCTCTGCCGCCTCCGCGAGAAAAATGTCACCCAACATAAACGGACGTACGGTACGCAAAGGAAGAGGTTTAAGCTCGAATTCTTTGTTATGGATTTGGAGCAGGGCAACGTGCCTTTATCACAAGATTTATGGTGTTCGAGGGCCCAAAAGCAAATTAGATACGGAAGGGATGGTGAGTTAAAGGAAATCCGGGAAGTGCCTGACACTTACTTCTCCAATCCCTCACCCTCACCCAAACTCGTAGCCACACTCGATCCGGGCTGCGTGATATGGTATGGACGACCAGCGACGGGCTCAGGTACAATGCGGCAATCGTGCTCATGGCCCCAAACGACGAGGTCGATACAGTCGTCGAAGAGGCCTTCTGGTACAGCTGGAGTTGGAGGGTGGGGAACACTACCAATGAGTGTTGATTATCAGTTTGAGGAACGGAAGGACGCAGGAAAACGAATACGCAAGAGCAAAGACACGCGAAGTAATGAACTAAGTACGACGCATAGGCAGGGGACAATATTCGCGTACCGATTTTGGTGCACCACAAGGACGTTGAACCAATCTTCCTTGTCGCCAGGCATGTACATCCGCACACGATTGCTGCGGAGTTCGAAGTGCATGCGTGCATCTTTGACATTGCCAACTCCATACAGTCCAAGGCGAGTTTGACCCTTGCGAAGAAGAACAGGGCGGATAGATATACCTGAGTATCGTTTCGTGATTATTCAATGGAGACATAGTTCATATCGCGCGAAGAAGAGATATAACAAAAGCAAGGAAAACAAAAATCAGTGTCGAGTCACCACGCATGCAGAACGTGAGCATACCCGAATCATTTTCTACAGGGTTGGGGTTCGACGCGCTGGATAGTGGGAGGTCAAACTTGCCCATGTAGTTTATGAGCCCTGACTACAGAGAGGACATCGAGCGCACAGAGAGCACCTTGCTGTTAAATGTAAATGAGTGCTCACGTGTAAGAGGCGAAGGAGGGGATTAGTGCAAAGGGAACAAGGAAGGACTAGGTTCCGAGTAATAAGGATATATGGGATGGAATACAGCTTACAGGCCCAGCACCTTGTGGATCGTCGTGGTTACCGTGAATGCTGAAGACGGGAATGGCAACATTGAGATTTGGGTCTTCATAGTTAACCGCTGGAAAGCTGAGGGTTGTGATCATTCGTTCAAGGAGATCAAGACAAATTCGAAAGTACCTGTATCCCTCTGCTTGCCCGTCATCCGGATTGCTAAGGAGCTCAAGTTGAACAGGCTTGTCACCAAGTGTATACTCCCGGAGAAGAGCCATAACCTGGTATAAGCAGTCGCGTGACGGGCGGTTTTCGTGAAATAGATCTCCGCCGAGTAAAATCATATCGACCTGGAAACATTTCTAGGAAAGAAAATAAATTAGGAGGGATAGCACGAACATCGTGCTTGACAGCAAGCTGAAGAATTTCCTTGAATGTGTTGATAGAGTCCTGGCCACGAATTGGGTCACGCTCAAGATATCCAATGTGATTGTCCGTTGCAACCAGTATCTTTATAATATCCTCCTGGTCTGACTCAATGCTGTGAGTGAATAAGTAGGCTATGCTAGCGAGACAGGCGTACAGGCATTGCGAGTTGTCGCTGGTGGTGCCTCGTTGTCTGACATGATATGAAGGACAAAGTCGTCGAGATTGTCGACGTCTGAAGACTTTTGTATGTACCGTGTCAGTCGACGAGAACGACGTGCAAGACTGCAAGTAGAGTGCCACTCAGTTAAACGCGTCGCGTCGCGTGGTTCTAAATATTGTCACACCGTCACGACGCTGCTTAATTTTAGCCCCTGAGTGTACTATGTAGACTAGAAAGACCTCAAGTCTCGTTTTGTAGGCGATAATGTCAACGTTAAGGCCCTAAAGGTTCGGCGTTGTCTTTGTCCGAGGATATATGATGTGAACTGTTGTCGCATTCGTGACTCCCTCCCCCTTCATGCTCAACCACCGTCCCAAGCGATGCTCCTGTCCTAATCCCACAACTAATAATGTAGGCTGAACTGAGCTCTTTGTGGAAGACCGCTGTTCCTTTTCTCTCCAAGAAGCATTGTCCAATGCGCCTTTGGGTAAGACGAGAAGTTGTAGGGAGTTGACAACACCGGGCCCAGGTATCGACCCAACCAGTGAGAATGATCTGATTTTTTGGTCGAGCTTCCAAAATCGTACATCGCCATCCCATGAGCCTTGGAATTGAACTGAGCAACGTCGCTGTAATGACAATAATAAGGAATGGATTTACCGGAAACAAACATGTCTGAATAGCGCAGTGATGCAACGGCCGTTATCCAGCGGGGTGTTCGCACAAGTCCCTCGGTCGTGGACTGTACTTCGTGGAACCCATGGCACACTGTCTGTGTATAAACAGGTTTTTTCTTTTGGGTGTTCCAAAGACATATTGAGCTTCAGGTGGCATTCAGTGGTATGATTCATAGGACGTCGAGCAACATACCCAGTATCTCCCCCGCTCACAAACGTAGTTTCATCAATCATTGCGACACATTCGATACTCCCTTCCGCGTATCTGCTCTCTTTCATCTTTTCCTTACTTTTGTTTGATTTCGGACCATCAACCTCCACCCCATTCATGTGTTCCTCATCCTCGTGGCCTTCGAACGCGCCTCCTTCAAGCAATTCCCGTATTGCACTTTTTCCACCGCCACGAAAGACCAACTGACTCTCATCTGCAATTTTCCAGAATCGGATCGTTCGATCTCTCGCTCCAGCAGTAACAGCGGTCTCTCCTCGGAGAGCATCCAGGCAGAGAATGGTATCTTGATGTCCAAATAGCGTTTCTACATATCCCATTGCTGAGAGATCGAATAGTTTGACAGTCCGATCAAACGAGCCAGTATACAATTGTTGTGTGCCTTTCCGGAATGCAACACTCTAGAGGTGAATACAATGTTAGCATTGTATACATCATGCACATAGGACATACATACTGAAACCGAATCCTTGTGTCCTCCAAAGCCTTTCACCCATTTATCCTTCTCTACATCCCATACGCCCACTCTCCTATCTTTAGATCCACTGGCGAGGTATCGACCATCACTACTTACGGCGAGAGAAAGGATCTCGTCCGTGTGCCCTTGAATATCTTGAGGGAGCGCCTTCTCTTTGCCTTTGGAAATGCGTTGTTTATAGAACGTCGCAATATTTTTCCCAGACTGGAGAGACCACTTATTTATGGTTCCCTCTTTCCCTGATGTGTATAGAAACTGGGCGTCGTCCGATGCGACAGCAGAAGTGACAGAGAAACGGTGACCCCTGCATCGTAGGGATGACGTTGAAGTGAAATCATACTGTCGAAAACTACGTCAGCTAGACTATCACAGAAAATTAAAAAATACTAACAAAGTCTGCCACGAAGAGGTGAACTTTGCCAGAATGCTCCAGGACGTCTTGTCGCAGTCGTTCTGATATTAGCTCTCTATCGATCTCAGCAGCATCAAATTCTCCCTCGGCTGATTCCCATAACATCAGCAAACTCAGAACACAAATTCAGTCCAACTGTACTTGCCTAGACCATCCTTCACACTTTCCAGGTAGAGCTTTGCCAATCGTAACCGCTTTTCCGCAGGAGTTTCCTGTTCATCTTCGTCACCGCTGGTCTCGGGCTGGACGTCTGCACGTAAGTCGATGTCATCTATTACGCCACCCTCCGAATCTGTTCTGTCCGAGTTCAATTCTTCATCTGCGGCTCCTCTCACCCCCCTCCTTGCGCTTGCATTGATAAGTTTTGTGTCTTGAGAACTAGATTTGCCCTTGCGCAGGATTTTCTTAGCTCCCCTAGCTCCCTCGGCCGTGCTGACAGACCGCTTCCGCTTCCGGTTTTTTGTCGACGCAAAGAAAGAGTCTGGCATAATCTTGTCTTGCAGATTGAGCTCCCTACATACTGTTACTCGACCAAAAAAATCTGGAAGCGGAATGTGCCGGGTCACGTGTGACTGAACATCTGACTTTGGTTACCAATGTACCATATATAGAGCTCGAACCCAACTCTCACTAGGTCAAGAAAAAGAAAGTTCAGGCCGATGTTCCAGGCATCTGGGACCGTAGTAAGGTTCAGATCTTTATCGCCCTTTCATCCACTGGCACACTCTTGGACAAGAAGCACCATGCGATCTCTCACTGTTGATTCTCTTAACCCTGCCATCCGCAATGTGCAGTATGCCGTGCGCGGTGAACTGGCAATAAAGGCAGAGGAATATCGTGTCATGCTCAAGGAGAAGGGTCAGGACAGCGGTCTGCCATTTGATCGAGTTATCTCTTCGAACATCGGAAACCCCCAACAGAAGGGGCTTGACCAACCTCCCATTACCTTTAACCGACAGGTTAGCTTCATTTTATATCCTTATCTTCTCAAGGTTCCAGAGGTGCCGGAAGTATTTCTCACCACCGTAACAGGTCGCTGCACTCATGGAGTGGCCACAGCTGATGCAACTCGCACCCAATGCCTTTCCACAAGACGTCATTGACCGTGCGAAGGAACTACACGAGGAAATTGGTTCCATCGGTGCATATTCACACTCCCAGGGTGTCCCTCTCATTCGTCAGAATGTCGCGAAATTTATTCAGGGTGAGTAGCTACATCAGTGCCACTAGGCCTGACAGAAATGTCATTGGAACGTTTATGCGCCACGTGCCAAGCTGACCCGTCTAGCCGAGTCCTGTTGATTTCTCGAGGAAGTCACAACTCGTCAAGGTTGAAAATTACTCTTCATGTGACTGACGCATAATCACAGAACGCGACAGCCATCCATCCTCACCAGACAACATCTTCTTGACGGGCGGCGCTTCCGCGGGGGTTTCGCTTCTGATTTCAATGCTTATCTCGGAACCCCACAAATCTGGTGTCCTCATCCCGATCCCGCAGTACCCTTTATATACAGCGACACTAGCGCAATTTTCAGGCGTGGCGATTCCATACCATCTTGATGAGGCACATGAGTGGTCGACGTCAATTGACGAAATCAAGGCTGCACTTAAAAAGGCAAAAGAAGATGGCATTGACCCCAAGGCACTTGTTATCATCAACCCTGGAAATCCAACGGGTGCGTTGTTGAAGGAGGAGACGCAGAGGGAGGTGGCGAATTTGTGCGCAGAGCATGGACTCGTGCTTCTCGCGGACGAAGTGTATCAGAGTAACCTGCACCGTGCGGCCGAATTCCCATTCACGTCATTTAAGAAGGTTGTCTGCGACATGGGCTCGCCAGTTCCACTGGTATCCTTCCATAGCATCAGCAAAGGCGTAACAGGGGAGTGTGGGCGGCGTGGTGGTTACTTCGAGTGCCATAACATCTCGGATAATGTCCGCGCGATGATGTACAAAATGGTGAGCGTTGGGCTTTGCCCTCCGCTGCAAGGGCAAATTGGCGTGGATTGCCTTGTACGACCCCCCAAGGAAGGCGGCGAAAGTTACGTGCTGTGGAAAGAGGAGACAACGCGAATCCACAAGGTACTCGCGCAGCGCACCAAGCTCATGGCAGAGCGCCTAAACAGCCTACCTGGCGTCTCATGCGTTGATTCTCCCGGGGCATTATACCTTTACCCCAAGATCACGCTCCCAGAAAGAGCGATAGCTGCCGCACAAGCTGCTGGCAAGGAGCCAGATGCATTCTATGCACTCGCGCTTCTAGACGCAACAGGCATCTGCGTCGTGCCAGGCAGTGGATTTGGGCAGAAGGAAGGAGAGTACCATTACCGTCTTACCTGCTTGTGTCCTGGCGTGGACGAATATGTTGGGAAGTTAGAGAAGTTCCACCAGGAATTCTGCGCGAAGTACCAGTGATCTCGGGTCTTTGCGTCATTAATCAATGGTTGTAAACGTTCAGCGTTAGGCTAGATGGGGCCAGTGTTGACTTTGCGCATTGCAATTGCTGTGTTGTAGTACTACTATCTGCTTTCATGTATATGCTGGGATACCAATAGACTTGTTAACATTCATACACATGTCTGTTTTATGGCCTAGTGCCACGCGACATCGCGACCCAAACACAACCCAAACCAATAGTATTTATTTGCACATCATCACTTGGTCGGACCCCCTGATTTGCTCGTACTGTGGGCAGGAACGAACTCAGCCAGAGACCGTGACATTCCAGCCGGGAACACCAACTTTTGAGCGGAAGGTTTTACCGTCAGGTTGAATCTTGATGTCAGTGGTTCCATTTCCACTCCCATGTTCCACCGCCCACCGTGTTCGCATAGCCTCCGTCATCTCTCCTCTCAAGCGCGTTCGTCCAAGAGCTCCATTCTATGAACTCTCTGCTCATCGTGTTCCAACCCTCTGGTCATTATACCGAGGTTTGCTCAGGCATGCGCCAGGGGAAAACGTGAGTGATCTGATTTTTTACCCCGTGTTGTCTAACATAGGGTATAGATCCAATTTCGTGTGCGAATGATGTTCAGGAAGAACCAGCACGTTGTGAAGGCGCATTCTGTGAAAGAGCAACTAGTAATGGGATACAAGGTATTACGATTCTCCCAAATAATCATCGAAATGATGCAAAGGAAATACAGTGGTTAGAATCTTTCAAGCGCGCGAAGCAAGGTGATATCAAATTTCAGAGCGTTTTCAGCAGGTATGAAAGAATGATTGCAACCAAGCGCGAGAAGACCGCTTGGAAAATGCGTATACTAGAAGCTTTCGTGCGTATCCTAGTGTCCCTCCTTCATCATCTACTCACAGAACTCAATTAGAACTGGGAAGCCAAGCTCCGCAGTCGTCCTATTTTCAAAGGCTCCTTCATCCGTCCCTCGTTTGACAATAAACTCCTTCCTCGCCTGATCCCTCAGCCTGCTCACATAACCGGAATGATCGTGCGCCGACGTCTTGCGCGTGACCGTCGGTGGGAGCAACGTGAAACACTGAAGAGCTGGGCACATGACTTACGGTACGAGAGTCTCTTCGAGCACGCGTTGCTCAAGAGTGCACGAGGCGAGACTGTGGGTGCGGCTCGGCACACGAAGGGCAAAATGTTGGGGGATCATGCCAACCGATGTGCAGGAGAGGTTGTTCAACTGCTTCGTAAGGAACACCTGTTGTGGACCCCAGTGTACACGGGAGGGGCAAAATCTGAGTGGGGTGAGCTGTGTATTTGTCAGGACAGCTGATAACATTAACAACGTCTGGTGAGTTAGATGAGCCCTTCCTCAAGCGCCAGGCCGAACTGAAGGAATGCATGATGCGCGATATTTCACGGTATCGTGCTGCACCGCCTACTGACCTCGTACTGCAAGGTAAACAAGCACGTCGAGAAAAGGTGGCAAACAAAACAATTCAAAGACAGCGTGAACGTTCTGGTGAAGTTACTGCTGCCACCATTAAACGCCGGCGGAGCGCACCGCCTGCACACGTCCGAGAACTTATGGCCCCAAGGCAACTGCTAGTGGACAGGGCGATAAGGGAAGCAAGCGAGGGCGGGTGGTCGGGTGCTGTTAAGGCGCACATGGGTGTCCATATGCACATGCCTGAAAAATGGAAGGCCGAGGGCGGGTGGGAAGATGAAGAAAAGAAGAAACTTCTGGATGATATGGAGAGGGAGATTCGGGCGGAGAATGAGAGACGAAAAAAACACAGTAAGCTGGATGCTGCCTCCTTTTCTGAGTAGTCAAGACTTTGCAAATATGTATGGCAAAGATAGCAAAGGCTTAATAGAGAGAAGGAATGGCTGTCTTCATTCGACTAAGGTCTGCCTAGAAGAGACTAGTTACACAGTCCGATGACTTCCGGGATTTACTTCTCCAGGACCTCACTTTGTTCTACGAAAAATTATCAGCCCTGGCTCTCTTCACCGTGCGAATTGCTCTTGTGCTTCGGAGTAAATGACCACGACTCGGGCGCAGGACCGAGGAACATCTCGGAGATTTTGACCCAATCCTGGCTATTCGGACTTGCAAGGAGTGTTTCTACTCGTTATAAACATCATTTTTCAGTCTCGACAAGACCGATGAAACACATACCTAATTCATCTCTTCCTTTGAATGTTGGCGCCCGATCGTTGATCTTGGCTGGGAGTCGTTCGAGTAACCCGATGGGGACGTAACGGTATTGAAATGAAAGCGCTTCACAGAGGAATCGGCGCGTCGTATTTACACCTGTTGTGTCTGTACCAAAGTGACTGATAATCCAGACTTAGCCAACTATTGTCGTTACATTGAACAGAAGACAAACCTCAATCCAAATTCAGTGAACTGTTTGAAGATATGAGCCAAGGAGGATATATGAGGAGGGAAACGGAAGGTCACCTTGCCAATTAACTGTAATCGCTCCCTCGAGCTGATATCCCATTCTCGGTGCTCCTTCACTTCCGTGAAAATCCATGGTTTGATAAGTGCTCCCCGTCCAATCATGACTCCGTCCACGCCAGTGGATGAGACATTGGTCCAGTAATCATGCGATGAGAAGCAATCGCCGCCACCGAAGATGGGAATCGGAGATACTGGATGAATGTATCGTAAGTGTTGCATCAAAAACGACAGGCAACTGTTAGAATGGTGGAGGTAGGTAAGGTGGATAGAACTTACGGCCCTCATCCGCCTCTTGGGCCCGCACGGCGTCAACGCATTGTTTTATGTACTCCCAATCAGCCAATTTTGTATACCGTTGCTGGCGCGTACGGCCATGAAGCTATTCTCTGTCGCGTGAACCAACAAGGTATCAAGAGAAAATCATGGCGGCGCACTGTGATACAACCAATCCCCCATTCTGTGGCAGCGCGCGGCATAATCTTATGTGCATTATTACGACCATCCTTGACGCCTGTCCGTAACTTTATTGTAACCGGAATTTCGCCCAACGCCCTGGACATCCCGGTGACAATTTTGCCGAGTTTTGCTGGTGCATCCAGTACTACGAATACAACTAAGTTTATTACTGTTCCAGGAGATTCCATGTCAGACGACTCACAAGCACTCCCGCTTCCGCTTTTGAAAACAAGATCGATCGGACATCCACAGTTCACATCGACAAAGTCTATACCTCCTGCATCACCAAATTCGCGTCCGAGGACTTCGGCAGTTGCGACTAATGTACTGGGTTTGTTTCCTGCGAGCTGAATTCCGAACATGCTCTCCGATGGATGCCGCCGAACAAGCGAGAATTCGGACGCAGAAGCGGTGAGAAATGAGGTCGCAAGGCCCACTGTATAAGGATTGTAATATTAGTGCATGAAATTGAATGGCGTGGGACATTATGTGAATGAGAGGAGAAAATGGACAGGAAGTAACAACACACTTTCGCCACATGTTATATCCGCTCCAAGTGTTACACATAGGCGTCTAAATGGCTAAGATACTTGGTCAACTGATTTAGTGTTTGGGCAGCAATATTCATACCAAGTTGCCGACCGTTGTCAGCGGTGCGAGATCTGACCATAAGTGTTCGGTTAATTTGTGTCAATCCATTGTGAAGAGATTATCATACATGATTTACCACTCCAGTCTAGCCTTCGTTTCTCTTGTACGCGGATCGGAACATCTGGAGTATCAGTCTGAGCACTGGAATCAGAATTTCCAGTGCGCTTTGCATGGAGTTCTGACGAAACAGGTGGAGGATCATCCATGGTCAAGTTATCTTCACCAACAGCCATATTTTCTTCTGGTCCATTGGAGTCTCCCTTAGCAGCCTCCAGTTCTTTGAGGTATACGTCGGTTATTGGCTTAGGATACTGCAATACGATTAAGTTTTGATGTTAGTGGGAAAGACTTACGCCCATTGCTAACCTTCTTGGATCTAAGTAGTTTCAAGGTGTCTGCACTAACAAAATTGAGTTCCGTGGCACTCAGCGCTGTCTGAGCCCTCTTCTCCTCATCTTCGACGAGCGTGATTACCCCGCTAGCATCACGCTTAGCGTGAGCTCCTAGAAAACGACACTTGAGTCCTAGACGACAGAACCCCGATTCTGCGAAGGAGGGACACGATGTGTGTTGTTCGAGCGAATAAAGATTATCGCCAGTCGTAGAATTATCTTCCTCCGTGTCCATGATAAAAGGAGGAACATCCGATATCGTCGTAATTGAAGGAAATCGAATATCCCTTGGTTTTGCGGCCAGATACGCGTCGATGTCGTGCGTAAAGCGACATCTACACAACATAAGAAGCATCCAGAGAGGTGGCAGAACAAAGACACGAACTCATCTCCATGCTCGCATATTTTTCCATTGGCAACTCTCAAGCATAACTCAAGTTGATCATGTACCTTGCCAAACTTGCGGCCCTTGTTGGCACCACGCCTTTCCTTCTTTTGCGCCTTGGACCACTTTTTGCGGCCACCCGTGCCCCTTGTGTCAGTATCTACCACATCCACACATGATTTTCCAGTGTGAGCTGTTGAACCTTCTGCTGCATCATCATCGACCGCAGGAAGGGCAGCAGGGGACAACAGGAATCTACGGATGGTGAACCAATTCAAACTTGAAGGTAGTGACAAACCCGAAAAGCGTACTGTCGTTTTACGGGTGCGGTTCCCGGAGGGAGGGACATACTGGTCATCTTGCAACCGAAAATTACCTTCCGGGCTGTCGTTGTACACTGAAAAAATAGTGAACAATCAGATGACCTATTTTTCCAAATTGCAACTAAATCTTATCGCACCGCCACAACGCATTACATACAACAGGCAAGTACGGTACATTCACGGTACATATATCTAGAAACAAACCATCTAGAACATGAGATAGATCCACTAGTTGAACGAATGCTTGATAAGAGGTACAGCGGGAGTTTTCAGTGACCTGTGGACTGGAAGGGGCCCGAGCTTACCGCTGCTTTATGAGAGGTGCACTATTACTATATACATAGTACATACCCCAACATTGAAAATCTGTCTTTGGTCGATTGTCTCTTTTTCGCATCGCATCGGCAAAGTAACCCTTTCCTGTTGGAGGGTGCTTAAGAGTGTTACCGATGATTTCTCTCAAAAATTGCCATCCGCCCTGGTCACTCACTACATTCCTACCTGCTGCCGTAGCAAGGGGCTGGGCCTGCGAAAGACAAGCAACGCAGTTCGGTCATCTGAAGTCGGTTAAGAAAGGATGAATATCATTAAGAATTCAAGCAAAAGCTGCTCACTTGTCTCAGGTGTTATTAAGAGGTCCACCAGATTTTAAAGGACCCTGTCCCTTGATCAAACGTGATTCAATGGAAATAATACTCTTCGCCAACTCCTAGTTTTCCTTTCTTGAATTGTCCTGCACCGCGGCAATGCAAGCCACTTTTCTGTCAACGAACGTGAGTCGGGGACAATAAGAGAATCGGATTCAATCTGCAAAAGTGGGGTGCCCCTGGCATCTCGCTGTGCCGCACGCTGGAAAGAGAGTATTACAATTCCATCCTCCGCTCCATTGTCCGCCTAATATGCATCTATGTGGATCACGAGCATCAACCATTTTCAGCAAAGCGTTGTATTCGCTGCTGTGATTTCCTCCATATAAGACCTAGTTTGCCTGCCCATAAGTCCATAACCACCGATCTTTGACATGTCGGTAATCAGGAGAATATACGTGTGCTGAAAGAAAAACCTTTGCATATAACCTCGGGGTGGGGTCCCAGATTCCCATAAAGTACCCTGGAGCAAGAACTTGAAGCATCACCAAGGTTATTTTCAGATTGCTATAATTAAGTTAATGGGGGATCAGAAGCGCTAAGACAGGTTGATCACGAGGTACAAACAGGTTCTCTTTCCACAATAAGATCTTCCTTCCAAGAGTGGGCATTCATTGCAATAATGATTGAGGTCTTGAAGCCCAGTTGAGTCAACGTTGTACTATGGAAACTAGGAAGAAGTATACAGGTTCAAGAATCCAAACCACTTTCAAGCTTCAGGGAGGATATCACCATCGTTGGGCCTAATGATGAATTACAGTATATAACATGACATGTGGCAGTCTTGGATACAGAACGTTTCGGACATACCTAACACATAATTTGCCGGGATACTGTGCAAGAATCGACGCTTGGAATGAGTAATAAAAGTGCAACTAAGCATATCTGTATCGCAAGGGCGTAGGAATATTGAGAGTTCAAATCCAAGCGACATCTAGAGTTAAATATCCATTAGAAATTGCCATGCGCACCCTGCCACCCTCCAAAAGATGTGTTGTTCATAAATAACGGCTGCTGCTGCTGCACTACATATGCTGGTGTAGCAGCAAATGGCAGCTGCGGGGGGTACTGTTGTTGAACTACTTGTGATTGTGGTTGTGCATACATGAAGCTGGGGTCTTGCATATGACCAAGCATTGGCTGAGAGGGTTGTCCGAATGATTGTGCGAAATAATTCTGCTGAGGTAGGGGTACCGCAGCGGGTGTCCCGCTGAAAACCTCAACACTCATCTGTGGAGGAAACGAGTTGAGAGTGTTAGAAGATGGATAGCCCGAAATTTGATGTTGGAACGGGATCTGTGGACTTGCGATTGTATTCGCACTAGCAGCTACGGTATGCATAGGTGTGGTGTTCCTCATCGATGACATCGACGGGGGCATCGTGTGGGAGCCCTGAAAAGTTGAGAACAGAGTGGGCGATACATCGAGAGTTGCCTGGGCAAGGGGCATAGAGTGGGGCTGGGAAGGAAGCGATGAGAGTTCTGGGTTCTGCGACTGGTATTGCAGTGGAAGAGAAGAGAATTGCGAAGGGCCTTGTAATGAAATTAAATCATCCCAAACTTGGCTCCCAGAAGGCTTCTGGATCGGAGCAGAGGAACTGGGTGTAGGCAACGGGTGGGAGATGGATCTTGCGGGTTGCACGGGTGCAGATCCTGGAGATAATGCGCCAGGAAGGAAATTCAACGTTCCAGTACCCCCACGGGTGGCATTTTTGGCAGGGACTGGGGGAGGAATAGGAGAGGATTTGCGTTTAAATGGTGCAGGGTCCATCGTAGGAGTTGACTTCGGTCGTGGAATCACAGCATTGGAAAATGGACGGGCAGGGGGGACGGATTTGGAAGGTTTACAGTTCATGAACCACTTAAACTCGTACTTGGCTGTGATAAGACATCAGACATACGAAGACAAATTTGAAGAAGGCTCACGGACCTCGGATGAACTTCTCGATTTCGCTATCTCGTTCTGCCTCCATCATGTTGGTGGGTGGGGGGTGGCGAGCTTCATCAGGGTTGTAAAAAGCATTTGATTTGATATTTCCGTTTTGCTTCATGACCTGTGAACAGGGAGAATTTCTCCGAGCTTAATTTCTCATGTCGGCAGATGTGAAGATACCTACTTCAACCTGTTCCTTTGTCCATGCATCCAGAGTGATGCTCTTTCTGTGCGGAATTGCCAGTCAATAATTGAAAGTTGAATTATGTGTTTTACTGACGCACACTTTCGTGATATGGGTACCAAGCTTGCGATGAATGCTCGCGCAGTTGACGCTGCATCTGATGAACGTCTGCCAGTACACAGCGGAATCGCGTGTCATACATACCATATGAAAATACCCAAGTTGTGAGAAGCCCATCGCGGGTTCCGCGACTTACAATCTGCACAAATGTCTTGAATAGTAATGAGTTGATGACTGACCAAATTTTCTGGGAAGTAGCATTACCGTTCCCTGGCTGCATCACTAACTCCAGCAAAGTACGCTGGTTTCGCTCGGTTGTGATTTTAGAGATTCCCGAAGACATCATTGCAGTAAAAAGAGAAAGGGTGTCGTGTTCCACTGTCAACCCAAACTGATCATTACAACGTTCCGAGTCGGGCAAAAGTGTGTTATGTAATACCCTTAGTTGGCGCTCCGAAAAGACTCCGAGCAGACAGTCACCTCTGTTTTTTGATCAATATCACTCTTAAGTTTGATCATCGATTTTCTTGAAGATCGATACACCCCAATAACAACTTGCTCCATACATTTATTTCCGCTACTTTCATGTAAAGCTCACAATGACACCCTTTGCTTTTACGACGCTCACTTGCTCCACAGGGACGGAACTAATCTCTCAGAACAAAGCCTATCACCGTCTGATCTCAATGAGACTAACGGGGAAGAAACTGCATTGCGTAGTTTCTTCACCTTTCCATTCTCCTCTGATGAAGTTTATCAGGTAGGTACTTGCTTGCTGAGATGTACACATATTCTTTTCCTAAAATTACTTGGGAAGCAAGGTCTAGCGGACCTACTTGCGCACGGTGCACTGAGTGGCAAGACAGATGTTGAGAGGGCTGAAACCATCCTCCGAACGCAGCTGTTTTACTTCAACAGAGTGGCCGGCCAGAACTTGACCATAGAGGATGTTCGGTCCCATCAGAATACCGTGGACTCCCAAAATCTCACTGTGACCATGGATTTGTCACATCCGTCCTCGAATTCTGGAGACGGCGAAACCCGTCTGCTGACGTTCGCCGAGCTGACGATGTTGATAGAACAGGGGAAGACAGATGACATACCTAATAACAAAGTCATCCCCGAAACGCTTAATGTAAGTCTGTCGCATAATTAGACATTACATATATAATTATCACACCCTTCCAGGACGCACCTCCCAGCACTTCCATAGCTTTAGTGCGGAAGAAACCCTGGGAAGTCGACAGTCAATTCTGACGTGAAGTTTTGAATGGCGCAAGCTACGGTAGTAATGGTTACTTTTACTAACCGAAGCAAGTGTAGTGAGTGGTTATTTTCTGCTCGCAGTAGATTGATCCTTTAATGAAGGCTTCAGCTTCCGTTGCCAACATGATTATGATTGATACTCCTTCACCCGTTTGAACACCAATAGTGGCCTCAATTTGCGACAAATTTGCGACGCATAGTATTGTCTGTGAAGCAGTCGTACACTCATTCTTTATGTTTGTCTCGTCCTCAAAACCATTGGTCCATGGTTTGTTCAGACGAGGTATCATTACGTGTTTACATGGGATCCAGGTTTGCACGGACGTGAGTATTTTCGGCAAGTGGAACGCTATAGGTTTCGTTACTTATTCTTCGGTGCCACAAATACCGGTGCTTACAAAGTTACTATTCTTATGTCAAGCAATGACAGCGTTTGCCAGTGCACTTCTGATTCGCACCGCTTGCAAAGATCCGACAGTCATGGATAACACATTGCATATCCTACATAATTGCACGAAGCCAGATAACACGATGACCAATGGTATGCGCCTGTACCAGCGCTCCGTCGACGAATACGGTAAGCTCTACTGGAATACTTGTGACAAGAGTACAATCGGCTGCAGTGATACAGTGTCCAAAAATACACTTATCATTCCACCCGGTACCCTCTAAGTGTTTTGCCCTGAATGTCCCTGATATAGTTATACCTCTCCACCCTCCGTCCAGAGATCTTGATGACGGCAAGCGGGCTCTCCCTCGGTCACCAATAGCCCCGAGTTATTTTCCTCCTAGCTTTTCTGATATCCATTGCATTGACACATGCTGGTCAATATGATATCCTTGTACTCTCCGCAGAGCAGCTATACCCTCCATAACCCAATTGTGGCTGCTCCAGGAGGCATCTCCTCGAACGACAGGAATAGATGCAAGTGTGGTGTGAAGCAGGTGTAGATTCTCGGAGTCCACCAGTCCTATAGGTGCCCTCCCCAAATAACCATTCTCCCCATCCTTGAGTGTAACTGATTGCGGTGCTTCAAGGCTGTAGTCAACAGCCGAGCCAGTGATTTGATAGACTAATGAATGGCTAGATGGTGTGAATACGACAACAATTGCCCATTTGGCTTTCGAGGATGATTGCCCAAAACGGGCGACAGCCACTTCGTAGAACGGGGGCATCGGGTGCAGGACGGGTATGGAAGTAAGTGAGTTGGCACCTTTTGAGTGTAACAAATAGCTAGTGTCGGAGGTGCCGTCTCTTTCGAGTTATGGTTAATGGTGGGAGAGATATGCTGCATAGTACTTGGAAGCTTTTATAACAATTCTCCGACTTAACGTGTTCTATTGACAATCAAACCCGTTCAAGCATGCAAGAATAAGATGTCTCAGCACTACATTTTGGTGGACATGTAACATGGGCTCACATCCAAGATTGGTTGCTTAATCTATCCCGAAAAAGTCTTATTGAAAGATTCCAGGGCACGAACACAAGCTTAAGCAAAATGCGACGGCGCAGGAGTAACAACTTACCAAACCATACCCTCAAGCATCTTCGATCCGTCAGATTGATTTGAGGATGGTCCGAATCGAATCAAGCTGAAGCGAAAGTGCGGGATGTGAGAATCGTGGTAAAAGCCCCTCTTCGATAATGAAGGAAGCCGTCTGTCCGCTTCCAGCCTCCGGTGCTACATGCTTCGGTTCACGAAATACAAGGCACGCCCCCTACGCAAATGCGATGCAGGGCACGACCAGGACTCCTGAGATTCCTTGCGATCATGTGCACGAAGGTACTTGTGACAAGGACTGTAGAACTTGAGCATATAAATAGCCTAGTCTGAGGGTGAATCATGGATCTCTGGAGGTCGGTGTCAATCATTTGACCGTGAGGAAATCGAGGCTAAATAGACAGCTTACCACAGTCAGAACAAAGGTATTCTCCCATCAAGCTTAAGGGGAAAAGTGCCGGGTAGATTTCTTAATCGCGCATATACTTCTGCAATTTAGCCTCCTTGAAAAAAATCAGCGGCTGATCACGGTGTCAATATTAATGGAAACGGACAGACTAGAATCTGATACGGCCTTTGCCAGTCCACAGAAAATTCCAGCGAGATGGCGAGACTCGAGCATCAAGCGGAGATGTCCATACGCGCGACAGCAAATATTAGATAAGCAACTCCAGACCCACTGGTGGCGTGTCCAAGTGTCCAGGTGACAACATGAAATTGTCAAACTACGGATCTTGACTTACGCCTATACAATCACGTGATTAGTTCCAACTAGGTACATGTTGTACACAACAAATTCAATATTCACTAGCACTATGCATAGCGCTCGCTGCAGTCTATATATTCCATCCTACAAAACGACGGGCTGGTCACTAGTCTACTACAAAGCATCGCAGTACCAACTCCATTTTCCCAGTGTGACAATTATAAACGAACCAATCTGATGACTCGCTTGGTCAACCACAGGCAAAAAAGTAACACATGTGCTAGTCCTTCCAAGGCGTGAATAAAGGATTAAAAAAGGAAGTTTCATCCGAGCCTCTGACTTAAGTACCACCATGACTGTACAGAGCTTTAGTATTACTGGTCGCTGGCACTTTCATACAGCATGTATGTCAACATCATCCTGTACTGTTCCAAACCCTAGTAGGTTCACAATAATATGGCGGTGCAGAAAATAAAACTGTGTACCACCGTGGGGCAAGGTGGGTGAAAGTCGGCAGGGCCGAACCCAAGTTTACTCTAATCAAGGTTATGTTATGTGAGCAGCCGGTTTGTCTCACGGTCGCTCATCATCACAGACGACTTTTGAGCGCTGGATTTTGTCTTCGACGTCCGTGAAGTTAGAAAAAAAATGGACACATAGTCCATCTAGACGCGCTCACGCTATATACAATGACCGATTCCGCCTCCCAGCTTGCAAGGTGCTGGCTGCTATCTTCAACTTCTTTGATCCCCAACTGATCCTCAACTTAGTGAGGCAAAATCAATCCACCAAAGTCTGAAAGAGCTTCTCAAAGCTCACCTTCCATGGGATAAAGAGGTTGAGTTTCAAAGGAAGAGGTACTTGCATCCAAAAGTCCTTTTTCGACGGGTTTCCCTGACAATATCCGTAGTCTCCGACGCCTGTATCTTCGCCTTTTATTTGTCGAGCCATACGCCAAGGAATCTAAAGATGCGGAGACTCATCTTTGGATGCAGACGTCTTATCAATTTATTTCAAACTACAAGCAGAACGTCGCAACTCTCGATCGAACACTGCAATCCGCACCCCGCCATCAGCCCAGACAGAGCAACCATGGCCCGGTGGAGTATCGCAAACTGATGCAACGTTTCCGCCAGTTTCTTGCTGAAGAAGAGAAATTTTGGACACAACTGGTAGCTCGATATCAGCGGTCCTTTGCACTTCACGAAGCACAACATATACTCTCTGTCTTGAACATTGCGATTCCAGATGACCTTGGTGTCCCCAATGGCTCCATTGGGGGACACGAAGGTGTCCCAAACTCCGGTTTCAATCGCAACCAATTACAATTCCCTCTTGAAGGCAATACGCCTTCTCCCACGAGCTCTGCCGAACGTGAAACCAACCTCGCAATTCTTAGCAAGGCGATAGTATGTTTGGGTGATATGGCACGATATCGGGAACTTTACAATGAAGGTGGAGGACGTCCGCGAGCCGGTCAGGAAGACGGCACAGGACCAGCTAGACGGGGCGGCCGCAACAGAAGAGGCGGCGCTCCGGGCTTTGATTCAATACCACGTGCCAGGAACTACGACAAAGCTGTCCAGTGCTACGATCAAGCGCGCCTTTTGGTCCCTTCGGAGGGCAATCCATCGCACCAGCTGGCCATTCTCGCTTTCTATCAGAATGACATGTTCAGCTCGCTTCTCCATTATTATAGAGCGCTTTGCGTTCGTCAACCTTATGACACTGCATCCGAGAATGTCAAGAAAATTCTCAATAAATCACTCGATCAACAGGCCAAGAAGACACGGGAAGGGGTACAAACAGCCCCCGATATTGGTGACCTACCACCACGCTTGAGAGTCGAGTCCTTTAAGGAGAAAGTTGTGCTATTACATGCATTATGGCGATTAGGTTCAGATAAGTAAGTGATTAAGTTCGATCGATAATTTCAGCTATCGAGATGAAATAATTCCGCGTCGCCCTTTAGATCAAGGTTAAACCCCATTGTGCATGCAGCGGATGTCGTCAAGGATTTCGCGGCTCTAGTTTCAGAGCGCGTTCTTCCAATTCATACCGTGACCAAAGTCATCGTTCTCTCAGAGGGAGCATTATGGAAACATCGCATGATCCGGGACACGTCTCCACCTTCGAATAGGAGATCGGGAGGGATTCCTAGCCCTGCTACCGTCGAATCCCAGATTTTGAAGCATGTTCTTGCCATTCACCAGTCTCTCCTGGAGATAGGTGCCGATGAACTTGACCTTCCACCAGAAGATGCAGCTGAGAACGACCTTGCGCAGTGTATCACTGCGACATTCAGGCGCACTCTACCCGCATTGCGTGTTGCGAGCAAGTGGTTGTTAGCAAATCTCAAGTACGTGGCGTATGCCACACCCCCTGCGGGGTCAAGCCAGGTCGAGGAACTTCCAGGGGTATTCGTCTCAGACATGCCAGACTTTTGGCGGCATTTTTTACGTTTTTACAACGCCCTATACAAGCTATTTCCTATAGAGAAGCTACCTTCGTTGCTATCTCCGCTGGATGAGGACGTTGACCTTAGGGGCTTTCTTCCATTGCGGAACCTCATGATTGGCGATACTCCCATGATCGTGGATGCCGACCTGCGCGAGGGGAACGGATTGGACGCTGTTGGCCCGCAGGGTCGTGAGGAGGTTCACCCGAACGAAGAACAATTAATGAGGATATCTGATTTGCTCAAAGATGTCAAGAATGTTGCGGAATCACCAGTGAGAACCGATTGCTCTGTCTTTGAATTAATTGGGTTTACCTTACCGTAGGATTCTCCGATCCACCTGCAGGGCGATACTTTCAAGTTTCTACTTGAAATCACTGCCACTGCACCTGAGGCTCAGTCTCAGGCAATCGGTGTGGAGGTTGTAAAGATGCCTATTACGCCTGTAGTCTCGTGTCCTAGGTGTCTTTGACTTGATGCCACTGGAGACTTGTGCGGAGGACGATGCTATGACCGACACGGGGCGTACTGACAACGATGATCCGGTTGAAGACGCATTCAGAACCGTACTTAACGCCGAGGCACAAGATGAAGATGATGAACTGGATGATGACGTCGTAGTTTGGGATCCAAGGTCAAATAGTGGCTGTTTCATTTCGATGTGTGTCTGATGTGATTTTCTAGGGTTCCCACTTCGCCGCCGGGAGCAGTATCGGCCCTGCCAACAACACCTGTATTGCCATCAACCATGATAAAAGGCAACTTTATCAGCCCCGGCCCATCCTCTGTCGTGTCCCCAGGGCGCTGCGGCCCCAATATCGCCACCTTCTGCCTTCACAGGAACGACAGCCCAGGATTTATTAAACAGTTTCTCCAAAGCTGGTGGTGACGTTGCACGATCTCCCCGCCGTCAGTCTATCGCACCTCCATCTCAATTTCTTTTCGGCTCTGGGCCCTCGAACGCTCCACCTTCTATATGGTCAACGACTCTTGATCAGAGCCCTCCAAATCTCAGTCCCAGACCCCCATTGTTGACCAACCAGGCTCTGCCTGCCTACAGTGTCGAGCACAATTTATCGACGCCAAGCAACCGGGCTATACACTCCACTAACCGACCTCCGCCCATGTCCTCTTTTGCACATTCACAGTCCCTGTGGTCACCTTCCTTTGAGTTTACGCACGATCCATCAAACATTCACACAAATCACTCCGTCTCACGACCATCCGCTCCTGGGCATCACCATCCATCACACTCGGCTAGTACGATTCAGAACTCTCCTTCATATCAGACTGCATTTAATGCAGTGAGTCATCAACCATTTGGGTACCCACAGGAGTCACTGTACTTGAATGCGGAGGTCGCCCCCGCTACTCTTCCACCACAATCGGGGCTGCACCTTCAACAGGGTGGATTCAACCTCTCTCCTGCAGTGCCTTTGCCGCCGCCGCAGTATCCTCGGCCGATGCAGCATTATCCGACTTCGTCCATTTGGGGAAATATCGGGTGATGACCATCGCCAGTTTTCGTCGTTTAACTGAGACGTTGCCACATGCTCGCGGATACAGCAGATACAACACGCTTGTGCAGAGCCCGCTGCGGCCTGAATTCGTTACCATCGAACACAAGCCGAATGGTGCAAGACGCCATTCCAGACCGTAGCAGAGCTGCACCTCCTGATCAAAGGAGTATTAGCGACTGCTGCTTAAGGCCATATACGTGGCCTTCCGAACAATCAGAAGTTTCTTCTATCTATTTCATGCCTATCAGACCTTTCTTCTTCTTTCAAAGCCGTACCTCTTGTTGTGTCGTTTCGTTCTCAGATCTGTGTTATACTGCTTCAGCGTTTTTTTGTAGCATGTCATGATTCGGTCTTTAAAGCGTAAAGTTTACAAACGATCAGATCGATCAGACTTAGATCCTGCGTTTCGAGTTTTGCTATGTACTTGGTGTTGTCGTTATGTATACGCCCACTTGTTCGTGCTATCAGTGTCCATGTCGTGCGCCATGCGGCATATATCATGATTCATATCTGCTCTTTCGAAATACCAATTCTCCTGGATGATATTGACCTGTCAACGACATCCATATGAACCCAGACTACGATGGGATAAGAGGGGATACTGGGACTAGGCTCAACCTACGGCATACTGAAACAGTCAGATAGATAATTTGCCCCTGTTACATGGCTCAAGCTACCGCATCTATAAAGAACGAAATTAGAAAGAGAAAATGAAACTCGTCAACTGATATTCCATTGGCAGATGTTTGTTTCTAGAACTGTGCAGGAAAGTACAACCTAAACAGTACAATTCAGGAGAGCAAAGGATATCAGGGTACATGAGATATTAGCACTGTATCCGTAAGAAGCTAAGTGGGTGAACCGTCCTCATGTATGATATATCCTTTCTGGGGCTGAACGAAATGGGGTGGATCAGTGGGGATCTAGAGGCGTTCGCCACGGCCGATGACAGTCACCTGAACAAAACGGCATTATATCAGTAACTGTTATTCGGGCGGACGCCTGATCCAATAACCCACGTTGAAGCCGATCGACCTGAGCTTGTCTGCATCCACAAGCAACCGCCCATCAAAGACAAATGCAGGTTTGTTCATACCCGCGTACACGGCCTCCCAGTCAATCGTCTTGAATTCGGCCCACTCGGTAGCGATAATGACTGCCTCAGCATTCTTGCAGGCTTCCAATGCAGAAGAGCAGATAAAAACTTGGCGTTGAACTTTGCCAGCAATATGAGTCGTGGATATGTCATGTAAAAAACTGTGCTTACTCGTCGCAAGGGGCACGAGAGGGCTAGCCTCGGTGAGGTCTGTCCATATTTGGTTCGGCTCCACTTGTGGATCGTAGATATTGACAAGAGCCCTTTCCTGCTGGAAGTCGCGGATAAGCGTAATAGCAGCCGACTCGCGCGTATCACCCGTGTCAGCCTTGAAGGCAAAGCCGAGAACAGCAATTCGCTACGACAGATCAAAGTCAATTTGACAGATGGGCAGAGAAATTGTGTACCTTGCCAGTGATAGTGTTGAACAGGGTATCCACAACCCGCTTACTGAACCTCCTCTTCTGGTATTCGTTCATCGTTACCACCTGTTTCCAGTACTCAGCTACTTCCTTTAAATTAAGACTCTCTGATAGGTAGACGAGGTTGAGAATATCCTTCTGGAAGCAGCTACCTCCGAACCCAACGGATGCACGAAGGAATTTCGGGCCAATGCGCGAGTCCTGTCCGATGGAGTGAGCGACCTCGGCGATATTGGCGCCTGTGGCTTCACAGATGGCGGAAAGTGCATTGATGGAGCTGATGCGCTGCGCAAGCATGGCGTTCGCAGCCAGCTTCGAGAGCTCAGAAGACCACAGGCCGACAGTCAAAATCCTTTCTTTGCTATGTGGTCGGTCAGCGCACCATCAGGCTCCGCATTGCCAGATACACTCACGGCACCCAATTCTGATAAACTTCGGAGAGCGCCGCACACGCCTCCTTGCCCTCCTGTGTCTGCAAAGAGCCGATGAGCACGCGATCAGGAGCAAAGAGATCATCGATGGCGGTTCCCTCAGCAAGGAACTCAGGGTTGGAGAGGATATCGAAGCGGGCGTTGGGCTTGCTGTTGGCATCAAGGATGGTGCGCATGGACTCCGCAGTCCTGCAAGGCACGGTAGATTTCTCGACGACGATCTTTGATGACGTTGCCGTAGCTGCGATGCGCCGAGTAGCGAGCTCGACGTAGCTGAGATACAGTTCATCAACATACGATTGTATAACGGGAGGATAGATGCAACGAAAGGGGAGAAATCGAAAACTCACTTTAAATCTGCAGCAAAGCCAGCACCGACACCGCTCTTTTTGGTTGGAGTGTTCACGGATACGAAAATGAGGTCTGCGTCCCGAATGCCCTTATCGACATCGGTACTGAAAAAGAGGTTGCGTCCGCGAGCCTTGCGAACGACATCCTCCAGACCAGGCTCATATATAGGCAGGTTGAAGTCTGGCGAGTTCCAGGCATCGATACGGGCTTGATTCAAGTCAACGATGGTGACCCGGATGTGAGGGCATTTCAGTGCGATCACGGCGCAGGTAGGACCGCCTGCAAAGCACATGTAAACTCAATGCATTCAAAGCGATTAACGAGCCTGTGAAGCGGCGGCTCACCGACGTATCCAGCACCGACTGGGCGTTAAAAATGAGCAACAGATAAATAGGAGATACCACCATAGGGCTTACTGCAGCAAATTTGTTTGACTCTAGGCATTGTGTTTGTGGATCGAGAGGACTGCGCTAAATGAGATCCTGATATCGCGGTTCACTTATTAAGTAGGCTGTTGACCTTGAGGGAGTGGAGTTACGGTGAAGCGATTTTGAACGTTGCCGTCGTCCACAGAGAAGTCGTTCCAGGACCAGGTACCAGGTGGCCACCTGCCATCGCCTCATGGCACAATTTCACTCTTTTATGAATTAAAAACACCCTTGCTATAATGATTGAGCTGCTTTTTGTACGTCTACTCGACGAACGAGCAAGTTTAACGGCCAATCGACGACAAATGATAAAAAAACGTGGCGAAGGAAGCACACCCGGAGTAGAAGGCCGAGCGCCAAGCACGCACTAGGCCTGTTAACACTTGCTCTTCCTCACAAGTTCCTACAATGATGTTCCTCAGCTTCCGTCTGGTACTATGCACACAGTCGAGGATTGGCAATAACTAGCATCGAGTAGTCTCCCCTGGCCGCTGCCTGAGTAGGCAGATTCGAAAGATTCAAGATTCAAGACCATTCCTTCTGTATTAGGGCAGCACTGATATTAACGGTCTGTTGACGACGCGTGTCTTCGCTTTATGTCACCTTAACCTCCAACGTGCTAGTATATGGCCGCCATTTCAGACGTGAGGCATATCTCCTTTCACGCATATCGATTGCGATTTCCACCCTTGCCTCATACACGGGAAGATGTGACGGAATTTTCCAGATGGATGGAGATAAGCCTTTGAGCTACTTGCAGATTACTGGGAACGATAGTAACCTGCGAATGGAGTCTCACGTGCACTTGGAGCAAGAGTCAGAATAGGCGAAGAGGCGAGAAATGAAGTTATCTATCATGACAGTTTCAAGTTAACTTGTTATAGTCAGCCAGCTGTGCTGTGCTATGGGGGCCTGGATCTCCACAGTTGGACTAGTACATGAGTACTAGTGACTATCTGGATCACTGTTTTCGGGGATATCGACTTGGACACAGTTGACAGCAAGACGCGCAGGACTACGGAGTCTACTAGAAGCTGACTCAGATGGGTTGTGCTTTGCAGGTGTCGGAGTCTGGGGACTCGATGCAAATCGTTCTATAGGAGTGGAGGGGCGGAATAAAGTTGGGTATCTGAAGGGATGTCAGTGATTGAAGGTTAAGGACATTTACGTACAGGCGCCGTGATGATCTAGTTAGAAATTTAAACGGTGTTGTCAGGGGTTTCAAATATCTATTATAGTCCCTCCCGCCCCTCGGAGACGAAGGGGCGGGCTGCGATATCATATGCCAGGACGAATCTATTCGAGTTAAGATATCAAAAGTACGGAGACATGACGCGATCAATATCACAGCTAATGGGCATACAGACAGACACCAGCATTATCTCCTGTTGTCGAATCACTCGCTTGTATAAGCATGCAATATGGAATGGACAATGAGGGCAAATAAAAATGTATCGCATGGTATACTTACAGATGCTATGATAGAGATTTAAGATCGTGACGATACGTACACAACCATTGCAGATCAGAGAAATTGATGCATGAAACAAACAACACAACAGGCAATCATAACCTGATCAAGGGGTGAGTACATATATTATGTAGCCTCGCTCTCGATATATCATACGAATGGAAAACAACCCTCCACCGCAGATCGGCGGGAAAGGGTGTCCTCGTCACTCTAGAAGGCGATTCATAGGTCAAGATCAATATGAGGGGCTAGCAAACTCCGACGTACTTCCTCGTACACGGTATCTTCGTTTCCGTCCTCATCAAGAGGATCCCATGGTGTTGGACAATCAGGCCACCTTAGTGATTATCAGAATAGATGATGAACTTTTAGGCAGGGATCATGAACGCACAGATCATCTTCTGTCAGGTGTACCTCCTCCCCACGGAATGTTCGCTCGAACCAAGGTTGCCTGCGCTTGAGGTCGAAGAGAGGCGTGTAACGATACTGTCCAGCCTTATCAAACGCCTTTCGGAGAAACGCTGCTTGAGCGTCCGTCCACCAATCGACGGAAGCTCCTCCGCCAGCAGATACACCTATTGCAGCTGCAACCGGTGCATTAGCAGTAAGCGCTAGCGCCACCCTCTCTCCGGCTACGTCAGGCCTTGAGCATACTGCCACCAATGAAGCACAAGGTAAGACTGTGACGCACACTTGTTGGACAAGTACAGATAATACCCCGGACACGTAAATGTGCTACTGACGATGTATTTATCCCTTAACTGGCGCGCCTCGTGGATAATGTTCAGAACCCTGCCCTGAGGAATATATTCCTGCTGTGGCTTGTGCATTACCAAGACGGCACCTCGTTTGCCCTGCTGGAACTGGAACTCGGCCTTGAAGGAGGCAGAAGCCAAGTCGAGAGCGGAGCTGATCGATTAGAGTAATGTTTGAATGATAGACGCAAACAAGAAATACGCGCACTCACACTTGTGGCGTGAGCGAAATCTCTCCCTTTTTAACGTCAATCGAGGACATGATCATGTCTTCCTCGACTGCACCCTTTATCGGCTGGCACGATGAATGAGACAAATCGATCCTCAAGCCTTGCTGCTTCAGTGACTCTTGAAATGCTTCGTCGTATATATTCCCTTCTACTTGCAGCACTCCGGTTCTCCTATCGATCGTCCATAGTGTCCCACCTACGGGCACTTAACACCAGACAAACTCGAGACAGTGCTCACTAAGGCGTGTAGACTGACCTTGATCGTGATCGGCGGGTCCCAATTAGCCCACTTGGATGACGTCTTGAAAATGAGATCAATGAACTTGCGAGAGGCAGAATCTGGCATTGCTGACGGGAAAGGCGTGCTGAAAGTAGGATGCAGAGGTGTGATTAGCGCCTTGACTCGGAATAATGCTAACTTGTAGAGTGACCATTTAGTATACTGGCTCCTGAGCGCCAATTCTACCACATAGCCTTGAAGTGCTGTGCATCACTCTGTGGTTAGCCCTGCAACGTAAAGTTTGTCTGAAGCCTTTATCGCTTTTTGAATGACATCGTTGCGAGCGCACTGCGCATCTATCATAGAAAAGTTCAAGATGGACAGGCCTTGCCCATTAGGCACTCCTAATACAGCCCCAGTAGTGATATATTCAGAATTTACCATAATTAATAATATGTCCAATTTCAAAATTTATTCAAAGCCCACTTTGAAATATTTCACAAAATATAAGCCAGTCTATATAGATCAGTACTCAGTGACTGATGCTTCATGTAGACAGAAATGCATGAACGATACGAGGTGGGTCCAACCTCAACCCTTGGAAAGCTTCGCCGAGCAAGACACCCTTGCCACGATCAATTCACGCAGTCCGGAAAAGCTTCGGTAACTGCCGGTCATCATCGTCGAACAAGTACAAACACAAAAGCAAGACCTTAAGTCTCCTCTGCAGCCAGTGAACGAGCCAGAATTTCGAAATTAGATTTTGTCAAGTACACTGGTTCCTGATGCATCTACGCTCACAAAGTCAGGTGCTATCACACTCTTACTGCTTCTGCAAGTCGGTCTTTCAGGCCTTCGGCGGCCCTCCAAGGTTTGTTTAAATAATGGTCTGCTCCGTCGGCATCAGGCAAACGATCTGTAACAAATATTACACTCCTCTTCCTCCACTTCTAATGGAACTGCACTTTTGATAATTAAGTAACTATGCAGTCGCGGTCATCATCTTAAGACGCACTGACTGTGTCAGATGGCTTACCTCTTCGTTTTCAAGGTGGCGGCGTGTGTTGACTACGAGGTGCTCGTTGGTGCTAGCAGCTAAATTGTCGCTGTCGCTGAAACTTGGCTATGTGATCGTTAACTGGGGCCGTTTTGAAAGGCGGAAAGCATAGTACAGGCTCAAATTCGTTTTCATTATAATCAGGATTTCCATTGCGATGTTTGTGGTTCCAGCGGATGAAAACCCGGCATATTGCTCTCAACCACCATGATAGTTTCCTGCAGAATGACTGAGCTGGCTTCTTGAACAGGCATCGACGGAAGACAGTTGGACATTCTAGGTCAACATCAGCGTAGATCATATCTGTGTTTCTGGTCTACCTCAAATTTCCGTCCAGACTGCCCGGGCCTGTCAACCTCAGCCTTACGTAGGCTCGATTATGTTGTAAGTTCCGCCTCTTTAATCGTTTCATTGGATCGCTCGTTAATGAAGAGGGTCAGGGAGGAGATGGCATCTGTTCAGAATTCTCCTAGCCTCCAGTAGCCGACCTCTTTATGTGAATTCTTCCCTTTCCAAAATACTACACCACCTCTTGTCTCTCGTCCCGTGGCAGTAATCAGTAGCACAAATTCGCACTGCACTCCTACTGGCCTTTATGTTCTGGTTTCCACTTTGGCCAGTTAAATAGCAGTCCCACTATGCTCTATTCCTGTCTATCGCTCTTAGATAGCTGTCGAGTGTGGTTGTGTTCTACTGCAGCATTAATATTGTTGCTGAACTATTTCTATAGTGCTCGCACCTTCGATCAAAGGCGGACAACGGGAACGGAAATCTATATCTCCTTTTACGTGGCGCGCTTCTGGCTCTGATCGGAACTTGACAGACCATAACGTTCTGTCTTTTGTGGCGACCGGACGAGGTATACTAGGTGCAGGTGCACCACTCTATCTGGATATTTGAAGCCACGCAGCCGCACTTGGAGCCTTGTGGCGCAACACATATGTGGGTGGATCTCGATTGCCATCTCAATACGACTTTCGCCATGAGGGATGAACCTCTTATGCTGCTTGACTCATCACGGAGAACAATATTATTACCGTCGTCGGTCATCGGCAAACTCCAGATGAAGTCAACCTCGCAGCTACTCTGCGGTTATCGGGGTTCAATAGAGTCACTGGCACCCCGCGGGCGGTCGATGACGATCTCGTACATGATGTTGTAACACCCCTTGTCGAAAGATTGATCATCTTTGAATACGACCTCGTAGGTCGTGCGAAGGCAACCTGGGTACTTACATTGTCGAGAAGGATGTGTCTCTGTTTTCATTGAAATTGGTATGTGGTCTCAATTCACAATGTGGTACTGTCTTCCATGCGAGCCAGCGTCTCTGGATCTTGATGGAATTACTCTTTCCCCCCCGGCCTTTTAATCTTCTTGTTTCGTCTATGTATTCAGTGACACAGCAATTTGGCTTTCTCAACTAGTCAGCAATCAGGGGATTCTACCTACGACTCCCGTGTCAAAAAGCACCCAGTGACATGAATCTCCACTCAAGGCAAAGGGAACATACATTTGGAATTGATAGATATGGCTCTCCCTGCAGGGACAAACAAGTACTACTACTGCATGTTCTTGCGCGAATGTCCTAGAGTCCTTAACCTTGTTTCCGCTTCACACGGACAGGCTATATCCCCACTCACTCACGACGACGGCATCCAATTCCCCTGGATTACATTTGGTAGTGTTCTTCCAGCAATATCCGAAAAACAACTAACCTCGTGAGACAGTTTCGCCGAAGATAAGTTGAGCGCCGCCATCAAGCCTACAACACGTCACGCCCTGCTCTCTTCGTCACCGCTGAGCTCTATCGACTCTAGCCCGGCCGGATGGTCAAGACCGCGCTGCAGGGGTCGCTGTGGAGGAACTGGGCGTGGACCTTGTGCACCGGCCCGGCCGCCACGTGGGCCGACTGAAGGAAGAAGTAGGGAAGGTTGGGAAGAACTGGCAGCGTCCATTGGGGTGTCGAATTTCGAAGTTGCCCACTTACAGGAGAACTTGGAGAGTGCTGCGTTTCCGCTTTCGGTCATTCAGGTGAGCGGAATGTCAGCCTTATCAATATTACCTTTGACAACCCCTCAGAAAGTATGGAAGTCCTTACATGTGTCTGTAATCATGGTGAATAAATAACATGGCATCATGATTAGGGTACGGACGAAAAGTGGGTTGTTAATAACAGGCATACAGCCATGGGGGGGTGACATGGTGCTAATAAGTCTATCAACCCCCGTAGTCTTGGTGAGTCGCCTTCCGACCTTCTGCTGTTCCTCGCAGATCATTGACTTAGAAGTTTGCAACGCAAATCTTACAGAGAAGCAAGCTGCTGTCTGACATGAGACTTGGGTGTCTCGCAACGAAGTTTTCAACTTGTTTTCCCTCCCTCTTGCACCAGTCGAGCACTCAAAATGGTCAACACAAAAGCCTCAGATGATATTCTCGTTATTCCTGTATCAGTGCAATCTATTATTCTCCCAGATCAGAATCTGTCTGTCTCGTCATTGCTTCGATTTTCACTCCCATCAGCTTCAACTACCACTGCTCCGCCATTGTGCAAATATTTTAGTACTGACTCCCCGCCCAAGGACAGTTCATATCTCAATTATCTCCGCACACAGTCCCTTCCCAAGCTTGCAGTTCTGCATCAGCTCCTAGAAGGGGCGCAACGTTGGTAGCCGATCTATTATCTATGCCCACCACGGATCCACTGGCAGCTATCTATCTGTTGGCACAGATGAACAGGAAGAAATCCTCGAAGACGAAGAAGACACATGGCTCGATGAGACGCTAGCGGCTAAACCAGCAGAGGATTCAGCCTTCGACATTGAAGTGGACGCAAACCTTCATGCACCAATTGTCACCAAGGCCTTGTCTGATGAATGCGAGGAAAGTCCTATCAACAGCTTGGGTAGCACTCAAGGTGATGCTACAGAGGACGATGCTGACCTAGAAGGCATGGACACCGAGTGGGACGGATTTTGGTAGTAGCTGTAGCGAAATTTTCAATTTTTAGGTCACGTGACTGTTAATAACATGTTAATGACATGCTTGTTAATAACCCTACGCAACCACTTGTTATTTAACATAGGTTAATAACATTCGGATGACTTATCGTCCGTACCCTAATCATGATGGCCTCCGGATCCCGTCATTGACAAAATGTGGGCACGCCTTGAGTCCGACTCGAGGACAGCCCGTGTCAGTCGGTCAGGTGCTCAACAGGTGGTTGCAGTAGCATAGTTTTTTTTGTAAATTTTGTTCGTTTTGATAGTGCTGTGTTGCGTGGGCTCGCGTAATATCGATCAGTATTTTGAGCAAGGCGCATAGGATGAGAGAGTATCTTGATACGACCAACGTTCCGGAGTTGACGGCTGATGAGACTGAGAATGCTGGGGCAAGTATCACCAGAAATTCTTCGACTACTGATCAACATGCTTATGTATAGTTCGACTGATATATAAGGTACAACTGTCACTCCTTGTCGGTTAGTAGTGTTAAGTACTTCTGCATATACAGGCAAGGAATGAAAAGTAGGCAAACAGTGAAACACAACTGTAATTCTACAACATCGAACGTTTGTCCATCTATCCCAACCTGTCTAAGCGTGAGATTGTCCGATCCTCGCGTTGGCATAGTTCTGAAGGAACCATGTCACTGTCTCCTGAAGAGCTGCACGACACAGTCAATGATCAAGGACTGGAATGAGTACACGAGGACAAAAAAACCTTGTTCAAATGGCGTGAACTTGAAGTCGGAGCCAATCAGGCTCATGAGCTTTGCATTCGATGCGGGTTTGCGGTCTTGGCCGTTGTCATTAACTTCGTTCTCAAACTTCATGACAAGAACATCTGTGCTCAGGTACTTCGTGAATAGTACAAAGGAACGTACCTCGGGCTTGTCAGGGTGATTCATGACTTTGACGATGGAATTCGCAAGATCGCGAATACTGATTTCGTCATTCTCATCCACTGAGAGCTCGTCAGTAAACTTCGCATCAGCAGATATGCGAAAACTCACCTGAAAGGATGACGGGTTCAACGGAGTCATACTCGCGCATTTGCCATATGAACAGCTTGGCCAGGTCACGAGAGTAGATGAATTGACGAAGGGGCGAACCATCGCCCATAACTTTGAATGGCGTGTTGTTCTCTGCATCGGAAGTGTGTCAGTGTGCAAAACGTTTGAAACGAGAGGAAATGGACTTTGTGATAGGTAGCATTTGTGAATCAGCGCGGGCATCACATGCGCATGCTTCAGATCACTTTAGAAGGTTTAGTCAGGACGTGATAACCTTTGCAGTGGTCAAGCGTACAAGTTATCATGCGGTCCAAACACATTGGTCGGGATGGCAGATGTGAAGTTGCAGCCAAATTCCTCCTTGTAAGCACTACTCAGTAGATATGAACGCAGTCAAAGGTACCCTAAGGGAATCATGACATACTGGTTCTGGATATCTACCATTCTCTTCGCATGCGCATACCCGAAGTTACTCGAATGTGGTGGTCCAAGGTGAACCTTCTCCTCTGTGAGTGGGTATTCGACTTTGTCCGGGAAGACACATGTCGAAAGACAAGAGATGACTTTCTTTGTCCCTTTGATGTGAGCGGTGTGAAGAACATTGTCGTTGATCAGCATATTATCGCGAAGGAAAGTCATCTGCAAGGGGTCAGATTGCACACAACAGAGGGTATTTGTCCTAACCTTCCGCTCTCTGTTCGCGAAGAGGCCACCCACTATAGAAATACAGATCAAATGGGCTCATCCTGACCCGAACTCAGGCGTACCAAGGGCAGCCAGATGGATGACATGAGTAGGTTGGTATTTCTCGAATAACTTCAGGGTTTCTTCAGGATTTCTGCACTACATATTGATGCTTGCTATCAGGACAACGATCATACGACAGTACCTTAGATCGGCCTCGCGAGAGCCAGCAAAGATCCATTTCTCCCCTGGGCGCTTTCCGAAGCGCGAGCCTTCTGGTTCGTGTTCGATAACGTACTCGATAGCTTTCCCGACGAGTCCAGTGCCTCCAGTGACAAGTACCACGGCTGCCATCGTTGTTGATTTGAAAAGAACTATGCAGTGCTATGAGAGGAGCTGTATTTATATGGAGATTGATCAGATAATGGCATTGGTCGAAGATCACCCTGTGTTCCCACAATAACTTTCTCAAGCGTATCCACACGTTGCTGTATGAAAGCTCTCAGCCGTATTTACTTGTAACATCTTCTCTAGATTCTCCACGTTGGACCGTCGTTGCGTTGCCCCCTCTGCATCCTCAACATCCGTGTCATTCAAAGCGATATGGACTACCAGAAGATAGCGAGTGACGTTTACAAACTTGCAGAGTCAGATGAACCCATGGCACTCCTTGTAAGAGAGGCCTTGCAGGTCATCGAGCAATGTCTGGATCAATATGGGTGAGCGGCAGTGTTTTCTTTGCTCATGCACGATTCATCACACTGATATTTTACTTTATAGGCAAGACCACGTATCTCTGAGTTTCAACGGCGGGAAGGATTGTGCGTCAGCAGGACCCCTGAGATGTACATCTACTGACGCCTTCGTCCCGTAGGCACCGTCCTACTCCATCTGTATGCTGCGGTTCTCACCAGAAAGGTGTTGTCCACGCATAAGCCTATATTTGCATTATACATTCCAGACCCATCACCATTCCCTGCACTGGAGGAATTTATCAAGATAGCTACGCAAGACTACCGCCTCAATCTTTACACGTGCAACCTATCCTCGGACATTCAGTTGCCTGTGGAAAGTGTGACGCCCGGTGTGTCGACCCCAACATCACTTAAGGGGAGCAATGGCTACATAGGACATAGCCTCCAGACTCAGCCTGTCGGAGCGGCTAGGGGTGGTGAAGGGATGCGGCGAGCCCTAGAGTTGTACAAATTACGTTTCCCGGATATTCAAGCGATTTTGGTGGGCACCCGACGTACGGACCCCCATGGAAGTGAGTGTCGCCATTATCGCGCGATGCAAGTACTCATGACTCGAGTAGCAACGCTATCATACAGAAATGTGACGGATCCGGGATGGCCCGCCTTCGAACGAGTAAACCCAATTATCAATTGGGCATACTCAGATGTCTGGACATTCCTAAGAAAACTCAATGTTCCGTACTGCACATTGTATGACGAAGGGTGAGGATCATTTTTATCTCGCCAACCTCTATTGACACCCGTATAGTTACACATCTCTGGGATCCACATATAATACATTTCCAAATCCAGCCCTGCTTGTAACGGATTCTGATTCGTCCAACACTCTTCCTTCTCCACTCACAACTGTTGCAAACAATCCAAATGCCATGTGTCTTGTTGAACCAACTCCACCGAAGTCGTTTATGAATGGCTTCGGTCCTTTTACGATCATTGCCAATAACCCCGATCAGACATGCTTTGCCGACCCTGTCTTTGATTTGAGGGAGACAAAGTCACTTAGGAGCTCTATCGAAACACTAGGACCTTTCCAGGTTCTGGCTAGTGATCCAAATGCTCAATGCCATGTCGAGGATGGTAGGAGTGCCAATGATGTCAGCCTCCCACCACAGTATCGGCCCGCGTATGAGCTACAGGATGGAGCCCTTGAGCGTGCTGGGCGAGTTTCGGGTGCTATCCCACCTGTGATACCACAGATCTGATTGCTGTTATCTGATACGGACAATGCGGCGGATAGAAATAACATCAATATTTCCATTACTGTATTTGACACAGATCACTTGCAGCTGTATTCATTATTAATATTTCCTGGAGCTTGAAGTCTGACCGCCACTTGACCGAGTAAATTGACCCGGGACTACCAGGTCGAGAAGCACGAAGAGGATGATGTAAACTTAGTTCTATGCACGAGAAACTCAGCAGTGCTCTGAAAAGATTCAATTGAACTGTTTCAATTATACACCGCCGCGCGCACATGAGCGTTGGCTGTTGATACATGGGTAAGTACAATTCAATCGAGAGTGACATATCTAACTCTTTCTGTGAGAAGAGTCATCGTGGACACAGTACAGGGGTTCTTGGGTACATAGATTCATGGACGCCATCTGCCTGATGCGGCATTTAGAAAGCGTTTTGTCATATATTGTGCATTGCCTTACTGATGAGGTCTGTCAAAAGTCCATCTCCAGCTCGATCTATTGAAAAGTCTCAGGATTTGTCTCTGATATAGAGCGAGCCACATACCGCGGCGGCTGCCTCGTCGACTTTCAGAGCAAGCAAGTTACTTAGCTCCGTCATGTTCTCCTTCACGATGCTAGAGCAAGCGGCACAGCCTGTGCTTCTAACCGTTTGGATTGTCCTTTCCGCTGCTGTCCTCACAGTGTCGCCAGACGGTCTATCCATCAACAGCTCGGATAACTCCTGCATATACGTCACCCACCATGTAACTGTATGGATACCCCAGAACGAAAACCTCTTGTCGGTAACTTGTCCACAGCGACAGGACCCGTTGCAGTATGGGCCAAATAGCCAAGCGCAGCCATTGTAACTCCCATAATGATCCGTCAACCATTTGAAGTCCTTCGTTAAAGGTTGTACGGCGGTACTGCAATTTTTATGGTATGTTAGTAGGGCAAGAAGTTCGGATGCGGTGATAAGCCCGATCTCTGAGAACTGTGCAGGAATTAAGGGCTGACGTAAGGTGTGTCTGGCAGCGGTGATTGTTTCTTGCGTGAGCCGTGCGTTACGGGCGACTGTGAAACAGCGAATGGGCTCCGTCTCGAGAACCTTCGGATTCGCCAGAGCCTGACACACTTTTTTCTCGATCAGGTCTAGCGAATACTTCCTCGCAGCTGCGAGCATAGACAGGACATCTGTCAGGTTCTCGAGGGAAGGATCATCTGCCAGCGTCGATGGATAGCAAAACCTGAGAAAGGAATCTAGTGTTTTGCTGTCCTCAGACACGGCGATGACTGCTAGGTCATCCTTCATCTCTTGATCGGTAGCCCCATCAGGCGCCTGAGGGAGGCTAAACAATGTCTCGAAGAACGGAGAGGCAAGGGAAAGGAAGAGCTTGAAGACTCGGAACTCAACTCCATCAGCCGATCGTAAAATAACGTCTGCTTGAGCATGGTCAAATGGGGCAGAGGCACAAGTTGCCATTGGTGATTCGTGAACTAACTCTCTAGTGTCATTAAATTGGCATATCGTAGCTAGTGACTTGGACGCACCAGGATAATACGAGTAACAGACGTTAGAAGCTGTGAGAGACAAACTACGAAAGTTTCAGTCTGAATGGAAGACTTGACATCGAAATAAGTACCTGCGAGAGAAAAACGATAAACTGCGGAGACGTGAGTAAGGATCGAGCACGATAATGAAGGTGAGGATCTTACCTCAGTCAGAGTGGAAAAAACTGAGGTGCAACACCGCGGGTACGGCCTACTATATGCTAGCGCTGTAAGCGGTTATGTAAAGTGTGAGCATGCTATTGTACGTGTGCGCAGTACGTGATAGTGAAAAGGAACGAGTGATTAGTCAAAAGGGAGACTTACATGTTACGCAGTTGCTTGTAGTGTGGAGGGAGGTGGTCGTTGTAAGCGCCATGGGGCACGCACGTCACCTGGCGTACGGCAGCATCCCTCCGAGGGTGGCAGATGGTGGTGACCCACACGAACCTGTCCAAGTTGCGTAGTCAGAAAACTCTCCTGGACCGTGGTTTATAGGTGTCTTTGAGCTGGGCAGGAGATCCCATAGCATCAGCCTAGTGGTAGAATGTCAACTTGACGAGCATTGAAAAAGTTGTCGAACACGTCACGAGTGGAAGAGATTTATGTACTCTCTAGAAGGCTGTATTACTGAATGGCCGTGAAATGATGTATACATTAAATTCATCGCTGTTATGAGTGCCATTTTCAGTTGTAGAGTGGATTGGTATGTGCACACTCACATTAAACAAGAGGTTATCGAGACAAACTTCTTTTAGTATAGCATAGATGATAACCTGATATAAGAATATAAGAAATCCATCAGCGTTCCACCAGCAGAAAAAGGGCTGCATAATACATACCAGCTTCGTGGCGGAGGGATGGATCGACAGGGTTATAAGCTTCTTGCAGATAAGCACCATTGTTACAATGATCGGTACCGTGTTGCAAACCTCGTTTCAATTACACAAGCCGCGGCTGACGGTGGGCTTCGTATGTTTGCAAGCCCATAGCTGATGCGAAAGGCTGCGGAAGTGGTGAACACTCTAGCGAACTGTTCGAGTCTATTGCGCAAAATATTTAGTCGGCTTCTGACTTGCATATAGTAGCCCGATCCTGAAATGACTCCAATACAGTCGTTGCCTTATTCGAGGCAAGACAAATGGCCTGACGAATAATGCTGAAGCAGCTGAGAGCACCTGACCAAAGAAGTGAGTTGCCATGCGATGGAACACGCCCACGACCCGAAAAATACGATGAATTATTCATCATGACACCACAGTAAACGAAATTCATGTTTATGAACTTCCTATGTATGCTGTTGGTTCGTGGCCGGTGGTCATCAACTGCGCTACACCGCAGGCCCACAGATTAATGTTTCCCAGATACCCAGATACTATATTCAAAATTAGTGAGCGGCAGTCCCCCAAACCTCTCACAAATGAAAAGGAAAATCGAGTTCATCATAATCGATTGAAAGTCAGATACCCATTCCCGACTGAAGTTATTCATTACGTTCCAAAAACCCGATACCGCCTGCCCTCACCTTCCCTATAAAGCTTTCGTACCATCGAGCAATGACACCCATTGAAACAGTACTTTCCGGACCTACATTTGTTCCTGCTGGCACGAAGCCCGCTATATAGTTAAACAGGTGCCTGGCTATTTTCTCCGCAAGCACCGATGGATCTGCAGGTTTGGCTATCGATGCCAGTGATGACGTTGGTGTTGGAGTGGGGGTGATATTCATAGCGTTCTGGGCTTGTCCTTGCGGGAGAGAAGCAAGTTGTGCGGCTATCGCTTCAAGAGGTTCTAATGCAAATCCAAGTATAGCGGTGACTTGACCGGATGCAGAAGACGAAGTTGCGGATGTGAACGCAGAAGGTGTTGATATGCCTGATGGGGGTGCTGATGTGGAAGAGAAGACGGACCGAAGGCGGAATATGGCTGATGGTTTATCGTTCGATAGCCTGAAAATCGCAAGTAAGGTTTAAGATCTTTGCATTCCGTTGATGAAAGGTGAACGCACAAGCCAAGTACTTGTGAACCTTTTCCAGGCCAGAAAAAGTGGACGGTTGCGCCAAATCCATCAGGGAATGGAACTATGTTACAGATCAGCATGAGATAAGTCATTCGAGGGAGGGATGGAGTATGAGGAACTGACCTGTACCAAGCAAAAACACGCACACATGATTGACTTTCTCAGCAGCTGGGATCTCAAAGAGGGCATGTGTCTCGTCCACCTGCTGCAGGTTGGTTTGCAGGAGACGACCAGCGACGCAACATCCAAACATGACTGATGACTTATTGGGGTGATGAACTTCAGATTAGCAGAAGGATTGTATAGGCGCAGTCGACCGTGGTCGGTTGGTTGGAAAGTTGCAATTCTGAGTTTGCGGCCATGGACGATGATGAAATGTGGACAGACCCGTGACACAACTTCGGTCCAACGTCGAACTGGAAGTTTCCCGGTTGTTCCACTAACCTCCGTACCATTCTTTCATTTTCCATCGGTTTGAAAGCTCGAACAATAACAGTCACCAGGATCCGCTTACCGTCTCGAAGATTCTATGTGATCAGAAACTGGTCTACCCAAGCAGTGAGCCCAACAGTGTACGACGCCCACTTTTCGTTATCATAGCCTTTTGATAAAAAGATCAAGCCAAGGTCAACGCAAGCCTAGGCGCTTCGTTACATACAGATCTAGCCACGATCAGGAACTTATCTGCGCTGTGCATACTGCGGTAATGTCGCTTTCACCTGCCACACAGTGCTGACGCGGTGCTTTCGTTACCTCGGTAGTTCCGTGAAAATTTCGTGAGTTCATACCTATGGTACGACGGGGCTAGTTTCCGTGGTAGAATTGGTGTGCCATTATTGTCAAAGTCACCCTTGAGTTACCAAGAAGGTTGCAGCCAATTTTTACCTTGGTCGAACTGGGTGAGTCATATTTGCCAGAGTCACTCCTTGAGTCACTTATGAGGTTGTGGATATTCACTACTTACTGAGCTATGGATGCAAACACGCCATGGTGCCGCTGATACATACGTATCTCCTCAGCCCGACTCCCTGTTCAGCAAAAAGTGCACCAGCTATGAACTACGCGAGCTTCATTATAGTTCGCCTCCACGGCGTATCCCTAACTATTCCTATCCAAGCGTCCGGATGTCGCTTACCCTATTACGAGACTGTTTAGGAACTCGTCTACGACCGGAATGAACCGAGATCTAATTATCTGTCCCTTCGATCAGACGAGTCTAGTGGTTTCCTTGTCTAATCATGCGTGGTTCGCGGGAATGATTTACGTTTCCAACTATGCGTGGTTTGCGGAATGCCCTGTAAAGTTCGCGGGCATTATTGCCCTTTCGCGCGTTTGACCGGTTACCGTGCGGCTGCCCCACTCCGCAGGACCTCGGTTCAGCCTCTATCATCAGAACTATGACACTGCTGCATGACGTCACGAGATTGGCAGAATCAAAATCACCAAGAGAGATACCGCGAACCATCGTACCAACGGTAACAGCAACCAGCCCGCGGATTTAGCCCCGAGTCCCACTCTTCCGTGTTGTCCATACCATACTTGCTCTACGCTTTTCGCGGGAGGGATCCTTCCGGATATAGGGGGGGTGAGATTTGTATCTGGATAATGAGGCCGCATTCGTCCGCCTGCGATGTATGCAATTTGTCTTGGACATGATTGTCCGCACACCCCACATGATTAGGGCCAGACCTCTAGCCGACAGAACTTCATCTCGATCGACAAGATGTACGTATCTTCATCATGATCTGTGTTTTCCTCTTCTTTCCACGTGGTTCCCTCGGTGGCCATGCGAGAGTGTGCGAAGTGGCTGCAAGTGAATGTAGACCTGCAATCCAGTTAAGGCGAGATTTGCAAACATCATTATACCAACGCTGTGCTATCACGCGTCCAGTAGGAATGCATTGTTGGTGCTTGCCTAACTCATCTCTCAGAGCACGACCCTGAAACTTGACTGCACGGGTGGTACGGTATTGCTCGATGGCGGACTGACTTTATGCTACGCAGTCTAGCTAGCCCCTGACGTTCGTTTCCGCAACAAAACGATATATTGATAGCACGGACATCACAGGTGATACGAAAATGAACCAGCTAGGAATCGTGTGCTATCCGGCACATAATCTCCCTGATACAATAACGAGGGCAATTCAAATTCAACTCCTGGATATTACGGTAAGCAGTGAGTAATTCTCGGATAGAAAGATTCTAGGGAAATACCGAATGTTTTGTCCACGGCGGTGATCGATGATGGATGATCCGTGCGTATGGCGCTTACAGGTATAGTCTTACGCTGCACATGTGCAACCATAGGTGCGTCTTTGGGGATACCTGATGGAATAAATCTCGAGCTGAGATTGGGAACAGGAACGGGGAAATCGAAGAATCGACGTCCCTGGTCGTCTTGAACTTTAGATTTACAATCTTCGACTCGGAGCTAGTTTTAATTGAATGTACGTATGAACCCGGGAAATATTGTGTTGTGTTTGCCTTGATTGCTCTTTAAAGTATAGCTTGAAAATGGCCATGACCAGGCGTGGATGGTATGTCTAATATATACATGGGTCGCGGCCCGCTGCAACTGGACTATCACAGTGTGTTAGGAAAGTATCTGTGACGACGAGATTGGTTGCTGGGTGGAGACTGGTGGGGAGGAGACGGGTCGATCACGGAAATAACCACGTGGCCGACCGAAGACGGAGAACTGACAAAATCAAATTGGCGGGACCTGTGCCTGGACAGAGGACGGTACCGGCCGCCAGACAGGAAATTACGAAACAATGATTAGTAGGAAGACAACGATCTACAGCAGTCTACAGCGACTGATAGGAGAATCTACTTGAATCTACCTCCAGACGGAGACGGCTCACGTGGGGAAGACTTCTCACCCGGAAGTTTTTGCATGTGCAACAAAGTGGGTCTCTGATTTGAGTCGTCCAAATGAATTTGATATCCTTTCTGGCGTCAATGACACTTTAAAAACTGCAGAGTCGAAAGCTGTCGAAAACAGGAATTAGACACAGACACAGATATGTCAAACGAACTGAAGGACGAAAAAAAACATGCAGCTCGTTGAAAATAATCTCGTGACAGTCTATTTTTTCCGAGCTAGAACGAATAAATATCCTCGGAATGACACAAAGGCTTGAAGTGCGAGGATTACGGGCCCTCGGAAGCCGTTGGATGCCGATTTGGTGGCACGGACATAGGGCATAGGCAAACTAGAGGGGGTTTCCTTTACAAGATAGTCGCATGAAAACGTACCGTGCTAGTCGGTAATGGCTTGCCTTCTCCAAAAGAAATCATCTGTTGTGTTGTCGGGTGACAATGTACTGTTGCTGAGTATCGGAAGTTCAAATAGGTTTGAATGCTCCGATAGGACGGTAGTACCAATTGATTGGTGAAAGGTTATCTAACAAAACGGTGAGTGTACGCCGAACATTCGAACCATTGGGAGACGCCCTTGAAGGCGATAGAAGAGAAAATAAAATTCTCCTCGGGCTCAAGCGGATGGTACCGAAGTTATAAAGCTGCTCTAATAATAATGTATTAGTATTCGACATATGGATCAAGTGAGTGGGAAGAGGGAGAAAGTGAGGCTGGATTGCTCTGTAATAAGCATTAAGTTCGCATGTTGAGAGGAGCAGACTTACAAAGGTGACCTTGACTACCTAAGTATCTTGACGGTAGAAGATTAGAAAATCCAAACAACTTGAAACTTGAAAGCTTCTGACGCCACGACATTCGCAAAATAACGTACATTGGAACAGCGATTAATCGGTGAGTGATGACTTGATCTTGTTCAGAAAGCGGGGATGGACACTTCAAGGGTCGTTCCTTCCGAGGACTTGAAATCAAGGGTTGAAATCTCGGAGCGTCGTCACAGCTCGGAGTCGTAGATCGCACAGTTGGCTTGGCATTGAAGAGATCGCGAAATCTTTGAAATACTGGACCCAGCCTGTGATTCAAGTCTGCCCCCCTTCAAACTCTTCCTCTTTCATATTATTGTGATGGCCATCCCAGCTAATGCGTACTATATACTAGACTCGCATCCAGCTTCACATTACGGTCTTGATCCACCAAATAGTTCAGGCAGTACCAACTCTGCACGTTCACAATCTGCCAGTGTAAAATCGGAACTATCCTCCTCACCTTATCTTGATCTTTCACCGTCACCTCCACACACTTTTTCTTTCCATTTTCCGTCATCTGCGTCAGCGCCTAATAGTACTGCGCAAATTAATCATAATTTTACAACGACATCGAACACACTACCAGACCGCCCGTACTACCGCTTCGGATCCATGGCACACCCGGAGGACGCCTGGCTCAGCAAACGTTCAACAAATTCCGCTCTCGACTTGAATTCACTATCATTCCCGGACGAATACGACGATGGCGATGAGTTACCTGATCCTCCAGGCTCCTCTGGTGCGCCTGCTACTTCATCTGGCTATTCAGATAGAGTCGTTAGAAGAAGGAGCAGTAAAGGTACTGTCCCTGTTCGTCTCAAATATCTATTCAGTCCATGCCTTATCATACGTCAGCTTGCGATCAATGCCGCAAAAGCAAATGTAAATGCGAGCGCGCAGGAGATGGCGAGGCTTGTAAAAGCTGCATCATGCTGGGGACGCGTAAGTCTGCCTAATTCCACACGGTTGACAACCTGCTGACCATACTTTCTCGCTCCTTCCTTCTCATTTCCCCCTCTCCCCATTTCTGAAATTTTGCGGCTCCTCAACTGGTCCTTGGAATCCATTCATATCATCATCAACGCGGCTCCACTTGACGCCACCTTGATGGGGTCACCTTTCGTTACCCTCTTCACCAATACATCATGAATTCCCTTTTGTGGCCTTCGCAACCACCTTTGAAAATGACATCCTGCCACGTGTGACTGGCGTTCTGGAACACTAACGATCCTTGATGTATGATGCGCCGCTGTCACCACTTTTTGTTTTCGTATCAACACCTTTACGCTTCATGCTTACAATGATCCGATTGCTCGCTCTCGACATTTTCTGATCTGATTACGTTTATCAATATGCAGCGTGTACATTCCTCGGACCCTCGCGCAAGCGCGGCCCCCCTAAGGGGTACATTGACGCCATCGAAGCTCGGCTGCACCAAACTGAGGCCCTACTTGGTGTTCTCCTCGCTGTCGAGGCAGAGCATGGGGAAAGGTGCATTTGGATCATCATTTTGTATAAAAAATTATTCACTAGTTTTGTGCAGGTATGGTGAAGCAGATAGACCACCTCCAGGCGGCGCTGCAGGTTTGGAGGATGTGTTGTACACCCTAAGACAGGTCGGTGTTTTACTTGGACTCCATGTTTTAATTTTTCGTGCATGGATTTGTACTTTTGATGTTCACAAGTACCTCAGTTACTTCAAATTTATTTTTCCTGTTCCAATGCATTCATTCTCGCATTTGTTGCCAACAACGTACATCTCCAACAGGCGCACATGCTGATAAATTTCCAATCAGGACGCTCTTGCTCGTGAAATCCTCAATCGTGTCGATACCTCCTCATATGGTGTCAAAGGACGAAAAGGTGGCGATGCTAAACCACGCCCAAATAATGCCACTGCAACGGAGGGTAGTGGTATTGACCTACAGTCCACACAGTGAGTCTAATCCTTCCCGTTGTTTAACAGCGTTGAAAATGTTTTTTGTACAGCCCTTCAAATGAATGGCAGGATCGCGTTGTATCTCTCCTTTCGTCATCTCTATCGCTCTCATCGCAGTCTCGCCCGCCTACATCTGGTGCTATCTCCCTTAACAACCCGCGCACGATCCAACTTTCGCAATCTAGAACCTCGCCATCTCTCTCACTTGACGATAATGGACGACGTCAACGCCGGCGACTCGGTTCATCATCATCTCCGGATCCATCCGATCACTCGCAAGCACAAGCACCTGCCAGTACGGATTCTGAGGACGAAGACGACGTCGTGGATGCTGTGGGCCAGCTCTCCTTGAACGAGGACGAACAAGTCCGGTATCACGGAAAGGCAAGTGGTCTTTACCTGTTGGGGTATAATGCGAAGGAGGAAGCTCGGAATGAAGGCGGAATATGGTGAGCGATTTGTTCGATGATATGTTGCATGAATGTCTCACATGTCACAGGCGCTTCCCAAAGGCCCGTGTCTGGCCACCACTCCCTCCAGCTGGTACAAATACAACGTCGCCCATAATTCCTAGTATTGATGCGCTGACGAGTTCTGCCGCAAGCCCGACCACAACCAACAGCCCTTTGATGGGTTTATCTGTCATGGACATGGATCTGAGCAGCGTCATGCCTGATCCGGCTGTTCAGGAGCATTTATTGGAGATATATTTTACTTATGTACATTCGGCGTTCCCGGTGTTGCTCAAGGAGGCTTTCTGGGAGGGTTACAAGGCGTGAGGTCACCTCACGAGTTTCCTCCGACTCCCACTGACATCCGTTTCAGGCATCAGAATCCATCTGCAGATACACCGTCGCCCACGTCCGATGGTCAGGGTTCGAAGTCTCCGTCGTCTTTTCACCGTGCCCGCCGTAATATTTCTCCGCTTTTACTCCTCAGCATGTTTTCCATTGCCGAACGCTATTCACCATCTTCCTCCTTCCCACCGAACTCCCCTCCCCCTCCATCGGCATCGTCGCCCCGAGAGCCAACCCCGATGTGGACTGCAGGTGATCAGTACTTTAACGTCGCTAAGAAACTTCTTGACAACACCTATGCATCTTCGTTGCCAAGCACCGTGCAAGCTCTTCTATTACTCGGGTACCGCGAGATTGGCATTGGTGCCATGGCACAAGCCTGGGTGTACACGGGCATGGCGGTACGTATGGCGCAGGATCTTGGTATGCACCGCGCAGCCGACGGCTGGGCCCGTGTGGACGTCGGGCGTCTATTCGGCCCCCGGGAGTTACAGGAACGGCGGCGGATATGGTGGGGATGTGTCGTACTCGATGGGTATGTGAGCACGTATATTGGAAGGCCGCTTGCAATCTTCGAGCGGGATTACGATACACTCTTGCCGGGCGAGGATGAGGTACGGAAATATGTTGTATCAATTATAGTCCGGTGTGTTGATGGGTATTTTAAAACTTAGGCGGAGGAGATGGAGTTGTGGATTCCTCATGAGTCGCTGCCGCCTGATTCCCGCGGACATGGGTATCCACCTAGTGCAGAGATGAGGTGTTCAACAACCGGACGTGTACTATCTAGCTTTAATGCTTCTGCAACTCTCTGTGAGCACCTTTATTTGACCATGTAATGTCATAGCTAAGTTCATGTCTCAGCGACTATCCTTTCCAAGCTCGTACAGTCGATGTATGCCATCCGTCCCGTGACTTCTCGGCACGCTGAGGCGGTACAACTTGAGGAGCTGCTAAATAAGTGGTACCTCGACTTGCCCGAGCATTTACAATTGAAGCAGGGCGCGACCATTCCGCCCCATATCTTGACATTGCACATGCAATATTGGTGTACGACATTGCTATTGCATCGCCCCTTGTGAGTTCCGTCTTGTTTATCTGTTATTCTTTTGGAGTGACTGGGCATATAGCATAAGGAATACGTACCTTCTAAATAAGGGGTGAGTGCCTCGGAATTTCTCCATTGCTGATGTTAATGCTTTTTCAGGAAATCGGATAATGTGGATGATGCAGAAGCGTGTGCGACGAGTAAGAAACATTATGAGCTGTGCGTGGGTGCTGCAAACCACATCTCATCTATCGGTAAATTATTCCTATCACTCCTTTGCAAGCAACTTCTGACGCAAGATGGATTTTAGTTTCATCTTATCGGGAAAAGTACTGTCTGCAACGCGCGCCCGTTTTTCTCAGTTTCTATATTTTTACGGCGGGTATTATGCATGTCACGAGCAGTATGTCGCGATTTGATTTTCTTTGCCGATCGTATTCTCATCCTATATACAGCGTCCATCTTCCCGAATGACCCTCAATCACGGATAGGTCTGTTCAGGTGCATGGATGCACTACAAGACATGGAAATTGTCTGGCCCTCCGCAGCACGTGCCAATGAGCTTCTTCGGGGCTCAAACGTCATGGCAAATCCCTCGAACTCTGGCCAAGCGTGCCTTTCATTTACTTCTCGGGATCGCCAGAAGCGGACAGCTGAGCATTCAATAGACTCAGAGGATGCATACGAGCGTTCGCAGTCGCAGGCCCTACCCTCAAGTGGCTCGCCTCACATACCAGGGTCGGGACAAGGGTACGCCAACACCTGGCGATCGACTCAGTTTAGCGGAACGTCGCACGATGTCGGTCACTCTCAGGAGTCTGGTGCTGGGCGGCATACTGACTTTGCTGGGGCATCTATCTCAACTTCGCAACCATCGTATTACCCGTGGACCTCTGATGGATCTTCATATCTCTCGTTCCCGAGCACATTGTCTACGTCTGTGCTTCCGCAGATGTATAGCACAGGCTTGGTCGACAGCCGTCGGGCGGGGAACTTGCAGTCCTCGACTTCACATCAAGGACAAGCGCGGCTGGCTATACATGGGAGCGGATCTGGTACATATACCAGTGATCAACCTGGGGTAGGGCGGTATCCGCAGTTTTGGAATGACTATACGTCGTTCCCACAGATGGGGGTGGCTTATAGCCAGTCTCATCCTCAGCAGCCACCGCAACAACAGGATCCCATGTATATGAGCGGACAGTATGGCGGTATTTACAGTGAGTGTTCTGCGTCATGAGGAAGGAGCGGTGTCCTGACACCCTACATAGATAATCATCCTACATCTTAATCTAATCAAGTGGATTGTACCACATCTACCTGAGCGGACATGAAGCACTAGTAGACCTCTCACGACCTAATGTATTACATCCTATCAGACACCCCAAAAATGTTTCTATTTCACCACAGTGCTATTCCCTCGTTGTATCCGTTCTACCCTCCTGCTTACCTGGCTGTGTAATTCGCTTCGAAAGGACTCTATTTGTTATGTTTTTATGTGTTATAAACTTATATCCCTGCTTCCCTCAGGCGCTTTGTTTGAAATTGTTCCGCCAAATGTTGTGCCGACAGCCTGTATTGTAAAACCTTCAATACCAACATGCATGATTTGAATAGCGATGCGTAACTCGTGTAGTGATGAGACCTTTTGTGCGATAAATGAAGATAACAAGTGCCATATATGCGTGGCCAGTAGACATTTATGCATACTACGGGCGCTTAATTAAGGCTGATACTAGTAGTCACTGGGCCATGAAGGTTGGACCCCAACGCAATTCACCCTGCCAGCCAACTATCAACACACTTGACTGTATCTATTTGCAGGTTCGCCGAGTATGCACTATCACGATGAGGCGAAAGAATCCAATAACATTGAGGTTTTGATCACATTGATGGATGGAAGTGTGGACCATGAAGTGGCTAGGCGCGTCCTGCGGAAATTCGATGGCGATGTAGAGAAAGCAGCTTCCGCCATGATCGAGGGCGACAGGGGAGAAGACACACAGTCATCGTTATGGACATCGCACTCGCAGATGGAGATAAACCAACCCAGACCGTTGCCTCCTCCCGCTGTCCGCCCGAACTCACCGATCAATATCGACCTAACGGGTGACGATGACCAAAATGACGAGTTATCGCGCGCTTTGAAAGCGTCACTTGAGACAGTCTCCCAAGAGGGTCCGATGTTTGGACCGAGCGAACGGCCTCCTGATGCTAACTGGGCGATGGTGCCTTCGAATGTAGGTCAGTCCGTGCTTCATGTTACTGCTTTTGTACTGATGCCATGTTTAGCAGGATAATGTTGCTGCGGACGACCTGGATCGCGCTATACAAGCTAGCTTTGAGCAAGCTGATACTGGCGATGAATACCAGCCTTTACCCCTTGATCAGCAATGGCGGAAGGAAGGCTGGTATGTCTCTAATTCATTCATCTCCCTCTACTAAAGGCATCCCTGCAGGCCTGTCACTTTACGTCCCACAAAACATACGATGGTCTATGCAGCTCTGGTTCTGCACGCGCTTTTCTATGTTCCACAGATTCGTGAACGCGTTGCAAATTGGCGGCCAGCTCTGCCCGAAGGTGCAACAGAAGCTGAACCCCCAAAGAATGGGCCAGGTAAATGTGTTGTGTGCTGTTCTATAGTCGTTGCTGACAGTGCTTAAGAGCTCCTCATGTGGAAGCTCGTCGAAACTTTCACCAACATGGATCTCGCAAAGCTTGTAGACCTGGATGCTCATGAGGTGCTGGAGGGGTTCAAGCCTGAGCCCTGGTCGAACCCGGCGCAATCTCCGGGCGAGCTATCTCAACGTACGTTCCTTTGAGCTACTTATATGCGTGATAATCAACGGAGAACCAGGATTCTTCGAAAAGGTAGCAGCCGCCCTCGACAAAGTATTCACCCATGAATTCATTCGTACTGGACAGGCGAAGTACTACGTGGCATCGACTGCTCTTCTCTGTCTCACTGATATATAATGCGCAGACAGCGCATCATGCAGTTCCAATATGGGAACAGCAATTTCGACGACGAACCCGGAGAGCTCCTGCAAGATGCTTCCATCGTCCGTGTCGAAGCCCTTGGACGGAGCGAAACGAATGACCTCGTCGGTCGCCTTTCTGCGCAGCTTTCCAATAATAAGGATGATGTAAAGCGCCAGGTTATTTTCGAGCCCTCGGAGGTGATTGCATTTCATCTTGCGCGCTCGGGCACTGTCACGGGCGAGCGCAAGCCGTTTAAATACCCGAAGCACATCTATCTCGATCAGTTCCTGAAGGAAAATGTTGAGCTTGCAGAGAGCAAGAGGGTGCAGCAGCGGGACCTTCATGCAGAAATTCAGAAGCTGGTGTCGCACAACAAATCCTTGACGCACTTCAATGTTCGTCCTTGGCGGCTTACCGTATCGTCCCCTGCACTAACCTTGACTGGTTCTCAGGACAAGGACACCTTAATGGACCTGCGCTCATCGATATACTATTTCGAGAATGTGGCAGACGCGAAGGGCGACGACGAGCGTGCTCGTGTCACCCAAACTATGGCTAACAAACTAAAGAATATCCTCGCTCAGGTAGAGAAGGAAATCAAAGGTGGCACGCAGGTCCTTTTACTTGACGGGCTACTGACTATCCACATCTCTCATAGTCTCGGACATTGCCATTGCGAAGATGCGTGATCAAGTTGCAACGCTTTTAGATTGTCCTGAGCTCCAACGTGTCAGAGTAAGTCACTTATTTCACGTCACATCTCGGCCAGAAAAGTTTTCTAATCCGTCGGCAGTATGATCTCCGCGCAGTACTAGTCCACGACGGTTTGTATGGCAGGAAGCACCTCTATTCCTATATACAAGAGAAGGGTGCATGGTGGAGGATAGAGGACACATCCATTAGCCAGGTATGCGAGACTAGTTGATGATGTACCTGTCGTGAAGTTCACACACACCAAAGGTATCCGAGGGAAATGTTCTGGAAGACTCGGTGGGCCTACATCTCGGCGCGGGGCCTTACCTTCTCTTGTATTCGAGGGCGCTTCCAGAAGGCGCCGAGCCACTGGATCTCCAGTGGCCTCCGCCGATCATGGCATGTCCAATATTATTCGCATGCCAAAATACTCACCTGACTTTTCGCATCAGATCGATGTAGAGAATCACAATCGTGTCTTATTGGAGCAGTTGCAGTTTTCAGAAGCGGAGAGTCATGTTAATCAGGACAAGGAAAACATCTTGACGGAGGAGGACCGAATGGAATCAATGGACGTTTTATGTTGACTTGAATGAAAATAAACTTTTTCTTTGGGACGCTGGGTCAGAATGAACGCCGTCGTACAAACCGAGCGGTCAATGATGGATAATTATAAAATTTGTCGCTGCAGCAAGGTACATGGAAAGTTACGTGTGATAATGGGAAAAAAAGCTCTGTAGACGTTCTAGATGAGTCTCTATCGCGTCCATCGAGCAAGACGTAGCGTCGACAGAAGGCAAAAAAACCATAACGAGAAGAAAAATATAGATAAGGGACGATCACGGCCACTGCATGTCCATCAGTAAACCAGCGAGCCACAAGAAGCAGACAAGCACAACGTAAAAGTAATAGGAGGACAATAGCATCAGAACCATAAGGATTCACTCCGTGGCAGACTTCCCTAGTCGAAGCGCATTGCGTCCAGCGACGGGTTATAGTTCGAGTACGTTGCAGCCCCACGAGCCCTTTCGGACTCCGCATAGGTAGCAAAACCACGGGTACTCCCGGAAGGTCCAACGTGCGCCGGCGGCGATCTACTACTGGAATTCGGGCCATTCTGCCCCAGCAACCTAGCGCCCTAGAAGATCGTGGAAACTGCAGATCAGTCGCGGTTTTTAACGGACAACCCCGGATACTCACCGGTCCGGATGGAGGTCTCGTGGGCATACGACTTGACAAGGACGAACCGGAGGACGATCGACTCGGAGCCTCGGAGTAATCCACAAATGCTCCCTGCTGACCATAGTACCCTTGACTGCCTGCCCCGGAGGCAGACGACTGATCACGGATATTCGTCATAGCCATGAAATCAGGGAGGCGCCTCCCAGCTGAAGGAGCGTTCGTATTTGAGTCAGCCTTTCTGCAACACAAACCCCGTTCACCAGATACCGCAAACGTCGTTCGCGACCGCGCGTCATTACAGTGATTATCACACTGACAACCTAGACAGCACCCACAGCAGTCTGGAAGGCAAGCACAAGAATTACGAGGACATTTACACCGCCCACCGCAGCACTCTGCCGGCGGGGACGGAGTTTCAGGTAACCGAGGTCTTCCGCTTTGATATGGCTGTATTTGAGGCGTGGTCAGTTCATACGGGTTGAAGTTCGGTTGCGAATTCGAAATGCCCGGGCTAAGTGCGACTTGTCTGAGCCATTCATCAAATTCTTGTGATTGTGATGGATCAGAAGATAAGTCAATGTTAGGAGGCGGATTGCCTGCTGGTATAGACAATATGGTGCAATCGAGACAAAAGGCGCAGGTGGATGGGTTACTGCACGAGGCATAGGTAGCCCCACCGGTGATTGATGGATTGTTGTGCAAGGTACATCCAGGACACATGCATGAGTCACCACAGGCGCAGACAGAGGGGAAGGCCTCAGCAGGCGACCAGGCATCTGGTACCGTCTGACTTCTCAGGGCTTGCTGTTGGGATTGAACAGAGCGTCCAGCAAACGAGCGGGGATCAGGAGTCAGTGAGGACCCCTTTTGATCGTGAGGGTGATCTGAGTGAGTGTACCCGTAGGCGCGACCGTAAGGACTGAAGTCGTAGCTATGATGGCGGATGCTATGACCGTGAGGGACGCCCGAAGATGGATTATGTAAGGAGCCGTCGAGAGGGAGTTGCCTGTGAGCTGGTCTGGGAGCTACTGGACGGAGCTCAGCAATGCGTGCTAAGACGTGAGATGAAAGAGGAGGAGATAGGGATTCGTGGTGTTTTGAGGAGTCTGAATGAAGCTTGTCTCGTTTAGGAGGCTCTGCACCGGAGAAGCGACGGCGAGTGGCAGGCTTGCGAGGGGTACAGCAATTGCAGGGGCCACTGGAGCTACATCTACAGCCAGTTGGAGAAGTTTCACCTTATTTAAAGTCAATACTGAAGATGATGGCGAGAGAAATATGGCGCTTCTGGCCTACCGCTGTGGTCTGAGTCGTCCGATGCCGGCAGCAATGTAGCTAGCGTTTCAAGGGCCTCAGGAAGGCCATTAGGAAACGCAGCAGTAGCCGGTAACTTCGGCATCCCTACAGAAAAAGAAGGGGCCTTAAAGATAAGACAGATTAATTTCAGCGACAAATGAGGCGTACCCTTCTTGCTGTGGGATGCCTCGTGGGCACCGGGGGTACCTTGATCTTGAGACCCACATGAACATTTGACGTGCACTTGTTTTGTTTTTCGTAGCTCTCTACAGTGCTCACACTGAGTGACTGGACGACCTTTTTTCTTAATTTCGAAAAGGGGACGATCGGTGTGTTTACATGCGGATGAGCGATGCCCCTTTATGCACGTTTCACTGGGGAGTTCATCTAAGGACACAACATGGGGATAGGGCGTAATGAAAGACATACCACGCATATTTCTTATCACTGACGAGAACCTGAATGATAGATGGATTAGAAGACATGGTGATGAACACGATTGGTTGGGTCTCCTACCATGTTTGTAGTTGATATTGGTAAGGGAAAAAAAAATACAAGGGGTAGTAGTACCGTCCCGGACAAAATGGTGGTACTTCACCGCCCGCGACGTGAAAGTGTAGGCTAGCAGGATATGAGAAACATCTGTACGAAAGCGAGAGGGTCTTTAAGGACCATAAAATAGGAAGAAAAAGACTGTTGACGAAGGTTGACAGGCCCGGTGTGTCCATCCTTTAATCGAGCTCCTCGCATCTCTTCTTTGCCACGAAATCCAAACAAAGAACAACAAACGACCAAACATGAATTAGCATGCACCAACTTATGGTATCCGTTGATTGAGCTCTTTCTGCCAGAGGACCGGTTGTTGCTGTATTTTGGTTTTTCTTTGGCAACCGCTGAAACTTTGGACTTGGATTCCGTGGTATTCCCGTGCCAGTGTTCGATGTTTGCTAACCGTTCACACCATCTTCTCCCAAGAACAATCAGGCATCCCCCCTAAGGAACCATATCATATGCCCCTGTGTTCTGATATCCATCCTGTGATGCGACTCGAGCCAATATTCATCAATTTTGATCGGCGGTCTTGTCTTCGATCACACCTTGATCCCTCATAAAGTTGATACGTCAACGTCACTGTCCTGCCGTCCTCGCGAAGGTTGCAGCAAGTACTGTTGCTCCTTGTTGTGCTTTGGGCGCGTGCCAGGGGTGGCAACTGCATTGGCGTTCTAGCGAGCCAGGATAGAACCTGGAATTTGACCCATCAGATATTACCTTCTTGAACTCCCATCTACAAGTACATCGCATCTTCGAAGCCTGTTACAAAGAACATTCTTTACATGCAAAATTTCCAAAATGCAAATGCGGTCTCAATACTTATGACATTCCGCAGTGGTGAGAGTATGAAGGCGTATGGTATTAGCACGAGACGACTAATGGTATAATTTTATGATGGCGCAGTCTCATCGGCGTCCGCGGCGCGCTGTTGCCTTCTTGCCTTTTTAGCTGCATTTGCTGCCGCAGCCTTTGCTTTTTTGGCCTCTGCTCGTGCTACCTTCTCTTCCTCCTCCTTCCTCTGAGCCTCTTCCTCAGCTTTACGCTTATCTTCTTCTGCTTTGGCCTTCTGTTCAGCAGCGCTCATTCCGCCCTTGGTCTTCTTCTTCGCCTCCCGAGCCTCCTTTTCTTCCTGTTTGATCCGCTTGATTCGAGGATCAAGATTAAGAGTAAGGTCCACGAGATTACGGAGACGAGTAATATCCTCTTTCTTTCGACGAGCGCGCTCAGTTTTGTTCTTTTTCTCGGTGTACCTTTTATCATCACGGCTGCGGGAGAAGTACATGAGCTGGAACGGCACGGCCTCGTGGTTCCTATTACTTACTTATCGCTTCCTTCATTCACCTCCTTGTCCAGGTATTCAAATGATCGCCAGCTGTCAAAGTTGTACCAGAAATCGTAGAAGGCATGCACGCTCTCTTTTGAGTCGTCGTTCTCGCCTAACATTGGAACGGGTGATTTTTTGCTGAATCGTCCCTCCCTCTCAAAGATAGGTGCGAATGTTGTGAAAAAAAGTCCAGTGTCTTTTTCTTGGCCTTTGAAGTCGGAGGCAGAAGGATCATCCTCTTCGAGGGATAGGCAGACGGGGTCGACAGAGTCGAATTGGCGCCGCCGCTCAGGGTTCGTGAGAACCTCATTTGCTTTTTGTATGCACTTGAAGAATGCATCATCGTTCGTGGTGTGCGATGCACCGGCTTTCTTGTCTGGATGGTGTTTTAGAACTTTCTTGCGATCTGTGGAGCAGCGATAGGTCAGAAAGTCCGAGGATGCCAGCAACGCCACATACGGGCAATCTTTATTTGCTCGGGCGTCGCCTTGAATCGCAGGTGTGACAATCCGAGGACCTGATAATGGTCTTGTTTCTGCAAATGATATCTAAAGTTTAGATCGTAGTAAACAACACCCGATATGCATACCTTCCACTCCTTTGCATCAAGCAGAAGGAGTTCAGGAGATTCTTCCTCATCTCCGACGCCAAGGTCGTCCTCCCCATTCAGGCCATCTGCGTTAAGCAACTCGAGGCGCTTCCGTTCCTCTTCGAGTTGTTTGTCATGCTCGTCAAATGTTAAGTTGTTAAGTGTGCGTTTTATGTGAGCCAGGTAGGCTGCGCCTGCAGGAATAAGCCTACGCTGGACAAAGGCTGTGTGAATGAGGATATGCTATCAAGTGGAATAATCACAACGAGAGACTCACGAGAAATGGAGGAGGCTGGTTCCGAGGGTGGGATCCAGCTTGGAGGCAGGGAAGGTAGCGTAGCTGGTATCGCCATTGCTGAGGACTTTTCACTCGAGAGCAGCTGTAGTGAGACTTTGATGGACTGCAAAAAAGTTTCGATGATTATTATGTAAGCATATTGTGCCACTCAATGTGTCTCAGGCTGCCATCAGGTTGTTAACAAATAAGTGCAACAGTCCTGTACCCAAGCGTCGTGACGGGGAATGACTTCGTCACTCTGGGCATATGCACGGTCTACGTACTCACAGCAGCCAGGCCATCTCCCAAAATTCTTCGAGGACACTGATCGGTTGATTCTCAACCAAGCAGTCATGTCTCGTGCACGTACTGACGCGATATGATTCAGATAATGTAGCATTGGTCTGGCCTGTCTTCCAAGTTGTTTCATACTTTGGTGGTCTAGGAATACGGTCGACAAGGTCTTCGAGGTGCAAGAGCAATTCTGACTGAACATTCAACCATGTTCATCTATCTTATTCCATTTGCTCTGCATGGATGTTATTGTTCCCTATGGGATGCTCGGTCTAGGGCAGAATGTTCAAGTGCATCAGTCTTAAACCGGCCCTCGACGCGTCTTCAATGACATCATAGATTGCCGTGGTGAGTTTCCTGAACCCATCTTTCTTTTATGCTATCAAGCAACTTTAAGTCCAGCCGGGTAGTCTGAATCCAAATTATCTTTTGACTGTTGCTTCCTAAGGTACTCATTGCAATTCAGCCTGGGGCAGACATAAATAAAAGACCGCATTCTGTCGATGAAGTTCTTCATCTGCCATCTTCATCATCGACTACATTCCCGACGTTCTTTCTACACTTGACGCTCTTTATTCACATCAAGCTCTCAGCATGGTTGCTCTTCAACTATTCTACGAAGGACGAGCTGGCGAACGCCTGATAACCAAGCCAGTAAGTATCCCTCATATTCATTCTCATCATCATTCTGACGCTTTCAAAGGCCAAGTCCCTGTGCAAGGCATGGAATAGCATCAAGTCGACCAAGAACTCCTTTGCCTTCAATAAGGTCAACCGCGTCCCGGTGCCTAAATATGACGTGTCTGTTTCTACTCTCGCACCATCTGGCGGTCATGCTGTCGCCATCGTCACGTGGCCCTCTAGCGCAAGCATCGTGATCTCTGCGACTGGTATCCTTCCGCCCGTCGTCACCTCCACGGATTCTACCGTGAGAGAGACTGAGGCACTTGAAGGCCTTGACAATGCGTACCACGACCCAGACGTACTCGACATCAGGAGAAGGGTATTCATCTTGGACTTCATTGAGGCGTTCTTTGCTAGAGACCGCAAAGTACGTAAGATTTTATGACGTTCAGTGATGCTTATTTACGGGGTGTCATAGGCAATGAACATCTTGAGCCCTATCCATGTTCCTAATTGCATGATGTCATCCAAACAGAACATGTCCGACACAACAGTTCTCAACCCTTCGACGGGCTCCGCCAACGGAGTTGTACCGCGATCCTGTTTCAAGAATGAAACAAGCCTCAACGACTTCATTGTCCGCGCGAGGCTCGGTGCTGGCGCGAACGGCGTCGTTTACCGTGTCGAAGACAAGATTACGAACAAGACCATGGCATTAAAAGCCATCAGGAGGCAAGGCGCAGCTTTATGCGATCTCCAGCAATTTCGAGTCGAGCTGGATGCCCTGAAACGGGTCATAGGTGATGCTCATTGTATGCAAGTCGAGGCAGGCTTTCAGGACGCACAGTGCCTCTATCTAGCTCTTGTGAGTGGTCGCACGTGCTGTGCTCGGATTGGCTTATACCCTATGACAGGCGTTCTATCCAGGAGGCGATCTCCATGACGTTATTCGCACTTATCCGCGCAGGATCCTTCCAGTCGAACAAGCAAGGTTTTATACGGCAGAACTTGTGAGCGTTCTTCCTATGGTTGTGATCTGCATTCTGACCAAATTAGCTTGTTGGTGTTTATCATCTCCACTGTCAAGGAGTCATCCACAGGGACATCAAACCGTCGAATATCCTTATCGACTCCCATGGTCATCTCGTAATTGCAGATCTAGGTTTAGCTAAGGTCTTCACGCTCGATGATCCGAAATCGTTTTCTCCCTACAACCCCACGGGGACTTTCACCAGCTTATCGCAAGTGCCCTACCTCGCGAGTTCACTCTGCGGTACTGCGGAGTATATGGCGCCGGAACTTATCCTGGGTGCTAAATATGGTTTCGCAATCGACTTTTGGGCAGTGGGTGTCATGTTGTATGAGATGCTCGCCGGAAGGGTAAGTCTTGCTTTCTTCGATGGATCATTGCTCACTTTGGTTTAGACTCCCTGGGCTACAGTCGACGGTCTTCACATAGCTGATGGCATTGTTGGGTTTGACCCTTTTTTTGTTAGCGATTTTCATCCCGAGGCTAGGGATCTCCTACATAATGTACGTCTCACTTAGTGTTTGTTCACTCAGGGTCATTGACGTTTGCACAGATGCTTCAGAAAGATGTCAAAAGTAGGCCTTTGTACGAGGCCATGCTTAATCACCCATTCTTTGCATCGATGTAAGAGTCCGCTCTGATCATTCGATCCATATGTTAAAATGGCTTTAGTGACTGGAAGAAAGTCGAGAAACGGACCCTTCCTTTGCTTTGCATTCCCGTGGTCGAGGAGAAAGACGCGTCAGACACAGTTCCCATCTCGCTTGGCCAATGTGAACCATCGAACGACCCGCTGCCCAACTTTAATTTTATTTCCCCGGTGTTGAAGCGCGAGCGTCACCGCGCTCAAGCCTTGTGGAGAATCAAGACTAAGAGTGGCATTCAGGATCTTCAGAAAATCGTTGCAAAGCTCTTCTCCCACCCACCGGCACCAGAAACGAAGGAGCAGCAAACTACTCGTCCTGCTTGTGCAACAACTGGGACTACGCTGGTGGACGGCGACGAAATACGTGCCAATTGGGCTTCTGGGGCTGCTGAAATCTCGCGTACTTTATCAAACTGGTCGCTTCGTCATTTCCTGCGTCGTAATGCGCTTCTGGGCGAAGGTGTTCCACAACCTCAGCCATGCGATGATTATTCTGGTCCAGTTCCTGTGCGAAGCCTCGAGTCTTTCATCCGCCGCGTCGACCGAAGAGAGAAGCCTCGTCCGGTGCGAAAGAATTTGCGCGTTACTCCATCGCCTAACGCGACCCTTGTCGCATCTCCCACGTATCTATCACCAAAAGGAATTGGCTCCCCGTCTCGAAGCTCAGGCTTTAAGCGATGGATCAGTCGCCTCTGGCACCCTATTCCTAGTGCTCATGTGATGGTCGGGGATGAACGCAAGACCCTTGACCTCACTGCCTAGGTGCTGTCGCCGTACCCTCGAGGCCCTTCCCTGTCTTACTGCTGGTTGTTATGCTGGATCCTTCCACTGTCCTGGTTAGGCCCTATTCCCCTTGGATCTCTCGAATCTGCAACCGGTGCCTGTTCTGCTCTTTCATATACCCTGCTTTATCTGTCACCTGCTTTCCTGCGCATCATCTTCATATTTCTCTTTCTCGCATATCCTAATTCGTCCTTAGCGCCGGGTGCTACTAGTTCATCAAGCGCGACACCACTTCAGCGGATACTGTCTTCCACATTTGGCCCGGGGCGTTCTTTGTCATCCACCTTTTCTTGTCCCCGTTCGCTGCCTGTTTCGGTGTTGAGCTGTGAGTTTTTTGTAGGGTGGTTGCTGTTTTGTTCTCGCCAGGTCGCTCGTTTTACGTCTGCCCCCTTCTCCGACCTCGGCATCCTTTGGCATGGGTCCCTGTTTCCCTCCCTCCTCGCCCTTTTGACCCTTGCTCAAGAAAATTCGAAAATCCTTGTGCTGCGTTAACGCGCCGCAGGATGAAAAACTAGTGCATGGCTTCGCACATCTACCCTTCCGTTTCTCTCCTTGATTTCATTTCTTGTGTTCAGTCGTGGAAGACTGTTTCCCCTGTTGTTTCAAGCTTTGTCGTCTTGCTGTGCTTCCTTGCGCGCCGTGTGTTTGACGATGGACTTCTTTTGTTTTTTTATGGAATGGAATGTATACCCTATTTTATGTATTCCGAATATAATACCCATCTTTTCCTCCTAGCTTTCACCCAGTAGACAGCTATGTCCCTTTTGCTTGGTTTAAACTTTGCCTGGAGGAGATTGACCTCCGAGTGCAACGTCTTTGGTGAGCGTCTCGCAGAACCGTGCTTAGCCTCCCGCGCCCTTATGTTTGACGGATGCTGTTACATAACTAAGTGAATGTACATGCACATCCTCGGCAAACACCGAAAAGTCGGCCCCCCCTGTTGTTCTTGAACACGACATACTCTGGTATATGTTACCCGCGCCCGTTTGACCACTGCCAGCCATCTCAACTTGTACATGTAAAAGTATGCTCCGCGCGACAGTGTCTGCGTAGACTCAGGAAAACACGCCGGTTCATTCCAATATACAGACTACTAGCTATGGGCATGCTCAACTCTCCCTGAGTCGCATTCACGCTCTTAACCTGCATTTAAACTGTCATACTCGCACATACGCACCGTCCGCCTTGTTTCCACTGCTCGCTCGATCATCCTTTCCCATGGCATCGCCTCAATCGCCTCGCTCGAGGACTTCTTCTTTCGTTTCCAGTGGTTTGTATGTATGTAATCCACAATATACTCATTCTGTCCATTTGAATCGCAGTGTGATAGATGAATTGTGTAAGTGATACAAGCGCAGAGTATTACGGAAAAGAGTGGAAAGGGTGGTCCAGCATCTGAAGATACTCTGAGACCGGCATGGTCACTCCAGCCACCTGCCCTAGGTGTCCCACGAATGCAGTGACATCGTCATCTTTGATCTTGGCGCTTAGTGTAACTTCCGAGACAAGCATCTATTGTGCCAACCAGCCACCAGCAGCATGGAAATGCACGTGGAGTATGCCCTACACCCTTCCTCCTCATCTCCCACTAGCTTATCCCCAGTCCCTACCTATCATTCATCCACCACTTATTCCATAACTCTAGAAACAGCCCATTCACGGCCTTCGCTATATGCTTCATTGTGTCATCATGACTGGTACATCGGAAGGCCAATCGATCAGACTTGAAGGTGGGCACTCCATATTACCTTGTTCTATGTCTTTCGCGATATCCACACTCTATCTACAGTCATTAGCGGAAAAAATCTCAGCGTGCCCTCTGGTCGCATACCCGCAGGCATTTACGTGTCCGTCAATGTGAACCCGAGGAGATGCTGGAAATCAACCATCCGAATCCTATCATCCGATGTCTCTGTAACGTGGGACGATACTGTAACCTTGTAAGGCCTTCCACATAAACTTGCGGACTCGATCGCAGCACTCATCATCAGCTTTTAGTTCGCGGGACGCATTAGCCACTAGATTATCACTAGAAATACGTGCATCCTTTGAGCTCGGTCGAATGTTAGGTGATGGGGAAGTCATCAGCAAACTCGAGACCTGGTGGAATGAGCTGCTCGATCATGGAGATGAGCTGTTTGGTGAGTGATCCGTTTCTTATTCATGCACACTACTTACTTGCCGTAGATCTGTCCTTCCCACCCATTCGTGATGTATGCCCTTCCCTCACGCTGAAGGCCACTGTTGTCCATGTCCGCAGTAGCCGGCTCGATGTAAGCGACGTCAGCCTCCTTACTTTTAGTGTCTACTGACAAAATGAAAACTGCAGTCCATTACTGGATGCAGAATTGCTCGTCTCACAGATGAGGGCCACGCACAATTTGCCAAATACATGGCAAACGAGAACGCCTCTGACCTGAATAATGCTGTACAACGTTTTCAGTTCCTTCTGGACCGGCGTCCTGTCGGCCATCCTGACCGTGCTGCTGCTCTCACCAACCTCGCGTGGGCTCGCCTTCAAGGTTATATTCGTAAGAATATTCAAGACATTGATTTCACCATCTCTCTTTTCCGCGACGCCCTTGCATTGCGTCCGCAGGGCCACCCTGACCGTCCATCATCAATCTATCATCTCACCGAAGCGCTGAGACTGTGCCATATTAAGCAAGATACCCCCCCTGACATTCGTGAATCCGCCCCACTCTACCACGAGCTACTAGCTCTCTGTCCTGAGGGCACCTATCTTCGGAGCATCATAGCAGGGGATGATGGTGTGGATTATGTGATCCGCACATGCAACAATCTTCCAATAGATGTATTTGATGATGCCATCCAACTTCGACGAGTGGTGCTCAAGCTCTGTTCTCTGGGCAATCAACACCGTCCCAGGGCCCTCGACAAGCTTGCACAGGTAGTTGAAGCACGCTTTGATAGACACGGTTGCATCGAGGATCTTGAAGAGAACATAAAGCTTCGTCGTGGAGCCGTTTCTCTGTGCCCCGAGGGACATCCTGACCGTGCTGAATATCTGAATAACTTGGCTTACTCAATCAAATCCCGCTTCGATCACCAGGGCAAATCAGATGACCTCGATGAGGCCATATCTCTATTTGATGAAGCACTGTGCCTGTGCCCTATTGGGCATGAATTTCGTGATGCATCATTGGACAACCTAGGGCGAGCCTTACGCAGCCGTTTCTGCCAACGCAGCGATAAAAACGACATCGACAAGGCTATTGACTTCCTTCGCGAGGCGCTGACACTGTGCCCACCTGGGCATCCAACTCGTTACATCACACTTCACAACCTTGCCGTCACACTCAAAACCAGATACGATGAATTGCAAACCAACGAAGATCTGAACGAGGCCACCAATCTGTTCCGCGAGTCATTTCAGTTAACGCAGCCTGACGATCCAATGCGTCATCGATATCTTTACAATTTGAGCTCGGCACTCTGCTCTCGTTTCACACAAAATCAGGCAAATGAAGATATTGAGGAGGCCATTGGTCTCTGCGAAGAATCACTGGCAAATTTGCCACCACTCCACCCCGACAGGTACTACCCTTATTTCAGGTTAAGGGAGGCCTATATGTCTCGCTACCTGATCCAGCACAACCCCGATGATTTGTCGCTCGCAATAGAGAACTTCAGACGGGCATCACAACACCCCACGCAAGGATTTCCGGGACGCATTAAGGAGGTTATTAAATGGGCTCGCCAAGCCGAAGTCCATCAACATGAATCTGCCCTTGAAGCATACCAAGTTTACTTAGAGCTTTTCGACAACCATATGATGACGCGATCCTCCATTATCTCACGACGCGATGCTGCAACCACTTTTCGTGGCGCACAATCACTCCCAGTAGATGCAGCATCATGCGCTATTCGTCGCAATGATCTGCAACGAGCGGTTGAGCTTGAGGAGCAGGGGCGCGGCCAACAATGGTCGCTGGCCTCACGACTCAGGACTCCGCTGGACGATCTCAAATCTGCAAGTTTGCCACTCGCGAACAAACTATCAGAGCTCAGCAAGCGCCTGTCTGATGCTCAGGGTTCCACGGGCAGTGCAGACAGAGCTGCTGCTGATCGGGTAGCAGTAGAGTACAGAAAACTTGCGGAGCAGTGGGAAGCTGCAGTGGCTGAAATCCGCCATCTTCAAGGATTCTCGCGGTTCCTGCTCCCATTGATGTATGAAGATTTGCAAGTGGCAGCGCGTCATGGCCCAGTCATCATCCTCATCGCGAGCGAATACTCCCGCAATGCTATCATAATCCCAACGTCAGGGAAGCCACATCATATTCCCTTCCCAGATCTCGCTCTCGCAGATCTGGAGAAGCTCAAGGACGATTTTGCCAAGGCGATACGACAAGCATCTTTTATGGGCCCAAAGCAGCCAAGGACAAATCTGATAGTACTCTTGCGGAAGATCTGGGACGAGGTCATGTTACCCATCGTCAGGGTACTCCAGCGTGATCTGAGATTGCCGGGTCGCTCTCGAATCTGGCTGTGTCCGACAGCAGCATTCACGTCCATTCCTCTTCATGCAGCTCACCCGTTTCGAACGAAGGCGGATCGCTCTGGGCAGGAGCTATGCCTGGAGGATATTTATATCTGCTCTTACACACCCACACTTTCGGCTCTGATTAGAGCTCGACAGATGATGAAGACGCGCGTGACCCCGTCCTTCATAGCAATCGGACAAGGTCAACCAGGTGCAGGGCAAGGCAAGGAGCTCTTGACTGTCGAGAGTGAGCTTGAGCTAGTCCGCTCGCTTGTCCCCGCAATGGCCAACCCCACCACTCTTTCTGGTGATGCAGCGACACGAGCCGGTGCACTCGAAGCTCTGCAAAGCAACACATGGGTGCACCTCGCTTGTCATGGCAAGCAAGACCATGACCAGCCATACTATTCACATTTTGCTATGAAAGACGAACCCCTCACGCTGCTTGACATCATGGAGAACGATGCTCCGCAAGCTGAATTCGCATTCTTGTCGGCGTGTCATACTGCCGTTGGTGATAAGAAGACACCCGACGAAGTTATCCACCTCGCAGCTGGTCTACAGTTTTCAGGGTTCAAGAGCGTCATTGGCACGTTGTGGGTTGTCGACGACGCTGTCGCAAAACACGTCGTCGAAGCTTTCTACAAAAATTTGTTCAAGGATTTGAAGGAGGGTGACATGCCGGACTGTACGAAGGCGGCTTGGGCACTGAACAAGGCTACGTACGCTGTGAAGATGAAAGTGCCGCTCGAGCAGAGAATTGTTTTTGTTCATATTGGTGTGTAATTCTACGTCGTACTGCTGTCTTTCTCTCTGGAATTGTTGTTTTATATAAGTTCTGTTTTATTCATCAGTAAATCGATGAGTCCTTGATATTGTGGCCGTGGTAACTATAGAAAAATATAATTTTGCTCCTGCTAAACATGACCATTTATGCTGTCAGAAATGTTAGTTATTGATACATAGCCATCGACGAATGCAAATCTAGAATAACTTCAGCAAACCGTGACAATGTTCTGACAGTCACTCACTGTAGCCGGTGAGGGGTAGTATCATAAATATGCCAACCTTTTTGAGCATTGTCGTTTTACCTCATTTATATTTTGAATTACGAGACCATTCAAGACCTTTCAGTGAGAGGTGCCTTTGGCACTCGGTAACAGATCTATAAAACCATGGCACTTTATAACAATATTAGGAGATACCGCGACCGTAGCGGGGCAGGAGGCGATAGTGTACTACCCTCAACCTTGTCAACGATTTTTGTTCTGTCTGATCTGTGTTTCAAACTGAGATGCTATTCAAGACCTTCTGTGGGAAGTTTCCCTCGCCACTTACCAAAGATCCAGAAAAGCTTTGCAGTTCGCAATATCGTTGTGACATCCTGCCATCACAGCAGGCAAGAGGCGGCAATGCATTCCCTTCAACATTGGTTGAGTTCTTGCTCATTTTGATCTAAGCTTCCAAGGGTTTTCAGGACCTTCTCAAGCTCACTGCCAACACATAGCAAAAGTTTCAACTTGTACCACTAGCACTACTCCAGAGGCTAGTACACATAACCTACAGTGCTATTTCTACCATACTGATTGCAGCTCACAGATACAATGTGTATGATAGCCATCTGTATTAATTCATAAATTCTGTATTATCATTATCTTTTTTGCTCAAATGTCACTTGGCCCTGCCGTTGAAGCTTGAAGTTCCGTATTATCCCATGGATTATCTACAGACTATGATTACTCACTGCTCATCCGTTGAGTCCAAAATTTCAGAATAATCATCGCAACTTGTTCGAATAAGTGATTGACTATCACATGTACATAGCGGCACCTGTAAAATGAATTTGGCACTTGATATGCATGATATGCAAGAAGTTGAACTACTCAACTGTTTCAAATATCACTACATCAGATGCTCATCCATGAAGAGGCCAGCATGGATGATGGCTGGATAAAGATGAAGACTGGCATCACTAAGCAAGTAGACTCCAGGAGAGCTACATACCACTGGGGACATTCAAGTTTGCCTGGGCGCACAGCCTTGCCATGACGGTGTCCCAGGTGTCTAAGTACTATAGAAACAAGGCAGGTTAACAGAATGAAGCAGCATAAACTGCACATTGCACACACCTCTGGACCGTGATGCCCAATGCCATCAGCCTCCTGCGGCATGCACCTGATGGGCTTCAGGTAAGACAAGATAGGTGAGAACTCAACGTAAATTACCCACCAGTTTAATAATGGCGATCACAATTTCACTGGGGTGAACTCCAGCATACACTGAACTTCACCTGACATTCTTGGTTAGGGACATGAGTGCAGTGCATCGGGGAGGGTGTGCTGAGACGGGGGCCATGAGCATGAGACCTGAAGTTAGCAAGTCATTCTAGATCTTATCAAAGTCTCAGCATCCCCATGCAACTCCTGTGAGGAACACTTTACTCCGAGGTACATGTGCGAGTAAAAGATATACTGATCAAAGTTGTCCTTCATCTTGGCTTGAGCATGATGAGGGTCATGATAAATTTGAGTTGCAAGCTGCTGGCTGGCTTAAAGAATGACAGTCCATTGATGCTGCTGAAGGGTTTCATGGATGCCTCACGCCGTACAGAATGAAAGATACACCACACACATATGGATCCAGCATACTAGAGCATGTCTTAGATGTGTCTGTGTCAGCGGGCACCAGCCTAGAAGCTGCTGTCCAGCCTCCTGGGACAGCTGTGTCTGCTGGTTCTAGGGATTTGGGAGTTGCTGGGTCTGTGAGCTCGGGTACTGGTGCAGCAATGAGTATAATCTGATATAAAAGATCAGTTTGTGGAATAGTTAGAGGGTTTTGACATGCAGTGCGATGCAGAGGTTGACCTGGGAGTGGGGTGGTGGAGCATATGACTCTGGACACCAACGGGAAGCTCCACCAGTAGCGTGCGCTGGCATGCTGATAAGGCAAAAATTAAATGTATGCTCCATCGTCAAGGCGAGGTTGCTCACCTTGCCTGTGCCATGTTTTCGTGTGCAATGTTGACATGTGGGCACAGCGTGTACAATGCCCATCAGATCACTTCAAGAGGCCCAGACACAGATAAAGAATAAACACCTACATTCAGTCCCTTGCAAAATGGCCATTGCAGCCACATAAGCTGCATGCACAAGCAAAAGCGAAACTCATAATTATAATCATCGGAGAAAGATAACTAGTCTGAGTCTAGAACAAAAAAATAAGTTCAGGAGCACTTGCATCCATCTCACACTCACCCATCTGGACTGACATGAAATTTGAATTTGAAGGATAAACCGTCTGAGGAACATGATGATAATGATGCACTGATGCAGCTCGACTTGAACTTGTTTGGTTAGAGCAGACAAACAAACAAGCAACAGTGCTTGCATGCATTAGGCAGATCAGCTGAACTACCATTCACTGCATTCCCCTCCATAATGTGGGTGGGTTCATATCAGCTATCGTTAATGCTGAGTCTCTCAATCGAACCAAATCTGACGTTGCTGCATGTGAACCATCGTCAACTGAAATGCAGTGATAATCAAGAGGTAGATTGAAAACAAACATTAAGGATGGACTATTTAAAAATACATGTGGTCATTGTCCTCATCTGGGACGTCATCTGGGATGTCATCTGGATCATTTACACTTGACTCTTCCAAGTTGTCATCCTGTTCGAAGTCTTCTTGATCATCATCTACATCTTCTTGTACCTCCTCTCCTCCATCATCATCGCATCTCTCCCTCTCACTGTTGCCCTCGCAAGGTTGAAGATCGCTTTCCCAGTCTTCATTGGTCTGATCTTCCTCTGATTCTGGGCTATCTGTGAGCTCTGCATCGGCACAATCTTTTGTCAGCTTCCGGAGGGTGGTAGGATGACCAATCCTGTAGTGCGTGTAGCGCATAAACATATTGCTGTAGAGACCCCGTCCTCTACAGCTGTATAATAGGCATATTTTCGCGTTTTGGCCTTTGCACTGAAGCCCCCAATAAGCACAATACATGCGCTGCGACGACACACACTATGAGTGCACTTTCGCGCACTTTTGCATCCTTGTCGCCAACCATCTGCATGTCCTGTCCTCGTCCTCCAAGGTCCATTGGTGCGTGATTGTTAAGGTTGTGTGCTCAAGGGGGTTGGATCACAAGGGCTTGGCCTCAGCTTGTACGCTGTGCCCCTTTCCTGAGTATGTGCCCTTAATTTCTGGGGGCTAGAACAGTCATCCAGAGTTTCCGGGTTTTGACTAGGGTGGATAATGGACATCCATATCTGAAACGTGAGATAAATCCAACGGACATCCAGATATTACCTGGGCAAGCAAATAAGACTAATCTGGACGAAGTCCAGACTAGAAACTAACAGAGGATGGACTACCCTTAAGGTAGAGTTGGAAATGTAGTCTAGGATGCAATCCTAAGACTCAGAATATGACAAGAGACTTATCTCGAGTCCGGAGGACACAGGAATGAGCAGGAACTAAGATGATATTTGAACTGGAGTATTTCTGAGAGTTACAGGAGGTTTATATACTGTAGGTATCATATAGGAATCAGTCAGCAAACATAAAGGCTATGTATGAAGCATATGCAGAGTATATTAGTAAGTAGGATGGATCACAAATAATGAACACCGGAAATGAAATGTATGTAATAGATCAATAATCAAAAGGGAAACATGGTTAACCAGAGTCCAGAGACAGGGGCAGTCTAAATGGGGTTGGGCGCTGATATAGGGTTTGGATTCCGGAAGGGAGATAAAGATAGATCAGATCATTTGAGATCCAGATCTTGGACCCGGATATCCAGAGAAGCAGATTTAGAGTTGAGAGTCTGGAATGGCATATGACAGTGATTCTATCTATTTTTACTTCAAACACATATCACAGAGTTACATATGGTATGCAATTACACATTGCCTCACTATTTTTACTGCAGTTACATCACTTACAATATTTACTGCTACCTATTTGCTTCTGAAGCCTGGAAACGCGCTTACAAGGCATTACATGTCTCTGAGTAAATTTTAGTTACTGGGTTCCCTTCCACTAGTATCAGGATAGCAGCAGATAGTAGAATTGACTACCACCTTTGTCAATTTTCGCACTTGAACTGCAAAAAGGGATCATTTAGTCTCCATCATCTCCCACCAATCCAAGAAAAAGATCAGTACCTGCTCGCCTTGAGGTCTAGAGCCTAGCCATGAAGCGTGCATTTCGCATGTTGAGCACGCATCTTCGCATACCTATTGCATCCAGCGTGCTTTGGTGCCTATCATCGCATTCCATACTCTTGTGCTCCACCAGGCCCTCTGTCAAGAGCTAGTTCTTGGCATTTCCCCTCAATTCTTTAGAGGAATCCTTTCTCAGTGGCAATCCCCTTGGGTTGAGTTTGACTCGCATCCAGGGGAGCTCTGAAGAGTTCTTATCTTTAGTTTCCCCCCCCCATCCAAATTCCTCGCCTTCATTGCAGTCGACGAATCTGAGAAGTTTACAGTTCAAATAAGAAAAACAGGCTAGGAGATCGCACTTACATTCCAACACAGTAAACTTCCCAATCATCTAATTTGCCACATTGACATGCAAAAGATTTCCTGTGATGAAGGGAGGTGGTTCTGCGCCCAGAAGAAAACGCTGGAATCAAATGTGCACCTCAGATGACTTGAGTGGGATCAAGAAACCCGAATGCATCGCTATCAGTGTCCTCAATGAACGCAATTTTGGGAAGTCAAGCACAATTCATCCCTGAGTGGTGGCCAGTCAGAGGTGCCAACCATCTAACGTAAAGGACCTCGATTTGATGTTTTTTGAATGGGCCTTTGACGTTGAGCAATACATCCATGTGATAGATTCCCAGTACCCATGCATACCAGTATGGATGCTGGGGCCTCATTTCCCCAGATAATACCATGACATCAGAGTGTGTTCGAGGGTTAATAGTATCATGCTCTCATTGAAGGTCATAAGTCATGTAATGGACCTGTGAGATTAAAGGGTCATACAGTAGCAAAAATGTTAGCAAAAATAACATACCTGCATGGTTTGGACAGAATATAGCCTGTTGTCTGAGACGATAACCGAATTGTGTTCATCGTCCGTGAAAGTATGATCACAATGGCTCACATCTAACTGTCGAAGTTGATATAGGATATGATCCTTGAGCTTCGGTATGAATGCCTACACATTATTGTGAGCAAGATGATAAATGAAGAGAGTAGCACTTACTGCTATGGCTGGATTGTCACCATGCTCATGAAGGAAAGCAAAAATATGTATCAGGTTATTGCGGTTGAGCTTCAGAATATAGTGGTGATTTTTGAACCCTGGCAACTCAACCAGTACCTGCTTGCAGTTATGATCTGTCTCTGCCAGTCGTCAAAGAATGCAACGATGACGCTCATGCTTAGCAAGTTGAGCTGGTGTATCTAGTTTACTTGTCAATGGGTAGAAAGCTTTCAGTGCTCTATGTGCCAGTTCTCCCTAGCCGAAAATCAAATTGAGATCGGAAGACATTCAAAGAGTCACATACGATTTGCAAAGTAAATGAGTCTATTGTTCCAAAGAGCCAGATTGATCACAGATAATCCCCCATGGCGTGATATTTGTAAGTATTCATATTGAATTTCTTGACCTTTCGACTGCCACTCAACGGATCTCGATTGTTGGAATCCAATCCTTGATGTGCAGCCTTACGTTCATGAACAGCTTTTTCCTTTGGTAATTCAACTGTGGTGAAAACAGCACAGGTAAAATCTCGGAAGTGGCGCAACTGATGGGTGAGTCTCATGAACGTTGAATCCAAAACTGACAAGGTAGTTTTGGAATGTATCCTTAGTTTGGCGAGGGCGTGCCATTGTGCAAACCTGTACAAAAGTGACTGTACGATTTTATCGTGATCTTCTGGGAACAGCCCTTCAAAGACGGGCATAGCACACTGAGACAGAACGTTAACCATGCACGTCGGCAACTTAACCAGCATCACAAACCTGTAAAATGTCCTCGAAGTCCCATGCTGCGAGTTTTTTCATTTCCAAAGTGTTATTCACAAATTTGCAAATGACTCCATTGCCATATGATGGAATATGTCGAAATCTATATTTAATCATGATCATGTTCAAATTGTGAAGGAAAACGATGTGCAACAAACCGGTTGTCAAGATGTGCGACCAGGCTGTCACCACCAGGAAGCACGTAAAGTAAATGAATGAGATGCATAAACAACACTTTCCATGTACCTAGTTCGCATTCATGCATGAAATCAATAACAAGCATGCGAAATGTGTCGAGTCCTAAAGGCCCAAGTTTTTCTGCACATGCGTTCTAAATGAAAATCAGGCATGCATCAAATGGGAATTGATTCTGAAGGCACTCACCATGGTCGGAACCCATGACCCTTCTCTGAGAGCCTTCCGTACCTTTGAACCATCAACTGTATTTCCAAATGTATAGATAAATCTGCGGGCCTTGGTTACTTCCGCTAGACAGTAAGTCCGAACGTTAACTAGGCGATCTTGCATGTCTCCAAACAGACCAAGGAGATCAAAAGAGGCCTTCAGAATGAGACAGCGTGGACATGGGCATGAGCCCATGTCCTTTATCGCCGCTATTAAAACTCTGAAATGTTGATTAGTATCATAAGGCAACAAATAAAAAAAGTACACTTCTCCAGATAATCGGCTGAATATGTGAAGATACGCAGGAATACCCTTCTCAATATGCCATCCAGACACTGGAGTACTATTCCATGGCAGTACACTTGAAGAAAGTCTGCGTCAAGTAAATGTTTCCAACATGCATGGAACAAGTCTCGCCGGCAATGCACATGAAGCGCTGCCATGCCACTTTTTGATATCCGAGGTAAGGTGCTAAGGACATCCTTGACATTGTCTGGAAGCTAAAGATCTAACGTGAGAGATGTATGAGACAAGATGCAATTCGCCTATGGAAGGTAAAAAGCCGACAAGATGGCAAGCACCAGATTTGGGTGCTGAGTGTGCATACTTTGTCAAATTTCCAAAATATAAGTAAAGGGGCCAAGCCTTGGCCATTCCGAAATTTGCTAGATGAGTTGAGTCAGAAAATAACATGAGTCCGGCGATCACGTGCTCGAGTGAGCAGCCAGGTTCTCTTGGCTGCCTTTGCAGTTCCTCCTGAGCTTCTAGCCAAGAGTCAGAAGAATACAGCTCATCAAACACACATTCTTGATGATCATCCAGTGGGTCTTTCCACAAGCACTTGAAGGGAAAAAGATGGAATGCACTAGCTTGAATGTCAGCAAGTGTGGAATGAATCACAGCTACAAGTGGCCGATAATGAAATCCTGGGATGCTAAATGACCTGGATGGATCGTCTTTCAACTTTGTCGGTATGTCAAGGGTAATATCCGACTCCACCCAGTCGTCTGGAAAAGTGACAGCCCCATGCTCTCCGTGATTATCCAATGCATGTAAACATCTCCTCACCAAAAATCCATCCAGGTCCCTGGGATTGAAGTCTTCTGCAGTGAATCATATCTTTAACCAGGCGCATTACTTCTGTTTCCGATTTCTGATTGCTGCCAGAATTCATCCATGTCATAAGATGGTAGATAGTCATATTAGGGAAAGGAAATGGTAGTTCAGAGACCCCACGAGGTGAATCAGTCTGGGTATTATGTGCATTAGGAACCATTGGACAGGATTTGGATAGTAGTGCAGATGGAACAAATCTGTCGGGCTTGAATGAGGGCCGTCTAGGATATTGTCGACAGAGTCTGATCACGCAAAATGCTGTTTGAAGAGAATCCCACAGAGTCAAAAGGACTCTTTGAATTCTGTGTAGTGGCTGATTCTGAGCCTCAGTAACAGGAAACGGGTTGTTCTTAGAAGAATCAGGTGTGTTGATGTCTTCATTGGCAGGTAAAAGATCGTCAAAATTTTGTGGGACTAGCCTACATATGCGATGCACAGGAAGGTTGCCTGGGTGGGATCCATGAATGCTGTTACAACGATAGAATGTCATAGAGGTGTGCACCTGGAATATCATGATCTCGTTTTGTGGCATCCCCCATTGCAACATCTGAATCTGACCGACCATGGTCAAATGCAAAAGTCGGGGCACTAGTGCAAGCAGCACTCCAGTCTAGCTTGATATGCTCAGGTGGCACACAGAACGCCTTAGGTTCACATGAAGCGATGGGTTTCAAGTGGCGTGTCTTCATAAATCGGATCAGTTTGAGCTATGAAGGACGGGAAGATATGTGAGATGATTGGATTATAACCATCCATAAATAAACAAGTTGGTAGCGACTTACAGGATTACTACTAGTAGTAGTAATACTAGCTGCAGTGAACTGAGAGGTCAAATTTTGCAATGTTGACTCTCGGGCCCGGTCCTGTCTTTTCTGTGTGGCTAATGTGCTTGCCTTCTGGTAATATTTGCATGTCGACCAATGCCTGCTAAGTCCGCAAAAATCCATATTCCTCTCCCAAGCACAATGCAATGCACCGCAAGACACCATTAAAAAGACAAAGACGAAGATCAGAACCCAACTTGAACTTGAAGGTGGTCGAGGTAGACACATTCCTGGGCCAATACTAGCCTGAGTGAGAGATAGGAAACCCGCCTCCAATTACTGTAGTAAAGCCACTTGTAGGTCATCACACTGAGTCACTAGTCACTCACTGATGAACATCCTTTATTTAGGTATTTGCCATATTTGTCAAGTACTACAAGAACTTCAAAACTGGACTTTTCCAATATTACTAGTGGGCTGGAACACATTGTACACGTTCCTCTAACATCTCATCAAGTAGGTTTAGGGTGACTATCAAGACATTCCACACTACATATTAATGACATCTACAACAAGTTGAATAGAGCAATCAAAGAAGTTCTTGCTAAGACACACTAGAAAAATTTGCTGCAACAGGCTGATGGTTAAAATTGCTAACCAATACAAACTCGATCTTGTGACCAAAGTGACCACCATGCAGGCTTGTATTCTGGCATAACACCTTTTGCCCTCTCAACTCTCTGTGCCCATAAATTTTTCTCCCGCTTGAGAAGTGTCAGGAGTTGGGTGTACTGCAGAACGCGATTGTGCGCTGTGGCATAGCTGAAATATACCATGTCAATGCTACATTGGGTAAATAACTGATCCTCTCCATCTTCTTCCAATTCAATTCCATCAAGCGCCATCTGACAAACCCCATTCAGTGCTTGCAACTAAATGAAACAAGGAGACTGCCACACCAAATATGACATCAACTCTTGTTTGTGTCCAGCGTTCTCTACATTTGCACAATTATCAGGTTTTACCATGTTACCTGCATGAGGAGAGCCGAAACTGTTGGGAAGTGATGTTGATGACATTAGAAGATTTGGATATAGGCTGATTTAGTGGTAATAGTAGTTCAACTCAGATAAGTCATGCAAGGCATTTTAGCGTGACATTTTGATCGGAGTAATGCGGCACTTCAACTTGGTTTTGATGGATCACATGGGATTATGTCTGTTGACAGTGGGAAAAACAAAGTGACTTCTGGATCACTGAATATCTTGCTGATATGCATCTGGGAGTGACATTTGTGTACTTTTTGTGTGATATGTTTCCAAGCACTTGATTTTGGGCTGAGATTGGATGACTTTCCATAGGCTAAAATATTCTGATTAGAATATACTGGAGTCTCAAAAATAATAACCAAAGTGATGATATGTTAATCTATACTGAAATACTCTGCTGTACGCTCATTCAATTAAATCTAGTCTAGGTCCTTGATGGATGACAGCCTTACAATCCAGCAGCTCCTTCTTGATGAAGATGAGGCTGAGCTTTTTGATGATGATGAAAGAATTCAGGTTCTTGCTGCCACTGCTATTGCAGGGACCAAGATATCATGACAAGAGCATGTTGACACTCAGCACCCACATCATTTGTACCTTTGCCAACTGCCCCCAAACAGATATCACTAGTGTTAGTGGCCCAAAATGGAAGCAAGTTGTCTGTAAAGTCTATTGGGGGGGGGAGTAGATGACACATGGTTTTGAACTGACTGGAAATGAACAGTGGCATCATGGCACACCTGCCTAATACAGGTATATATATGATATGATGTTCTAATTAGAATATTTCAGCCTATGGAAAGTCATCCATTTGCAATCTGCAGCTGAAAGTTCAAATCCTTCCCCTACACTGAATCAATTAATATTGTTGTTATTGATTTGGAGTTGGATGTGTCATGCACATCACTACATGAATAAATATTCAAAATCAACTTCAGCATCCATGATGTTGACAGACTTGACATTCCCTTGGATGATAACATAGAAGGTGTAACTAGGGCTATTTGCCATATGCCATATGACAGGACTTTACAGGGCTGTAATATGGTCACCATACCCATGCTGTTGGCTGTTTAGACCTTCAGTTGACAGTTACAGGGGATGGGTATCAGGGGCCTGTATGTTGCCATAATACTATGGCTGTAATATAATGTAAGTATGAGTTTGTTTATTGTGTATAAACAAATAGACTTAACTTGGTAACTTGCTTTGGACTTACCTAGTTCAGTGGTCCCTGAGAAGTCCATGCTGCAGCAACATGGGAATTCATGGAATTTATGCCCAGACTTGTGCCACTCATCCCATTAATGGCCTGCTTGTACCTCACATTTTCCTAAGTCAAGTTCAGTAACTACCTACCAAGTGTTCTGGACTTCACTTCCTTGTCCATGGTCAAAGCATTCTTAGTGAGTTAGAGTTCACAACTACTACTAATTGAACTTAGAATCTCTGTCCACAGTCCAAGGCATTCTTGGGCTGGATATGCTGGACTTGTATTGTAAATCTTATACCTTCAAGCTCAGGCTAGACATTCTGAACATTCTGATTCTCAGTGAGTTAGGGTTTGCAACTACCACTAATTGAACTCAGAAATGTTACCTGCAGTCCAAAGCATCCTTGGGCTGTGCATTTCAGATGCAACTCTTTCAGATTGCCCCATAGTGTCTCTGGAGATGCCAGTTCCTTGTGAGTCTCTATCTAACTCTTTCAAACTGCTCCTTAGTGTCTCTGGAGGCACCAGTTCCTCATGATTCTCTATCATCACTGTTTTCCAGTCCATGCTTATTCAGACATGCTTATCGTGATATGTGAGATGGTAAAGATACAGACTTTCCTCAAGTGCTTATCACCACCCAATCGGCTGGACCATAAATCTCCAGGTCATGAGATATTTAAGCTGTACAGTATGCACCTAGCAGGCTACCTTCAGAGCACCATGTCAGACTACAAACTTCTCACCCATTACACCAAGGATGCCTATGCCAAAGAAGACCAAATTTGTGACCATCCATCTTGCATGGCTAATATTAGGACTGGAGAGCCATGTTTTTATGTTGCAACAATTGAGCCAGGTCAATGTGGGCGCTATGTGTGCAAATCCTGCCACTTGCATTATGAGAATAAATGAGCTACTTCAGTGAGACCTACTGGTATGCAATCACCATTCAATTGATGAGTTGCTGGCTTATGAACTACTGACTCAGGTAGTAAAACCTTACAATTGCAAGGCTGTGCCCCTCCTGATCCATGTACCATACAACAATCAGTGAATGCAGTGCAATGAAGGTCAACACCTAATCTGCCTCCTGTGGTTGTCATACTTGGCAGCTCTCGTGCTAGAGGGCCAGATGTTAGAATTCCTACATCATGGCAAGGTTCATCAACATTTACAGCAGGTGCCATCAGGTATTCATCACAACATGCACTTTATGCTACTGAGTGTGACTGCTGGGGGAAAATTGCATGTGCTTTATCTCTAGCACAGACTATTTTGCTCAAAATTACCATGGTTCATGAAGGTTCCAGAGCTTGCAAAAAACAAGGTATCACTATTGGAATACATTTACATCTTAAAATGTGCTGTGACTTCCTTACGCTTCAGCTTACTAGAATATATTTGAGGGTAAGAAGGACATCAATGCTCAAATTGACATGTCTGGGCTCATCAAGCTAGCTTTGGAGACTGTTGTCCCAAAGTTATGCAAATTCAGTGGAGAATTTATCTGGTGTGTTGAGGAGTTTGTGATCCAAGATGCTGCATGGGTGTCATATGCCAGACATAGATCCCATCATATTCCCACGCTTTCCAGACCTGTTTCCGGACCCCATATCCAACTCATTCCTGGATCCCCTATCCTGTCCACCCTATGCACATTCCATCCAGCAAGACATCCGGACTTTACCTCTTTTCGGATTCTGGACTACATCCACCACCTCACATATCTCAGTCCTGTTTCTGCCCTGCCTTCCAGATCCCCAGATCTCCGGACCTCCGGATATTAACTGTGCTATCTCCGGACCTATTCCCACCCTCCATCCGAGATCCTGCACCTATCCCCATTTAGGCATCTCCACCTTTCTGGTTCTCGGTTATCTCTGTTTCTGTCTTGCTGATTGATCCTTGTACTAGTTTCATCTCCAAGTTCATTTACTTATGTTCTGTCTTACTTACCAATGTGTTTCTGCATGCTCATACATAGCCTTACTCCTTTGCTTACTGATCCTCTCGGATAGCCTCTAGTATATAACCCCTGTACAACTACAGTAGAGTCCTCAGTCTGAATATCATCTTAGTTCCTGCTCTCTCATCTTAGATCCTGTTCCACTTGCCAATCATCTTCCGGACTTCAGTCCGTCTGAGTCTTGTCCTTTTCCATAAGGCCTAGGGAAGGATTCCCTAGGCCGGAATTCCGGACCTTCGGATTTGTCCCCTATGTCTCTGTCCCAAGTCTAGGGATTGCTTCCCTAGGCTAGAGTCTTGCCTTTCTGGCACTTACCTTCTTTCCGGACTTAGGTCCACTTACTGTCCCTCCGACTCTACCCTAGGGTAGTCTACCTCTGTTTGCTTCTACATCGGACTTTGTCCAATGTAGCCCCTATTCCTTCCGGACCTCCGGACCTCCTGTCCTCTGTACCTCCAGACGTCCTGTCCCTCATACCTCCAGGTATCCTGTCCTTCAGACGTTCTGCCCTCCATACCTCCGGACCTCCTGTCCTCCATACTCCGGACCTCCAGACATCCTGTCCTCCTGTCCTCCAGACCTCCTATCCTTCCATCCTGTTTTCCTGTAGAAGTATTACCTTGCAGTGGGAACTCTCCTGAGCATTTCCTGCATTCCTCCAGAACTCTCCTGTGCTCCTCCGGATGTTTCCCACGCTCCTCCAGAAGTCCTCCCGCACTCTCCACCAGAGTAGCCAGCCTCCGGAAGTCCTCCGGACTTCATCAGACCATCATTGGACTTCCTCTGAAATGAAGGGCACATACTCGGGTAAGGGGCACAGCGTACGAGCTGAGGCCAAGCCCCTCTGAGTCAGTCTCTCTCTCCTTTGAGCATGGTTCTTAACAATGGGTGGACCTGTCTAATCACTCACAATTGGTTCCATATTTCTATGATCAATGCCTGCAACCATCTCACAAAGGCACCAAATCAACTTTCAAGTCTAAACAATTTGTGCTGATGGTTGTTGTCCTGAAGGTTCAGTGGAATGAATATGAGAATTGGCTGGAACTTTGTGCAGAAATGGTATGCATTTTTGAGTCTATTTACCACTAGTGCCCTAACTACAATTTTGTGGTCCAGGAAGCTGAAGCTATCCGAACAAGTTGCACTCAGTCTAGCAAACATGCCACTGCTTACACAGCCATCAGTTGCAATGTGCCCTCATCAGTGACAACTTCACTTACTGAGAACAAGCTTTTCTTACCGTTCATGACCACTGACAATTCTGTGACAGTCTCTACCAAAAGAACCCACCAGTGTCTGAAAGCTCTAGCAGTCTCAGTGGTACTTCATCTTCACCTTGAAAGAACCCACCTTCCACAGCTTTTTGTTCACCTGATCATGATCTACTCAAAGAAGTCTTGAAGATTGGCAGGGGTGCCAACTTAAATTTAAAGCAAGGTATGCACATTCATCAATTTCTCATATTGCATCAGCACTTACTAGTATTTTACAGTCTTTGAACTACATAGTGAAAGTGTGCAATTCCACCAAATCCCTACCTGTGATATCTTATTTTCAGTGAACACAGCTGAATCTTCCATTGGACAGCTGACTATTGATACATTGACAGAGGGCTTCATTGGAATTGGTGGCTTCAAGACTGTGAATGCTGGATGGCTGACACTCACAGCTCCTCCCAGGACTGGTCTTGGATCAGTTGCTTATCATAAGGTCATGGTCAAATGTCCATTCAAAAAAGTATTTCTGACTACTGTGAAGGCTGGACCTTATAAAGTCAGCTGGTATTTGCTCATTGACGAGCTACAGAAATTATTCAGAGAGGCCAACATCTTATACTGGTCTAAATCCTTATTAAAGCTCACATACAACTTTGTTGATCATTCTATTACATCCTCACCTGAACCCCCACCATTCATGGTCCCATGTGTTCAACTTGTAGAAGCCAGCCTTGCATTGTGCCACAACCAGGGTGGTAGCAAGCCTGGAGTGAAGACAGGGTCAACACAGGCTGTTTTTCTCCTTGAAGAGCTCATTGAGGGCAGTGATGATATGTTTGTCAAATTCATCCACAATATGGACACCAATCCATTGCTCAATGAATTGGACTATGGCTATGACATGGCAGAATTTTTGGTTTTCACACAGCATGTCCAGTACATCAAGACTGACAAGCTAGTTTTCATATCTGACTATCAGGGTATGTCTGATTCAGTGACATATTCAATCCTCAGTACTGCAGATGGAATAACACAATGTATTTAGGTAGTACAGCACTACTCACAGATCCTCAGATCCTGACTCATCTGTATGTCTTTTTTATCCATTCAGATACTTGATACTGATGTTCAGATAGGTTGGTCAGCAATGGATGTGATATTTTTGGTGAGGGAAATATCAAGACATCCATTAGCAAATTTGAAGACCAGCATGCCTACAATGAGTACTGTGAATAGTTTGGGCTAGAAACATTTGTGAAGGAAGTGAACGACATTGAAGTAGCTGCAAATAATGATGAAGTAGTTGTCTGTACATTGGATTTTCAAAAAGCTATCAACAACTTTGTGGCGAAGATGTGTGAACTACACCAATATGAACTTTCTGTTGATGATTGGCAGTCAATTGCACTAGTAACAGGGTGGCTGAAGGCATTCCAGTCAGCTACTACTCAAATGTCAATGTCTAAGTGCCCAATGCTATCTTCGGCTCATGCTATATTTCAAGGTCTCAAGGAATCCACTTCAGGATGATTTAGCAAACCTTCTGGATTCAGCACCAGTGAAAACACAACTGGCATTGATCAATGCACATCAGAAGCTCAGTGACTACTTCTTCAAGATCAATGACTCACCATACTATAGGGATTGTCATGGGTATGGATATGGGTACCAGTGGGTACAGGTATGGGTCTGGATTTTGAGACCCATGACCCACCACATACCCATCACTTCCATATATAGTAATTATTTTGATGTTTGTTCAAGTACCATTTCTGCACCAATTGTACCAATGCTACTAATTCTAACTCTTTTCCAAGTTGCAGTCATGCTTTCATCACTCATTGTCATCTGTGCAGCAGTCTGCTATCTGTCACTCTAGTCTTATCCCATCTGTTTCCTGCTCTCCAAGGTATGTGTGCTGTATGTTTCATACTGCTAACTACCTTGTCCTTCTTGTCTTGTCAGTCTTGTTCTCCCTGTCTTGTTATTCTCATTCTTCCTGTCTTGTTAGTCTTGTTCTCTTGGTCTCATTCTCCCTGTTTTGTTGGTCTTGTTCTCTCTATCTCATTGGTCTCATTCTCCCCATCTTGACAGTCTCAATGGTCTCATCATTCTTGTTCTCTCCATCTCATCTTGTTCTCCCTGTCTTGTTGGTCTTGTGAGTCTTGTTGTTTTTGTCAGTCTTGTTGGTCTTATTGGTCTTGTTCTCCCCATCTCATCTCATTCTCCCTGTCTTGTCAGTCTCGTCCTCCCTGTCTTGTTCTCTCCCACAGGTACATCTACCATGGGTATGTACCCGCCATGACCTGCATCCATACTCACACCCATGGCGGGTATGGGTACAGGTTGACCTCAGGATACCCACGGGTTTACCTGTGATGATCCCTACCATACTATGTCTGGGCTTCAAGTAAGTTTTGTACTACAATTTATATTTCTAGTTTGATAGCTAATCTAGTTCAAGTACTTGATCTCCACATCACTTATGAAGGTCTCCATGATGACTGTGCTGTCAATGATGAAAGTACATGGTTGCAAATTGACTCACTAAAGAATGACCTACATGCCCTGTATAAAGCTGACTATATCACTACATCCCTTGCACAGGACTGTGCACCATCTACCAGCACAGGCTGCCATGCAGATGTGTCAGATGGCAGAATGTCCCTATCAAAGGTGAACTTTACAGCAAGGTACAAGAAGCAATCAAATCTGTCAGTGGATGAATTTGAGTATCTGAAGCTTCCACAAGAAGACTTTAACCTTTGCAACCCAATTCAATGGTGGGCAGGTCACCAAGCACAGTTTCCAAACTTCTCTTGACTTGCACATGATATCCTTTCAATACCTAGTGAGTACTTACTCCATGTTCCAGGTGTCTGTACTTAGTTCTCTTCTTTGTAGGATCTGCTGTTGCTGTTGAATGAGTTTTCTCTGGTGGTTGTGACATGGTTTCACTGCAGTGCACAAGTCTCAAGCCTGAGACTATCAGGACATTGATGCTCATGAAGGTGAGGCTTTGTTTGGGTTGTTTTGTACCAAACAACCTCATTCATAATTGATTTACATTCCATATGTACCATACACCACCATATATGTCCATATAATACTCCATACCATACCATCCACTTTATCCACCACCAATGTCATGTATGGTGTATGGGTTAGCTGTATATCATATTTATACCATATGTATATGGCCATCTACCATATATGGTATGGTGTGCAGTGTTAGAAGCTAGGATATGAAACACACTCAGTGTTTGGAGACAATGACTCAATAGTATTAATACCTAGGATATGAAACACACTAGGAGGATATAGTAAGACACAGCAGGACAATGAGAGACAATGAACCATACCTCAGTGTTTGGAGACAACAACTGAGGTATGAAGGAACAAGATGGTGCATATTATATATGTTGTTACACATAATAAATAGAGAACAGAAAAGGAAAGTGTTATGCGTTCAATGACACCAATGACAATGATGATGAATACTCAATATACCCCCACAACAAGACATTGTTGCAATCTAGTGAAAAATGAGAGAGAGACCAGATTGGTAACAAATGAACAGCAGGTGGGGAAGACTCTTGGTAAAGATGTCAGTAACATTTTTGTGAGTGGATAATCATTCTGGTTTGAAAGTGCCTTCTTCAATGTGGATGTGGATGAAATGATATCGGAGGTCTATATGTTTGGTGCAAATGTAGTTTGTGGCCTCTTCAGACAATGTGATGGCACCTGCATTATCAGCAAATAAGCAAAGTGGTAGGGTGAGGGGTATTCTCAAGCACTTGAAGAAGGATGTGAACCAAAGACCATCTTGGATGGCAGCTGTAAGGGCCATGTACTCTGCTTCTGTGGAGAACAGTGCATGCATAAGTTGTTTCTTTGAAGAGTGAGATACAGGTCCGCCATTGAAAAACCAAACATAGCCAGATATGGAGATATGGTCCTTGGGACAACTAGCCCAATCTGAGTCACTGAACCCATGTAGTTCTGGGTTCACAATAGCACCCCCATAGTGCATGTGTAAACTGATGGTACCAGCAAGAAATCAGAGGACATGTTTAGCTGAGGCATAGTGATGAGGCTCAGGTGAGCAGTTATGTTAAGCTAGTTTTGTGATGGTGACAGTAATATTGTCATATCCCATATGCCAGACATAGATCCCATCATATTCCCACGCTTTCCGGACCTGTTTCTGGACCCCATATCCAACTCATTCCTGGATCCCCTATCCTGTCCACCCTACGCACATTTTGTCCAGCAAGACATCTGGACTTTACCTCCTCTTGGATTCCAGACTACATCCACCACCTCGCATATCTCAGTCCTGTTTCCATCCTGCCTTCCAGATCCCCAGATCTCCAGACCTCCGGATATTAACTGTACTATCTCCAGACCTATTCCCACCTTCCATCCGAGATCCTGCACCTATCCCCATTTAGGCATCTCCACCTTTCCGGTTCTCGGTTATCTCTGTTTCCATCTTGCTGATTGATCCTTGTACTAGTTTCATCTCCGAGTTCATTTACTTATGTTCTGTCTTACTTACCAATGTGTTTCCACATGCTCATACATAGCCTTACTCCTTTGCTTACTGATCCTCTCAGATAGCCTCTAGTATATAACCCCTGTACAACTACAGTAGAGTCCTCAGTCTGAATGTTAAGAACCATGTTGCTCAAGGGGGAGAGAGACTGACTCAGAGGGGCTTGGCCTCAGCTCGTATGCTGTGCCCCTTACCCAAGTATGTGCCCTTCATTTCAGATGAGGTCCAATGATGGTCCAATGAAGTCTGGAGGACTTCCGGAGGCTGGCTACTCTGCTGGAGAGCACTAGAGGACTTCTGGAGGAGCGTGGGAGAGTTCCAGAGGAATGCAGGAAGTGCTCAGGAGAGTTCCCACTGCAAGGTAATACTTCTACAGGAAACAGGATGGAAGGATAGGAGGTCTGAAGGTCTGGAGGACAGGAGGACAGGATGATGGAGGACAGAAGGACAGGATGTCCGGAGGTATGAAGGACAGGATGTCCAAAGGTACAGAGGGCAGGATGTCTGAAGGACAGGAGGATAGGATGTCTGAGGGTTAGGAGGATGGAATGTCCAAAGGACAGGATGCCTGGAGGTACAAGGGACAGGAGGTCTGGAGGTCTGGAAGGAATAGGGGCTACATCGGATGAAGTCCGATGTAGAAACAAACAGAGGTAGACTACCCTAAGGTAGAGTTGGAGAGACAGGGATTGGACCTAAGTCTGGAAAGAGAGTAAGTGCCAGAAAGGTGGAGCTCCGGCCTAGGGAATCAATCCCTAGGCCTGATGGGTAGGACAGACTTAGGTGGACCAAAGTCTGAGAGAGGATTGGGCAAGTCTAAGTCGATATTCAAACTAAGGAACTACAGGAGTATCTACAGGGGTTATATACTGAACAATATCTGAGGGGATCAGTAAGCAAAGGAGCAAGGCTATGTACGAGCATGTGGAAACACATTAGTAAGTAAGTTGGAACACAAGTAAATGAACTCAGAGATGAGGACTCATACAAGGATCAATAAGCAAGATGGAACAAGAGGTAACCAAAAGCCAGAAGGCAGAGAATGCCTCCATGGGGATAGGCGCAGGATATCGGACAGAGGGTGGGAATAGGTCCAGCGTTAATATCCGGAGGTCCGGAGATCTGGGGATCCGGAAGACAAGGTGGATACAGGACTGGAATACAAGAAGGTGGATATAGTCTGGAATCCAAGACGAGGTGAAGTCTGGATGTCTTGCTGGATGGAGTGTGCATAGGGTGGATGGGACAGGGGGGTATGGATCAGGCTAGCAGTGGAGATCCAATGGTCTGGAGCTCAGGGGTAAATCTGGAGCGTAGTCGATCCTGCTGAGGTGTGGAGCACAGTGGAAGGGCATCTGGGAATGAGCTGGATATGAAATGGGGTCTGGATGTAGGCTCGGAAGGCGTGGGAATATGATGGAATGTGGGTCTGGATTGTGGGATATGACACTGAATATCATCTTAGTTCTTGCTCTCTCACCTTAGACTTGCCCAATCTTCTTCTGGACTTCAGTCCATCTGAGTTTGTCCTTTTCCATAAGGCCTAGGGATGGACATCCTAGGCCAGAATTCTGGACCTTCGGATTTGTCCCCTATGTCTCTGTCCCAAGTCTAGGGATTGCTTCCCTAGGCTAGAGTCTTGCCTTTCTGGCACTTACCCTCCTTCTGGACTTAGGTCCACTCCCTGTCCCTCCGACTCTACCTTAGGGTAGTCTACCTCTGTTTGCTTCTGCATCAGACTTTGTCCAATGTAGCCCCTATTCCTTCCGGACCTCCGGACCTCCTGTCTTCTGTACCTCCAGACCTCCTGTCCCTTGTACCTCCAGGCATCCTATCCTTCGGACATTCCGCCCTCCGTACCTTCAGACATTCCGTCCTCCATACCTCCAGACCTCCTGTCCTCCATACTCCGGACATCCTGTCCTCCTGTCCTCTGGACCTTCTATCCTTCCATCCTGTTTTCCTGTAGAAGTATTACCTTGCAGTGGGAACTCTCCTGAGCATTTCCTGCATTCCTCCGGAACTCTCCCACGCTCCTCCGGACATTTCACACGCTCCTCCAGAAGTCCTCCCGCACTCTCCACCAGAGTAGCCAGCCTCCGGAAGTCCTCTGGACTTCGTCAGACCATCATCGGACTTCCTCTGAAATGAAGGGCACATACTTGGGTAAGGGGCACAGCATACGAGCTGAGGCCAAGCCCCTCTGAGTCAGTCTCTCTCTCCTTTGAGCATGGTTCTTAACAAATATCCAGATGAGTGTATATTGTGAGGTAGAGTAGTTCTCCAACTAGCTTTCAGTATTCAGAGGTAAGGTTCTCAATGTGAGGATGCATGGGAAGAGTGACCAAGTTGCAACTGATCATACCATGTTCCTCAAGAAGGTAGGTGATGTAGTCCATTTTATGCATCCAAAGCTTGTGCAATGTCCTGTTGTGCTTGAACTGAATTCCCAGGTGCTTTGATACAGGACCCAGGTCAGTGATGCCAAAGTGTTGTACTATCTGACCTTTCATATGGATGAGGAAGGGATTATTGCTGGCAGCTGCAAGGCCATCATCAATGTGCCAGGCAATGATGCATATGATTTGTTCTCCCTCTCCATTGATGTGGTCATATATGAAGATGGCATAGTCAGCCGCAACTTGGAGGAAACCTAAGTGAGTAAGAACTTCTTGCAAAAGCTTGTACCAATCATAGGCTGCCTGTTTGAGTCCATAGAGTGAGGACAAAAGGTGACAGATCAGGACATCACTGTCTGAGGAAAACTGTTCAAATCCAGGTGGTTGATGCATGTACACGTTCTCTGTTAATTTTCCCCACAGGAAGGCACATTTTGCATCAAAGGTGTCAAGTTCCTAGTCATTCCATGCTGCAAGTGTGGAGATGACGCACATGGAGGCTGCCTTAGCAACAGGTGCAAAGGTTTTTCCAAAGTTGATGCCCAGAACCTGTGAGAAGCTGTGCACCACAAGTCTGGCTTTGAAGATTGAGCTACCTTTCTGGTTCTCCTGAAACTCGAGCACCCATCTACAACCTATAGCCTTCCAACCAGCAGGGAGAGGAACAAGCTCATAGATGTTCATCTCTGACATCAAATTCATCTCCCTCTTCATTGCAGTGAGCCAAGAGTCCCGATCAGAGTGCCACATGGCCTTGTCATATGAGTTTGGGGGGATCTTCATGTTGTATCTGGCAACTTGTGGATTATGACAAGTGTCACTCTGAATGGAGATGGATGCCTGCTCTGCAACAATCATATTGGTGAGAATGTGGGGATAACCTACTGTCTTGGTCTCTGCATTAATGGCATTGTTGTTGATGACTTTGTCATTAGCTAGGGGATGCAATGGTGCAGGGAGAAGAACAGATTGATTGGAAATGGGGATTGGAGGTATGGACATGGTATTGTTTGCAGGAGGAATACCCTGAATACAGGCCTACTGTAGGTCCCACTGGCAATTCAAACACACTGCATCAGCAGTGAGTTGCTCATGGTAGACACGTCCTCATTCAGTAGGAACCTGGGAACAACCAGAATGATGAACTGGTGCAATGGGGGGAGGTTGTTAAGCAGCAGTAGGACATTGAGCAGCAGGTGGCGCACCAGGCAGCATAGATGAACTGGTAGGATGAGCAGGTTCATCATCTTCATCGTCACTGTCAGTGACAGGAAAAGGGCAACCAATGAAAGATTTGTCAAAAATAACATCGTGAGAGTTGAAGAATGTGCCTGTGGCTGAGTCTTGGCATCACCAAACCTTGACACCAGTGTTGACATAATCACGCATTCCCAACATGTCATTGTTCTTGCCTCTTACTATGTACTGTACAGCACCTTCGCCACTCAGCCATAGATCCTCCATAGACCCATATGTACTCACTTCACACCTTTTCTCACCTCAGCATTGTTCTATTAACTTCCACTGAGGTGAGCTCATCTTGTACTGTGTAGTTGACACACCCACTCACATGTAACCTAGTCTTTACTAGGTACTTATTAATATAGCATTGTTCCATTAACTTCCGCTGAGTCTTTACTAGACTCTCCACAGGTTATGAGCCCTGGACTCTAGCTAGGCCCAGAATCAAGGAAAGTCAACAAGCTCACTGAAAAGAATCATTTGTCCCCATTTGAATACTCACATCTCATAAAATATTGCAAATCAACCTGAGCATCTTCCATCATGGGAAAATATGATCACATTGTTGAATTGATGAGCACAGATGAATATCCCAGCTGGTGTCGTGGAGTAGTCCTTGCACTACAAGGTGAAGGGTTATGGAACCATTGTAGCACTGGTACCAATCCTAATGACTTTGCAGAATATGCATCTGTGATGCCCTCACCTGTGACAGCTGAAAGTCCCACCGCAGCTGAGAAGCTAGCCATGATGGATTGGATTAAAGAAGACATGCAAACAAAGGGAATCATTTGCAGGACACTCTCACCAGTAGTCCAAGGACTTCTCAGTAAGTCGTCCACTGCCCAAGACCAATGGAATACACTCTCCATGCATTTCGGACATCTTGACATGAGTTTGCAGTTCAAGCTCCAAGCCCAGTTATTTGCTGAGAAGCTCAAAGACACTGATGATGTCTCCTGTTACATCAGTGTCTTCAAACATGCAAGACAACACTTTGCAGAAATTGCAATCACCTTCACTGACAGGGAGGCAGTTTTCCTTCTCCTGCAAGGTCTCCTACAGATGCTGGAGTAAATGATCTTCAAATGCATGACCATGACCATGTACAGTAACTCTTCCCCTGCTCCCACCAGCACAATGAGCTCTGCCACACCTGCTGCAGCTCCAAAAATGACCTTCACAACTGTTGCTGCTTCTCTTTCAGAAGAAGCTAATTGCATCCAGGGGGAACAGAAGCTCAATGGTTCAAGGTCAGAGTATGCCAATGTCATAGGAGCAGGCATACCTGAATCCTGGGTGAATTCCAAGACTGGCATCCACATGCACAAGTCCAACCCTAAGGGCATAGCTTGCGATAACCCAGCCTGTGTGGGGCTGCCACAGTCACTGACTCATGACCGTGAACACTGCTTCCAGCCAGGTGGTGGGATGGAAGGAAAGGGCAGAGTCCCTGCCCACAGCAGAAAACCCTTCAGAAAAGATGTTGCTGCAGCTGCCACAACTGACACACCTGTGAATCCCTCATCCACATTCTCACCCAGCATATCGAATGCAGATCTTGCATGCACCATCATCAAAGAGATTGATGATCCCTCTGACTCCTCTCCAACCACAGAAAACATAGCCTGCATAGTATGTCAAGCAATGTCAATGATTCTTGACTCTGGCACAACATCCACACTGATCACCGACTGCAAATTCTTCTGGAACTTCTCCAATGACTCTCATGTGGTTGTTAAAATGGCCAATCATGGGCAACTTCCCATATCTGGACAAGGTGACTGTGTTGCTGATCTGAATATTGGGGGCAAAATCCATCGCATTTGACTCACCAACTGCCTTCATGCTCCCGGTGCTATGATCAACCTGCTCTCCATCAGTTACATGGTAGAAAAGGGCTGGGCAGTCAATTTCTTACTGGATCTGGCATGATGCCAACTTGTGTGCCATGGAGAATTGCTTGGTGAGACCCCCATGAGCAGAAAGCTGGTCTTCCTCAACTTGCAGTTTGTTCACCCAGAGAGGGCTTCTCCTTCCCTGTCCCATGAATTGGTTATCTTCACATGTGTTCCCATCACACGGGACCTTTGGCATGCATGGATGGGTCATCCGGTGGTGATGCCATTAAATGCCTTCCTCTCATTGCTAAGGGTGTCAGTGTCAGTGTCACCACACCTTTGCAGCATTGTGAGTCTTGTATCATCACCAAGCATCCTTGTCAGCCTTATCCTCCCTCTGAAGAGCCAAGAGCAGCACACATGCTTGACCTCATACACTCCGACCTATGTGGCCCTCTCCCCATCACTACACCTCACGGCAAGCTCCACTTCATCGTTTTTCTCAATAACCATACCAATCTCCTGAATGTCCAACTCCTGGCCACCAAGGACCAGGCACTTGAGGCATGGAAAATCATTTGTGCACATTGGGAAAATCATGCTGGATGCACTGTGAAAGTTTTTAGGTCAGAATATGGTGGGGAGTTCATCAGTGGTGCATTCACATGTGCACTGCAGGAGGCAGGGATTGAGCAGCAGCTCTCCATGTCCTATGCTCACCAGCAGAATGGCATGGCTGAGTAGGCTATCTGCACCCTGGAAGGCCGGCTGTTTGCAATGCTAAAGATGGTGCACCTTCCTGCTGACTTGTGGGGTGAGACAGTCTTAACCACATGTTATCTCTGGAATAGGACTGAGTCCCACATCCTTCCCACTGCTGGAACCACTCCCTTTGAGCTTGTCAATGGGCATCAACCTGATCTATCCCATCTTTGTATCTTTGGGTCCCAGTGCTTTGCCTGCATCCCTACAGAGCTCCAGGCCAAGCTTGGTCCCCACTCCCACCACACTATATTTGTTGGCTATCCCAAGGGGATGAAGGGCTACCACCTTCATGACAGCCACACTGGGGCTTTCTTTGTTGCTCGTGATGTCATCTTCAATGAAAACATGCCTGGTGTTGCTCACAATCACAGCTCCAACTCTGACTCTGATGGTGAGGACTCACCTTCATGCACTATGCCGTCTGCTTCTTCATCACCTGCCATCCTGCCTCCTGCACCCATCCCTGCCATCCTACCTGCTCCCTGGAAGTCCACACACTCACATGTGCTCACTGAGGCAGGATGTGCCTTCACAGATGACCTTGCTGCCTCCAAGGTGTGGCTGCAGACTCTTTGTGAGGAGCACCAGTAACATGTGGGAGTAGCTCCCTCAAGTGAGGGGGTGCTGGACCAAGAAGGCACTCAAGACACCCCAACAGAAGACCTGGAGGAGATAGAGCCCAACATCGATGTACCAGAAGTATTTGCCAATGTGATCATCAAGGAGCAAGCAAACATCAGCATTCACAGCAACCAGAAAAGGAACCCACTAAGTGAAGGCTACGACATGAAGATACCTCCAGCAACTTATGAGGAGGCCATGCTCCATTCAGATTGCAATGAGTGGCTCACGGCGATGAAGAAGGAGCTCGGTATCATGTCAGAAATGAAAGTCTACAAGGTCACCCCACTTCCAGAAGGATAATGAGCAATTGGCAATCACTGGGTGTTAGAATTTAAGGAAGATAACAAGGGCGGACCCATACACAAGGCACGTCTCATTGTGCAGGGTTTCTCACAAATTCCTGGCATAGATTATGGCGCTACTTTCATCCCAGTCATCAAAACAGTGTCTTTACGTCCCATCACAGCACTTGCCTGCAAACATGGATGGGTCCTCCACTCTTTTGATGCAAAGAGAGCTTTCCTGTGGGGGGTGTTAAAAGAGGAATTGTATATGAGGCAGCCAAAAGGTTTTGAAGAGGGGGATTGGCACATGCAAGTCTGGTGTATGCTTTGCACCATCTATGGGTTGAAACAATCCACTATGGAGTGGTATGAGGAGGTACAGGCAGTAATGATGGAATTGGGCTTCTCCTGTTGTGCCATTGATCATGCAGTCTTCATCTTCAACAAAGTCATCTCAGGGACATGCATCATCTGCATTGTCGGTTTCCACATTGACGACAGACTTGGAACCTCCAGCTCACCTGCCTTCCTTACCTCTGTGAAGTGTAAAATCGACAGATGCTTCAGGATTAAGGACCTCAGTCCTGTCACAAAATTCCTCGGCATACAATTTGAAAGGGACTTTGTATCTTGTCAGCTTTGGATGCACCAGGGAGAGTATATTGCTTACCTGCTCAACAAGTATGGTCTCATGGATTGCAACCCTGTCCGTCTTCCCCTCAACTCTCATCACCCTTTTGGCCAGCTGGACGACATGCACATTAACATCAAAAACCTCCCCAGCAGATTCCACAAGCTCATCAGAGAGCTATTGTACCTTGCAGTGTGCACTCGTCCTGACATCTCATATGTGGTCAACTCCCTCACTCAACACAATTCAAACTCATCCCCTGCACATTTTGCTGCCACCAAATGACCTGTTCGTTACCTTTCCAGGACTCAGAACCTCCATCTCCACTATGGGGGTGCTCAGGTGAATGAGGGACTACACACCTACTGTGACACCAACTGGGCGAGTTTACCTGAGGACCATCTCTCCATCTCCGGCTATGTCTGGTTCTTCACTGGTGGGATCATTGCACACATCTCCAAAAAGCAGACCACTCACACGCTGTCCTCTACAAAGGCTGAGTACATGGCAGTCACTCATGCCATCCAAGAGGGCCTCTGGTTGAAATCCCTCCTTGTCCAGCTCCACGTCCCCCTCACTCTTCCTGTCCTGATCTACATGGACAATACCAGGGCAATCTCGCTATCAATGGAGGCATGGAACCACCTTCGGTCGAAGCATATTAATGTTCGTTATCTTTTCATCTGGGAGCATATTGAAAAGGGGACATTCCTACTTAAGTGGCTGCCTTCACACATGAATACTGCAGACATTTTTACCAAAGTGCTCCCATGTCATCTCTTCAAGAAATACTTGCCTGGTCTCCAGCTGGTGTCTCACTGAGGGGGTGTGTTGACATAATCACGTATTCCCAACATGTCATTATTCTTGCCTCTTACTATGTACTGTACAGCACCTTCACCACTCAGCCACAGATCCTCCATAGACCCATATGTACTTGCTTCATGCCTTTTCTCACCTCAGTGTTGTTCTATTAACTTCCACTGAGGTGAGCTCATCTTGTACCATGTAGTTGACACACCTGCTCACATGTAACCTAGTCTTTACTAGGTACTTATTAATATAGCGTTGTTCTATTAACTTCCACTGAGTCTTTACTAGACTCTCCACAACCAGGAGGATATTCCATAAACATGGCCTCTCATGAACATGGCCCCAATTTCTCCTGCGGTTTGGCAGGGATATGTACAAAACATTGAGTGCCAAAGACCTGGAGATGAGTGACATCCGGTTTCTTACCATGCAGCATCTCATAGGGCGTTGCTCCTGGAGGAAGAGAGCGAGACTCAGTGTGATTGAATAGATAAGCTGCATATATGGCTGCTTCACCCCAGAGAGAATGAGGCAAGCGAGCATGATCAAGCATGGCATACATCCTGCCTTTGATCATGTGAATGACTCGCTCTGCCTTACTGTTTTGCTGATGTGCATAAGGCACTGATAGTTGATATATGATGCCAGCAGCCTCAAGATCTGCAGTGAATGCAGCATTCAGGAACTCACCCCCATTGTCCAAGTGAAACACCTTCACCTGTAGTCCAGATTGGTTTTCCCACCAGGCACAAATGACTTGCCAAGCATCTAAAGCTTGATCTTTTGTGGTGAGGAGCTGAATGTTTAAGACATTCATGTAGTCATTGAGAAACACAATGAAGTACCATTTATTGTGGGGCATAATGATGGGGATCAGGCCACAGAGGTCAGAGTGAATGAGATCAAGAAACTGAGCTGCACAAGGTGTTTCCAAGGGAGGATGAGGCCTTCAGGGATGCTTCCCCATGATACAGGATTCACATTTTGACAGGACTGAACCAGCAGACACAGTTGCACCAGTGGGAAAAAGGGGGAGTCGTCAAACAGCTTCACCACTGATATGACCTAGGTGAGCATGCCATAGGTCAAGGGTCAGTGTGACATGTGTGAATGCTGAGAAGTCAGGTGGGAAAGGAGGAATGCTTGGTGTAGTGGCAGGCATCTGAGCAGATGGGGCAGGCAAGAACTCAGGGTTGATATAGCACAGGTTGTTCACCATGGGAATGGCTCCAAGTTCAGTACCTCTATATACGAGCTCACACTGAGGTGGAGACACCTGAAAGACACAGTCCCAGCCCTTACTGAGCATCCAACCCACTGATAGTAGGTTTAACATTGCCAAAGGTGTGTGCAAGCAGTTTGTGAGGCAAACATGGTGTTGGTTGCTGCCTATGGTCAGAATGGCAACACAATCCCCATGACTTGACGTGCTCAAACTACTGTGATTAGCAGTGCAAATGGTGACTGCATCAGCCATAGAATACGACCAGAAGTACGAGTGATCCTGGACAAGAGTGGTGGTAGTTCCAGAATCAAGGATGGTGTTGAATCCTGCAGCAACAATGCAGAATAGGATTGCGGTATCCACTGGCTGGGATTCCTCATTTGGCACTTCAACAATGGATGCACAAGAGAGATCTGCTAGGAAAGATTCAGCTGCCACCTCAGTACCTGCGAATGCAGTAAGGAGGGAGGTGGTGCAGCAGCCACCAGTTTAGGGGGAGGAGGAGGAGCAACTGCAGAAGCAGCTGTCTCTTTCTCCTTCTTCTTCCCCTTCATCCAGGGGGCTTGTCCTTCCATGCCACTACCTGTTACAACCATGTACGCCCCTATTCATTTCTCCTCTATTACCATGTATTACATCATGAGCTGCATGATGTCACCACTAGACACTTATCTCTGACTCATGTCTTGTATTACATCACAACTGCAACTGCCGTTGCTAGATGATCTATTCTTACTATCGCTTACACACTTCTTATCTCTGACTCCTTCTGTTCTCACACCTGCCCTTCAAGCACAGTAGCTTACTATAAATAGGCCTCCTGTATACTTTAGTTCTTCACTTTAATCTTACTAGGTTTTACCCTGAATATCCTTCACTTGAGACCTCCAATCTCTTGTCATCTGAATCATACTTTAAGTCAAAGGCACTCCCTTCAACTTAGCTTACACTGAATGCTTGACTTATCATCCTGCATAGAATCTCAACAGAAGTCCCTGACTCTTATCAAGTCATCTGTTGTTAGAACTACCCTAGTTCATAACAAAAGATTAAAGTCATTATCAAACCTCTCCATCCAGGGAGGCCCCAGTAGCTCAAAGCAAGACAACCCCTTGGGTTAGAAAGTATTGGTGGGAGACTGACCCAAATGACATCCCCACAGAACCAGAAGAAGAAGAATATCATGAGGCCAAAGGTCTGGATATCACAGAGAACAGAGAGAGATGAATCCTGTCCCCTGTAACTACAGAACCTGACCATCATTCAACTACATCAGTAGATGAATTCCCAGAAGAACAGCCACCCTGAAATCTTTCCGCACATCCTAGTATCAGAATGTCCAGCTCTTCATCTGAACTTAAAGCCAGAACACTGAAAGACTATGACAGGAGCCCTGACCATGCATTAAGATGGTTATTTTCAGTAAAAGCATACTTTGCTGTTAACTCATTGGTTTACAATACCAACAAAAAGAAAGTCACTATCACACTTGCATATATGACAAAAGACAGTGCCATGGGTTGGGCGCTGATGTTCTACACCAAAGTTGATAACTCTACCTCAAAATCTTATGGAACCTTTGCAAACTTCGAAACCAAGTTCAAAGAAGTGTTTGCGCCAGCAGATGCTGTTGGTACAGCTATGAATAAGCTCTGAACCTTGAAGCAGATGGGCGACCTCACCTCCTATATCACTAGTTTCAGGACCCTTGCTGCACAAGCCAACATAAAGCAAGACGCTGTCCTGATTACGTTCTTCAACAATGGACTCAAGAAGGGAATTGGTAATGCCATTTATCAAATGGAAACCATCCCTACCGACTTTGACAAGTATGTCCAAGCCACAATAAGACTTGATGGTAACTGGCAACATGGTGCAATCTTCTGTAACAACAATCACACAACCACAAAGCCTACCAGTCAACACTATATTCCCAGACCCTCCATTGATCACCATGACCCAAATGCTATGGAAGTCAACTATCTCACCGAGGAAGAGAAGAATGAACACTACCAGAATGGCAAGTGTTTCAACTGTCACCAGAAGGGCCACATTTCCCGTAATTGTCCCAAGAAAAAGAATGGCAAAGCCCCTGTGTGTCGCACCGAGCCAGCCGAAGAAGATGAAGAAGAAGTCTGTCATATCAACGAGGATTTTTGATGTGGAAGACTGGATCGATGTCAGTATCTTCCAATGTACCTATTAGACTTGTTCAGGGTGTAGGAATCAGAAAGGAACTTCATGTCCCTATTTCCCTTATCTCCAAAACTCGCCTGAAAACCATTGAAACAACCGCTGTCATTGATTCCAGAGCTGCTGGAACTTTCATCTCCGAAGATTTTGTTAAACTCCACAAGATTTGAATGCATAAACTCACAAAACCATTTCGAGTAACCACAGCAGATGGAAGTTATGTGAAAGGAGGCACAATCACCCACTACTGCATCCTCATCATGAAAATCAATGAATGATCCATGCTTGGAAAATTCAACATCACGAAACTTAGTCATCGTGATCAGATCTTGCTAGGAATCCCTTGGCTGCGTGCCATGGATCCAATCATTCAGTGGAAAGCCAAAACTTTAGAACTCTCTTGAACCGAGAAGAGTGATCTGATAGAAGAAGATGTTGACACTGAATGAAAGAAGAACAGTCTTCCCCCTCTCTTTCAGAAAACCATTGAAACCCCAGTTGATAAAATGTGGAAGAACTCCCATTTAAAGAAAGAAGAGGTCCCAGTTGTAGTGCTGCTGAAGGTGCCTCCTGTGCTACCCGTGCCAGAACCACTCCCCCAAGCTATGATTGAAGAAATCCCTGATGAAGAAGCACCCCCAGTTTTACCCAACCTTGACCCCATCCCTGACAATGACGGCCCTTTTGATACCAAAAACGATGTATGGACTTCAGACTATGCACCACCTGTATGCGAACTCACTATGTACCACCTTGATGACAATGAATTTTTGGTTGAGTACCCCGCTGATACTACTGAACTCCAGGTCATTACCAATATTTCCATGGACACTCTGTTAACCAAAGATGGTACCAGTGCTGCTGAACAGAAACCCACGATCACATCCTTGTCATGGCCCACCAAATATGTCAAAACCAGTAACAAAGCTCAACAGTTTGCATTAGCAGCTGGGCTTGAACAGAAGAAGAAATAATTTGAAGAACTTGTCCCATCTTACCTTCATGACTTCGCCAACATCTTTGCTAAAAACGGACTAAATCAGCTACCCCCAGAACATCCTGGGATTGACCATTGAATTGATACCAAACCTGGTTTTGTCCCAAAAACGTCCAAGGTCTACCCATTGTCAGAAGCAGAATGAACCGCTGTCAAAGCATTCATCAATGAAAACATACAGAAAGGATTCATCTCTGAATCAAAATCACCACAAGCCAGTGGATTCTTCTTTGTCAGAAAGAAAAGTGGCGACCTACACCCTTGTCAGGACTACCGGTATATCAACAATTGGACGGTGAAGAACACATATCCTCTCCCACTCCCATTGACCTTGGTAGCTCAATTACATGGCACCAAGTATTTCACAAAGATGGACATTTGTTCCGGATATAATAACATCCGGATCCACCCCAACGATCATTGGAAAGCAGCATTTACCACTAAGTATGGTCTCTTCAAACCTAATGTCATGTTCTTTGGTCTTTGCAACTCACCCACTACCTTTCAGGCATATATGAATCGAACCTTCCAGCAGGAAATCAATGAAGGATGGCTGGTTATTTACATGGACGATATCCTTATCTTTTCAAATGACCTCCCTTCCCACCATGCTCGAACTCGTCGCGTCTTAGAACAAATCCGCAAAGAATGACTATTCTTGAAACCAGAAAAGTGCACCTTTGACACTGAAGAAGTTGAATACTTAGGTATGATCATCCGTCCTGGATGCATTGCAATGGATGTCGCAAAAACCGATGGTATTCGTGATTGGCCTGTCCCTACCACAGTGAAGGAAGTTCAGTTGTTCCTTGGATTTTGCAATTTCTATCGCAATTTTGTCCTTCATTATTCTGATATCACTAGACCCTTGATCAACCTCACCAAGAAAGACATGGTATTCTATTGGTTGGATCCATGTGCCTCTGCATTTACCATGCTCAAGGAATGCTTCCTGAAGCAACCTGTCTTGTGGAACCCCGATCCTACCAAGCAGTTTGCCGTCACCACTGACACCTTGCTCATCGCTACTGGAGCAGTTTTACTACAGACTGATGAAAATGGAGTCTATCATCCATGTGGATATCTCTCTCAAACCCTGAACCCAGCCGAAAGGAATTATCAGATCTTTGATCATGAACTTCTTGCTGTTATTCGTGCCCTCACTGAATGGCACCATTACCTTGAAGGAAATCCTCATCCAGTCATTATCTTTACGGATCATAAAAATTTGCTTTACTTCTGTACTGCACAGAAATTGACTCATCGCCAAGCACATTGGCAACTCCTCCTATCCTGTTATGACATCGAACTCCATCACATTGCTGGAACTAAACTTGCCACCCCCAATGCCCTCTCGTGACGTCCTGATCATGGAACTGGACACAGTGACAATGATGATGTTACTCTCCTCCCTGACTCTATGTTTGTACGGCTTCTTGATGTGGAACTTATGACCACACTCGCAAACCCAGACCCTACTGATCCCAACCCAATCTTCCAAGCTGCTGCAGATGCCCTTGATGGCCTATCACTTCCCCGCATGAAATTTGCATTTGCTGATTGGACAATTAAAGAGGACATCCTGTATTACAAAGATCATGCCTATGTCTGACCTGCTGGGAGACGCCTTATTCTTGAACATTGTCATGACCATGCTTCCACTGGTCATCCTGGCTGTTTTAAAATGGAAGAGCTTGTCAAACATGACTTTTGGTGGCCTTCTATGGGCTCCTATATCCAGAAATACGTTGACAGTTGCGCTCTTTGCCAGCAAATGAAATCCAATACACACCCTGTAACTCCCCCACTCGTCCCTATCCCCTCCATCACCTCTGCCCCCTTTGCCCAGGTCTCTGTTGATCTAATCACTGATCTCCCCATGTGCACAGGTTTTGACTCTGTCATGGTCATGGTTGACCATGGCCTTATGAAGGGGGTAATTCTGATCCCTTGCACAAAAACCATCACTTCTGAAGGAGTTGCCTCGAAGTTTTTCAAACATGTCTATCACCACTTTGGTCTCCATGAGAAAGTCATATCTGATTGAGGACTGCAGTTTGTATCAAAGTTCTCAAAAGCTCTTGCTAAGCTCTTAAAATATGATATCGCCACATCCACCGCTTATCACCCTTAGACTGATGGACAGACTGAACGTCTCAACCAGGAACTCAAGACTTATCTCTGCATTTATTGCTGCAATCACCCAGAAGATTGGGTAGAGCACCTCCCTATGGCTGAGTTTGTCCATAATCATCAAAAACACAACTCTCCAAATGCATCCCCATTCTTCCTTATGATGGGATATGAACCCAGAGCTCTCCCACACACTCTCCCAGATTCCACTGTACCTGCTGCAGAAGATCAATTGCACCTACTTCAGAAATCAAGAGAAGAAGCACTCTCTTG